TGATCCCATCATAGGTTGGGTGACCAACATATGGAAATTCAGGTACAAAGATCAGTATATTACATATTGCTGTTGGAACAAAACCTTGTATCTCTGTTTTTGGTCTGACCTTGGCCTTTCCCTCTCTGGCCATTTTGGTAGAGCTCCACCTACCTTGTGCTTAGAGCTGGGCGATATGGCCAAAAATGTTATCACGATAAACAAAATTGATATTGTTCGATATCGATACATATCGCGATAAATGTCAAATCATTATTTCTTTCAAGTTTGAAGGCTGATTTTTGCTCCTGGGTGGTTAATTGCTGTTTTAAACTATGCTTTATGGTCGGAACACGACAAACACTCACCAAACAGTGGAACATTTCACAGATCTGTCATGGGAGAGTGGGAGAGTGTGTCTGCTGAGCTGTTTTTACCAGCTGGAAAAGCATGGCTATTTTTGTAATAGTCATAATTTAAGAAAGAAAACAGATTATTTTAGCTGGTGCCGAGCGCTCGGCTACCCCGCTACTAATGACAGTATCACAGTATTCAGACACCAGCTAGCGACGACTGGATTTCTCTATTCAATTGTAGTAGTTTAAGGGGTGAACCTCAATATATCTGACAAACAAAGTCCTCCTTTTAGGTACGTTTAAACTGAAAGCAGTGCTTTTGTGTCTTGTTTGATCTACAGTATCATCAATTCTCCGTGTTTTGGAGTGACAGAGCGCTGCTTCAAGTTAGCCAGCTGCTAAAAACAGCTAGCCTGGAAAGATAGCGCTCTCCTGCTCTCCAATGCCTCAGCTTCCTCAGTTTACTTTCGTATAAATCAGGCCTGTAATTTACATTAACCCACTTCTTTCTTTCACTTTTGTTGCTTGGGAATGCACTAATATTAAAATATGACTGAGCACTGTAACAGCGCTGTAGTTGTGAGGATTGTGATTGTGATTTAACGCTGCTAAAGCTGGTTAGGATGTACAGAAAGAGGTGAGTTCGCTGTAGGACAGTACAGTTACACCACTGACCTCGTCGCTCACACTCGGTCACAGGAGAACAGATTGCCGGTCGCTCGACTCAAACAGGGAATGTATAACTCCGCGTTTCAGCCGTTGCTAAAGACTCATTTTACTCGTGGCCCCCTCCCTCTCTAATCATGTCGAAAAACTCGGAAGTGCGCCCTCTCCTGGCGACAGCAGAGTAGTGTCACTTTCCTTGCAGTAGAAAACGCCACCAAGGCTTTCGCTGAACATGGAAGTGTGCGAATGGTGTATTATATCGAACATTTATCGAACATGTCTTATCGCTCTATCGAGGAAAATTTATATTGTGATAATTATCGTTATCGTTTTATCGCCCAGCCCTACTTATACTATTAGCAGACTTGAGTAAAAGTGGAAGTACAAGTATTTTTTCTGTATTTCTACTTGAGAAAAAAATACATATATATAAATAAAAATGTACCTACTTGTGAATTTACTTAAGTATAAAGCAGAAGTAGTTTGAGCTGTAATATTATTTTGATGGGCAACTTCTATTAGGAGGAAGTTTTACTTGTCTACAGCTTCATACGTCTCGTTTATAGAACTCGTTCATTAAAATAATATAATACAAGATAACATTAAAACCACCTCCTTGTATACACTTACTGCCATTTCATCAGCTCCACTTACCATATAGGTGCACTTTGTATTTCTAAAATTGCAGATTGTTGTCCGTTTCTCTGCATATTTTCTTAGCCCACATTAACCCTGGTTTTCAATGGAAAGGGACCCCCACAGGACCACCACAGAGCGGGTATTATTTGGGAGATGGTCATTCTCAGCACTGTGGTGGCGTTTTAGTGTATGTTTTGCTGGTACAGGTGGATCAGAAACAGCAGTGCTGCTGGAGTTTTTAAACATTGTGTCCACTCACTGTCCACTCTATTAGACACTCCTACCTTGTTGGTCCACCTTGTAGATGTAAAGTCAGAAACAGTAGCTCATCTGTTGCTGCACAATTTGTTAGTCATCCTCTAGTCCAGGGGTGCACAACTCCGGTCCTGGAGGGCCAGTGTCCTGCACAGTTTGGTGACTGACCTGCTCAAACAAACCTGATTCCACTCTATTGATCTGTTAATTTTCATGGTTAGTGGGTATGTTTGAGTAGGGGAACTACCAAAGTGTGCTGGACACTGGCCCTCCAGGACTGGAGTTGTGCACCCCTGCTCTATTCCTTCATCAGTGGTCACAGGATGCTGCCTAGAGTATGCTGTTGGCTGGATATTGTTGAATATTTTTGGTTGGTGGACTATTCTCAGTCCAGCAGTGACACTGAGGTGTTTAAAAACTCCAGCAGCACTGCTGTGTCTGATCCACTTGTACCAGGGCGACAGACTAACTGGCCAAAACAACGTCAGTGATGCTGCAGTGCTGAGAATGATCCACCACCCAAATAATACCTGCTCTGTTGTGTTCCTGTGGGGGTCCTGACCTTGGCTAGGTTTATGGCTAAACGTCTCTGGAGGCAACATCCAAAGTTGACACAATTGTAGACACTTGAAAGCACAACTTTAAAAGCTTGCAGGCGAATGCACCAAAAATGTGGAGTACATAATGTATCATATAACCTTGTCTTGGCCTGCTCTGAGCGAATATCAAGCAGTCTCCTTACATTTAGATGACGTACCATTTTTATATACACCTAATACTAGACTAGCATATTTCAGTATGTCTTTTGGATGGCCCCACACTGCGGAAACCAAGGCAGACAGGGAGATTGAAATAAGAAAGAACAGCTGGGAGAAACATAGTGCCAAAGCGCTATAGGCTCAACAGCATCCACAAGTTCACCGTAGCTCCACAGCCTTGTCGCTGTGGGGACACTATTGCAACCGCATGAGGACAGTGGCTTAAAGGAATGATGAATAAATTCAAGACCGAGTTGGGTTGGATTTTTGGACTGCTGCATCGCATTGTGTTTCTCCAAGACCGCAAGAGGCAATGCTAATGAAGTGGCATAGCAAGGTCTATACGTTAGCTAATTTGAGCATTTTTTTGTCACTTGGAAAAAAAATGTGCCAAGTCCTCTGTGTTCCATGAAGTTGACAAAGGATCAATGCATCTTTGCAAATGGTCCACAGAACATCTTTTGCATATTAGGATGTCTTCTTGTAAATATTCAAGCTGAATGACTTTAACCTCTCTTTGTCAGTGCTTAGAACATGTGGATTTAACCAGGAACACAAGTTTTACTACAGCCTGAGAGCTAAAAATCTTACCATGTAATTTAAGTGATTACTGTGCTTAGTTGTGAACATGAGTGTTTATTTTAGGTCATGGCTGATGAATTTGAGAACTCAATTTACATGAGGCTAGCAATGCAATGTCTCTTCAGTGTAAGAGGCACTTCAATTCGTCCATCATAAGAATGGTGCAATAATTGGTGCAACCACTTAATCAACGGTCCTATCATCTGAAGATCGAGTTTGATCTTTGGCGATGCCACAGTCATCCGTGGCCAGATGTCCAAGAGTGCGTATACTTGTCCTCGCCCTCTCACCCCAAAAATTTCAAATAAGCATGTATATGTGTGTGACGTGTGCAAAGAATACATTACATGCAATAAAAAAAATTATAATTAATAATTCCATTTTGCTAGCTAGCTTGTTTTGCTTGTGTTATTGATCAGGACTGGCTCTACCCTTGTGCGGGCCTTGAGCAGGATTATTTTGCTTGCTTATGCTCTCTTTTGCCTTGTTTGGTGATTCTTCTGTGATTGGCTGTTCCTCATAAACGTGATGCTTTTATATGCACATTCACAAAGATTAATCATAGCTGGGATATCTAAAATTGGATTAACAGAGAAAGTTGATATCCCTTGTAGTAAAACGAGTTAACCACATCAGTGTTTGTTAGGTTTTGTGAAACTGAAACTTCAGAAAGCCTGTCTAAGTTGAACCTGTTTCCTAAGTTAGATCCCAGATTGGCTTTTTCTTGTGGTCCAAAACAAATGGCATAATTTTAACACCACACAAAATGAATAGATCCAGATGTGTATGTTCTTTTTTTTAAAAACACTATTAACCAATTGCTTTTTTTCTCCTCATGCAAGCATCTTGAAAAACATAATGGTACAGTAATAACCTATAAGTTGTTGGGGGCTTCTTAGAGGCCATGGGGCCCTAAGCAGCTGCTTATGTCACTTATTAGGTAGAGTCGGCATTGTTATTGATTGTACTCTGGATTCTGAATTTGGAGGGCGTGTTGAAAAGGGGTGTGTCTTTGTTTGCAATGGATGTCGACACAGTCCAGCACCAAAGGTTTAACAGGTTGTCTCCATCTATACGTTCTTGTTATGATATCACATCTGACCTGCAAGAATACCATGTGTGTTGAGCTATCCAGTGACGTTAAGTTAGTGGCAGTTTTACTTTCACATGCTAGCATTCACCCTCCCAGCTTAGTAGCATTGTGTGATGGGGATGACCTAGCAAGCAGATGGAGTTGCCAAGTCACATTGCAGCCTGTTTTTTTGGTATGATCTTATGTTTCAAGCACTTTGACTGTGAGACAGTTTAACTTGGACTCCAATTGCATGTATGTACTCAGATTTATAAAGGCTACTAAAATGTCTGTATTGCTAGTCTTTACTCTTTGCCCTTGACTGCTCCTCTCGCTCTTGTTCTCATTCCCTATCTCTGGCTGTAAACATGTCCCGGCCAGTCCTATTTATCACAGTGCATAAAAGCACGCTGGACATTAAAGTGATTCATTCCTAGTCAGGAGCTCAGCATGTGGAGTAAATCCCTGGCAGTTTACGTATGGCTCAGTCACAGTGTCTATCATTTACTGCACTTCAAAAGAGCCAGGAGGTGCTGGAGATTCTTTACAGTTCTGCGGTTGCCCAGTTAGCCTTTGAGTGAAAGTATACTTTTGCGCCTTAGTACAGAAGTATATAAAACCAAAATCTTTTTATTCAGTTCTTTATCTTGTAATTATTCACAATGTGTATTAGCATATAATCATTATCATCTGAAAAAGGGTGCTATTTATTTCTAAACCATGTTAATTCATTTCAAACAGCGTCAGAATTCTCTAAAAGCTGAGCAGCAAGATTCAACATCAAATGACAATTCACATTCTTACTAAAGTGGTAATATGTATAATTTGAATTAATTACAGTTCATTTAATTACACTGCATAAAAGTAATCCATTGAAATTATTTTTGTAAGTATACTTTTTGCACAGTTATTGCAAATTTGCACAGTTATTGCAAATTGTAAGTAAACTGAAAGATAAACTTGTGTTGCTGCTTTATTCATGTGGAAAGTACATTCAATGCATTACTTTTTACAGTGCACAGTAATATGCATATCTATTTTACTGACCTACTGCAGATATTTTGCAGTACTCACTTTGTATCAATTGACCACCACATCTGTATTTCCATTTTTGGGTTTTCTTTTCCAAATCCTGTTCCAAATTACACAACAGAAACTTTCACACCAATGTGAAGGAACCTCACATTTCAGTGAACATCTTACTCAGAAGCAAAGTGCTAAGGTGATAAGAAGAACAAAGGCCAGGCACTGAACTAAATAGTTGCTCTGGTGTGAAGACAGGATGCTATCATACACAGACACTTCATTATTTTCACACTGAGAGCAGTCTTTTCCACAGATATGACAAACTGGCAAGTCTCGTCTGGCCTCAGATGTATAGGTTTTCACTGTTTTCCTCCCTGCAGAGAATTAGGAAATGGGACGATGCAGTTGTAAACAAGAGTTGCTGAAGACATAAGATTCAAGCAAATAAAGCAAAGCAATTTGTATGAGATTTTGTCTGGATGGAATCAGAGTAGCTTACGTGGCTCATAGTAGTCATAAATGGCAACTGCTGCATCTTGAACACTGGTCACTTTGAATTCCATTGTGGTTGGAACTTCAATACATTCTTCAATCTTGGTTACCTGTGAGGAGAAAAACAGGAAAATTGATTCATTGTTGTAGCTTGACCCTTTGTACAATATGTAGAAGTGCATCATGAACCATCCATAACCCATTTGCGTCCATGCTTAATGTTTCTGTGATGGAATCTGTGATTGGTGCCCTCTTATTCAGATACAGGTTTTAAATAGCTTTTAAAGCTATGTCTTCAGCGCCTTCAGCAGACTGTGCTGGACAGTACTCACAGAAGATCTATGGGCAAATCAGTGAGTGGAAACTCTGGAGCCTTCCCAGTTACAAAAATCCACAAGCTATATAAACGAGAGTAAAAGGCTGGTCACAGAAGAGTTGAACCATTGACTGTGTGTATGGTATATATGATATATACACTCATTGGTTTGATTAGTAAACTGATGGAAATCACGTGATTCAGGTTAATATGAACTCTGAAGTAAATCAGTTAGTAAGGCACCAGTGAGAGTGAGAAGTAGTGTTTTAAAGCCCCTGTTGACATGGTTTAAAATGTTTACATTTTTGTTTTAAGAGTAAACGTATGCTGTGGAATAAGCATTTACCATGTTCAAGAAATATATACACATTAATACAATTTAATAGTAGATAGATGCTTCAAAAAATCTGAGCTACTGCCTGCTCAGAACTGTCTGGGCATTTCAGATTGTATAACTATTGACAGTGGCATCTCTCTGAGAACATAAACAACCCTGTACCAGTAGCAGTAGTGAGCATTTAGAAAAGCTTAAATAACCTTACTTGCTGGGAGTTTTGGACAGGATTTGGAGCAGCAGGAGAACAGACACTTTGTGAGGAAGAGGAAGGCAAGTAGCTGATGTATACATATTGCTAACTCTGACTGGTACTTTGGCAGATCTAATATCACCTGCACCAAATTAGTCCCACCCAACTCAAATGGAACACAAGAAAATGGCTGAAAAAAAGTAATTTAAAAAATCTCTCAACAGAAAAGACCAACATTATTCATTATTTGCCAGTTCATAGTAAAAACATCACAGAAACCATAGAAAATAGAACAAAGTGATGAAAATCAGTAGACAGGGGTTTTAAAATATATGCATTATATATCTGGAAGTTCAAAGAGGAGACCACTGTAATAATCCAAGAGAAAAACAGAAATGCATGTAAAAGCATTTCAGCTGCTGATGCAGTGAGTGTAGGATGGAGACAGGAAATGTTCTTAAGGTGGAAAAATGCTGTTTTAGTATTATGTGTGGTTAAAAGGAGAGAGCAGGATTAGATCTCCTTTTAACCACACTAGCAGTATGTAGGGGTGGATCAGTCAAAATGCGTACTAAAATCACTCAGTTTCCTAAGTGAAATGGGAGAGCCAAGAAGCATAACCAGTGTCTTGTTGCTATTAAACTTAAGAAAATTACTGCTCATCCATGTTTTCTCGTCCTGGAGGCAGGCCAAACAGCTAGAAGTTGGTCAGTAGGACTGGTATGGACATAGATTTCGGTATCATCAGCAAAACAAAATTATAACCAGGACCATATTTACAGAGTGTCTACCCAATTCTGATAGAATGAGAAGCGCCCAGAGTGACATAATGCTGCCTGCCGATGAGGTTGGAATGGAATCACTTTATATCTGTTCAAGTCTCACATAACTTATTCAGGGGATTGGTAAGTATATGAGTATCCGGTCCAGTGCTGCAGATAAATCCAAGAGAATTGATACTCTGTCCTGCATCAGAAGCACCAGACAGGTCATTAGCAACTCAGATGAAAGCAATATCTGTATTATGTATGTTCAAAGAGTTTATCAATTAAATGAGATGTTGAAGTTGATCTGCTACTACTTGTTTAAGGACTTACAGCCAAAAAGATTAACTTAGAAATAGGTCTGTAGTTTGTTGGATCTGCAGGGGTGTTTTTTTAGAAGAAGTACAGTATCAGCAATATTATTAATTAATTAATATTAGAAGCATTCTCAGCATTAGAAGCATTCTCAATCTTGGCTCTAAGGGGGCACAAAGCAGGCAGACAAGCCTTAACTAAAGTAGATGGAATTGGGTCCATATAGATTTAGTTTTGTAATGATGGTGCATAATGAATTCTCATCTGCAGTGTGTGGAACAGTGCAGTAATTGAAGAGCTATTGGGTCCACTCAAAGAAGTTGGGATTTAGAAAAAAGGAGAATTTACTGGAACTGGTGGTATATAGCATTTACTATGTCATGGAAATTATGGTCTGGAGGAGTCTGGCCCTGAGGCAGTCCATAACAATAATCATCTGCTCAGGTAGTCACATTGGCTAGAAATGAACAAATGACAGAGAACGCTCACTGAATCTAAGTAGAGGATGACTTTTCCTGGTGATGTCTCCACTCTTCTGACCAGGCTGTTTATGAGGATGCCATTCTGAGCCAAACTGAAGCCAGTGAGAAGGCCAACATCCAGAATAGCCATGCCGGTCTGATTCAACTCCTGGTCCTCTGATAACCTGAGAGGGATGCACATTTAAATACACATAAATGTTTTGTAGTCTAATCAAGAACCTTCTTTTGCATCATTATGCATATGCTTCAGTCGCACATTGTGACAATGTGTAATATCATTCAAGACATCAGTTTCAGTCTCTTACCGGAAACATATAAAAATGTAGATATTGTACAGGTCGTAGTCCATGACATGTATGTCCAAATCAAAGGCCTCGGGGGTGTGGGCATCACGACGTCTGCGGGACAGCCCTTTGGCCTCTATGTTGTAGAATGTAGTAAGCTAATAGAATTGGGGATGAAAAGAACAGATCAATTAAGGCTAATCACTGCCTTAATTATGACGCTTCAGTGTCTTCATTTGCACAAAGCTGAGTATGTGAAATAACAAATCATTTCCTTCTTTTCCATTGAAGTTTCAATCTGTTTTCACTTCTTGTTTCTTTTTTCTTTTTCTCTCTTTTTTTGCAAACAACAGCCCAGAGCTAGAAAAGCATCTCAAGATGTTGCTAGTATCTCACTGAGGAGAACAATACAACTCATTTGGAGTCAAGGGTACAGAAAGCTTCATGCCAAGCTCGCAGTGTAATTACGCATTGCTGTGGGTGAGCAGTTCTGTGCGCTAACAACAATGGAACATTTTCCCAATTACAGTCATTCTTTTTATCCGTGCAGTTCAAGAGAGTGAGTGTTATGACGCAGGGCGCCCTGCTTCCTGATTATCACTCACAGCTGCTGGACCCCTGCTTTCGTCTGCAATACCTTGTAAATTGGAATCTCCCAGGCACTGGCAGGCTCTCCAGAGGAGATTTCCAGCTGCCTATGCATGAAGTCATACTGCTTTAAATACACAGCTGAGATTCCATTGTAAAGGTCATGAAAATTTCCCATATCGGCTTTCAGGGTAAGCTATTGTGTTATAATTACATGTGCAATGGCACTGTCAGATATCATTACATATTTGCATATCCTTACATATTTGTCCCAGACTGCTTTTGACGTATCTGATTTCTTTGTCAAAGTCTGGATTTGGATTAGAGAAGCCAGCTCAACATCAATGTAAAGCAACGGTCTGCATGATATTTTAAAACAGGTGTGAACTAAAGGCTTTTTTTAATTAATCAACAACTTTAAAAGCACTAGAAGACCCCCAAAGAAATTCCTTTAACTGAATTGAGGAGAAACTTAAAACATCCACCGTTTAAGGTGCGTTTAAGGAGCTCACAACTTTTATTTACTAGAAAATATTCCCTAGCCTTTTAGCAGTTCTGTTGGTTAGCTCTTTATTTCAAATGTTAATATTAGGTTATAACAAGTTAACTTTATTTTACAGATATTTGTTTATCCATAATGTTTTTTTGTCTTCAAATTTACCAGGTCAGCTTATATCGCTCATATAAATCGTTTTTTGTTACTTCTGGAGTTATCTATTAATTCTAGTTCTTTGATATGGCAACATACATGTAGTGCTGGATCTGCTGGATGCTTATACCAAAACACAGAAGTTAACACAGCTTAAATGTTTTGAGTAAGCAGCTTGCCACAAAAATATTTTAAGTACAACTTGTGTAAATATGAATTAATTCATATTAATAAGTAATTTTCAGATTAATAAAGTAACTACTTTATTACTTTAATAATGGTGCACAAGTGAGGTAAGAACAAGGCAGCAAATGTTTGTCAACAGACTTTCATCCGTACTACACAAAGACATAGAAGCAAGATTAATACAAGAACTCTAGTCGCACCTGGACCCAATCATGGAGATGTGGCCTGTCCTACCAACCGGTGACTGATGAGAAACAGTGAGAAAGACAAAGAAGACTATCCCTTTCAATAAACCCAGTATCCAGCAATTAAACAAAAAAAGCTGCCTTCTGCCACACTGAAGGAGTAATTTATCCAGATCAGACTGCGAGTATGTTTAAGCTGATCTAAAACTTTTGATGTCTCAGCTTTAAATCTGGTTACTTTTGCCATGTTTAGTTGTTTTTTGATTTAAGCAATAAGGTTCAACTCTTCAGTCTTTGTAGTCACTGCATTTAAGGCACAGTTTAAAGATTCTCATTTTTACATTTCTATTGATTTAATGTCTTAAAAAAGACGGTTCTTCAAAGTTATTTTAGGAATGGGATGGATCTTTTTAAAACCATGAATTCTATATAGAATCATCCATCCATCCATCATCTAAACCACTTATCCTTCTGGGTCGCGGTGGGGTGCTGGAGCCTTTCCCAGCTGTCATTGGGCGGAAGGCAGGATACACCCTGGACAGGTCGCCAGTCCATCGCAGGGCAGACAGACAGACATACACATTCACACACACACACACACCTAGGGGCAATTTTAGCATGTCCAATTAGCCTGACTGCATGTCTTTGGACTGTGGGAGGAAACCGGAGTACCCGGAGGAAACCCACGCAGACACGGGGAGAACAGGCAAACTCCACACAGAAACGACCCTGGTCACCCAGCCGGGAATCGAACCCAAGCCCTTCTCACTGTGAGGCAACAGCGCTACCCACTGCGCCACCGTGCCGCCTATATAGAATCATTTCATGCTTAAATGGCTCTTTGAATGGTAAAATGATTTGTCATTCGTCAACATTTTTGAAAATGGTTCTATATATAGCATCAAAAAAGGTTATAAGCTTGACATTGTAACAACAGCAGAATCATATACACATTCTCCATCACTTTGAAGAATCATTCCACCATTTTAAATAATGGTAGAGGTTATGTGAGAGGAAGATACAGTACCTGGAACACAGCAAATCCTTTTCCCATTGCTGACACCCGGATATGGAGCTCCTCCTTGGCTTCAATCTGTTAAATTAGAAGCAGAATTACTCACAAAATCAACACAGACCTATAGAGTATAGGGCTCACAGTGGTTAATGTTGATGCTGACCTCTTGGCTCTGGTACAGGAGGTAGTTGCTTCGGTTTATAGTGAAGGTGGCTACTTCATCTCTGGGATCAGTCACTGTGATGGTGAGGTCAATCTGCTCCACACTGCTCAGGGTGGCATAGGCTGAGAGAGCCTGCAGTGCAATCACTGTGTCCTGAAAAGAGAACAGAAAATACAAGCTATGACAGTGATGAGAATGAGAGTTTCTTTTGATTGCAAGAATTTGCACAAAAAATCTCAGATTAAGGAATGATTAAGATTGGGAATTTCTACTATCACTCTCTTATTAAAACCTTGTTTTATTTTTTTTACATCAATTACAAGTCTAACTTTGCATGAACAAGGTGTGCCAATAGAAATTGTCCAAGTGTATTTGGAATAAAATCTTGTTAATGTACATTAAAACTACAAAAATTATTGCTTGTTCTCTAAGTTTAGTGATCATGTTGGAATCACAAAGTGAATAAAACGTGATCTAAGGACATTGAGCAAATTCAATAAAGCCTCTAAAAACACGGCAATTATTGGGGAAGGACTGTTCTTACGGTTAAAATATTTATATGGGGTTAAATTAGACCATGGGTTACTTTGTTACTTACACATTTGTGGATTTGTTGTTCTGTGCAGCTTTGTTTGGTGTCATTAGCGGAGCTGCTATCATGTGACTTGTAACAAGCAGGTGCGAACCTCCTGCGCTCTATGGAACATTTACCACAACTAATCCATCACCTGCCAACCATTAGATCACACATGAAAGGAGAAGGGAAGAATCTGCAGATAGCGGCAGGCCTGGCAGCTTTGATTAGGCCGCCTTTAATCTTAAAACAAGCTGCAAAACAAAGGCCATCTAAGACTAGACACAAGGCACGGGGCAGCTGGTCTTTAGCTTCTCAGAAAACTATTTAACGATCTAGCTCTTCACTGAGCTCTTCAGTATTTGCTTAAAATATTAATTCTATCTCAAAGCAACCATGCATGGGTCACAGTGAAACTTCTGATAATGTAAACTTCTCTCGAGTTATATAATGGAGAGTGTTCGACAACTCATTTGCAACCCATTTAAAACTCAGCTGCAACTGCAGCCAACTTAAGTTTCATGAAACAGTGATTCAAAGCACTGGTAATTCATCATGTGATCACATCGAATGACATCGCTTCAAATGATGATTTCAACTGACACCAGATCAATAGATCTGAAAATGAAGATGGTAGATGGGAAGATGGGAGATCCTTCTAATCAACTTTAGGCAAGTTTGGTAGTTTTCCATGTCATTAGTTTCCCAACCATGACAATAAATAGATGATTTCTCAACGGTGACAGGTAACTAGCCAGCAAGCGGTAACTGCTGTTTAAACGACTGCTTGTGCCATTAATTCTCCTTTGCACCAAAATCCCAACAGGTTCTGAGTATTAATTGGTTAAATGTGAGGTATAAACTCCACAGTAATGTGCAAATATTTGGGATAAAAAGTATCAGGTAGTTATATGATGTAAGTACAAGTACAAGAAGTACAAGTCTTACATAGTACATACCTGTTTATTACCTATAAACTAAACTGAACCTGGGCTGTAAAAGAAAGCAATGATTCTTTCTATGGTTTTACTCTTTACCAGTCTTTACTATTTATTTCAGAAAACTATCATTGTGCCTTTTTTTTACAGATTTTTCCAATTTACATTCCTGCTCAAATTACATTGAAATTAAGTGTGAGTATATTTGTATTAACCATCTTGTTTCTCCAAACATGTCCTTTATCAGCTTAATAGCTAGAACCTGTTAGTCAGGGATATTTCAGCATTTTAGTTTAATTTAGCAAGACTGTCTTGGCACTGCTTGGTACAAACTAATTGAACAGTTAGGTGTATATATATATATATATATATATATATATATATATATATATATAAATAATTAATTTGAAGTATTTAGCCTGTCCATCCTCTGCTTTTAGACCTTCTGTTAATATTTAGGGATATTTCAGCACACCTACAAAGTTCAGTCATAGAAGTTGGTTGCATTTGCTGATTCTCACAATTCTAGTAATCCCAATTACACATTTGGTCCTTAAAGCCTTACTCTACATTTCAGATAGAGTTAATATTGTACTTAGTGTTGGAGGCTTATGTGTAATTTTCTGTTAAATATGTTTTCTTTTTTTCCTGGATTTTATTTTGTACAGTACTGTTTAAACAAGGTGGACCTGATAAACTGGCTATTCAGTAGAAGAGTTTTATTGCCTGGGTGGAACTGTATCCTCCGAGATGGTTCCTCTGCTGGCTGAGCCACTTCATTAGACTGAAGCCGTGCTCCACACTGCCTTGTTTGTAGATGGACAGCAGCGTGTAGGCCGCCATTTCAATGTCTGCTGAGCGCGGCTGCCAAGAGTCCAACAAGCTGGAGTCCGGAGAGCTCCATGTGGGCACATCATCTGAAATACAGAGAGCAAAGCCATGAACACCTGTGCAACATCTGCCTTTTTTAAAGTCTTTAACACCAAGTGTATTAAAACAACCCCAAACAGCAGGACAGCTGGGCAAACAGAATCTCTTCGGTTACACTGTCCATGTTGTTAATACACTGCACATATGTTCTTTGAATTTCCGATTTCAGAAGCATTCAAATTTGGCATGTTTAAGTGGGAAAGGTAAATCTGCATATAAACATATGGCTAATGGCTAGTTTTCTATTGATTTTACATTGCACATCAAATGTTTGGAGACACCTAGATTTTCCAGGTAAAACACTTGGAAATATTTGTGCAAATCTTAGTGACACTGCTGCCTTACAAATAAAGCCACACATTTTAGCACCTTTCAGGTGTTTAAACCATTTTTGGGCAAAAAGATTTTCACAAAAGTTTGGAAAAAGAAAACTGTCAAATCGCTATTTATGCAAAATCTACTCTTTATAGCAAAGAAGACTTTGCAGTCATGAAGCTCTGAGTATTTCCGCACAAAGTATCTCCAAACCTTTGATGGGCAGAATAGATGCATCTTCCAGCCCAGCTAGTTTAATTAACCTTAGCAGGGCGGTGGAATGTGACAATATTTTTCCATGTGCTAGGAGAAATGAATCCTTTGCAGGAAAAAAATTGCAGAAGTGTGAAAGACCATTGAGTCTGCAAGTCTGTACATTTTCATTTATATATTTTATTTAAAATATCCAAGTGCTCATGGAAGTTGTAGTTAATTATTCGTGAGCTGTTTCCTCACTGCCCAAGTCATCATGTGAGCTGTGACACAGGTTTAGTTCTTAAGTTTATGGTTGTTGTAGTCCATCAAGTAATATGAACAATACAGAACAAACCTGATGTCTGTAAAGAAAGGGCCACACGATGTACAAAATGGCCAAATGTTGTTTAGATTGGATCTGTGATGTGCATAAACCCAGCAATGATATAAGATTTTACTGCTTGCCTGCTGAAAAAAATAAGTCCTCCTGAACACGTCTCTGGATTTGAAAGCCAAAACACGTCCTGTTGCCATTGCCATCTTTAGCCTATATGGTTTCTTTATGCTGATTTTAGAATGAGCTGATTAAATTAAAAATCACATATGAAATAACTCTAAGCCTTACCTTTAGGTAATAAACTATTTCATTTCCTGTTTTGAAATGTATGACTTCAACTATACGTTCATTACTGCTGGTAAAAAATTTCACTTATTGAGATTTATACTTTTTAGAAACGTTTTATGTAGTTTTAAGTAATTTGTTCTACAACACTTGCAACTTTTATAGCACCAGCACTAGATGAGAGTGCTCAAAATTTGACATAAAAAAACATCCTGTATCTCCTCCAGTGTCTACTTACTATGTATCTGGGCTCTGTTCATCAGCTCATTGAGGGCGGTGGTAGCATGCGGGCTTTGGGCCAGAGAGAGTGCGTAGGTCACTAGACACAGGCTGTAGTTACTGGAGATGCCTCTGCTGAGTTTTAAGGTCAGGTAGTTTATAGCAGCAGATACCTGGCCTGAGAAGGTACGCTAACAGATTACAAGAAACAACAACAAACAGCATATTAACCCTTCAGTTTACATTACATTTATATGTAATATAAATTGACCATTTATATATAGTCACATAACTATGTTTACATATGATTTACATTCTGTATTGACAAGTTTGTGTTTCCATCTCTGACAAGATTGATCATTTTTTTCTTTGCCCAATGCAAAACTGCACCTTCTATCAAATTCAAGTCATAATGAAATATCTCCTCTTCTACTTATAAACACAAATATGGTGAAAAATTAGAATTCACACTTTCATCGGAATTTCTCTGCTTTGAGTGTGAAATAATTAAACAAAATACCCCATACATTGTATTCCACATCCTCCAGAAGGGCCATAAGAACATAAGCAGTGAGAGACACAGAGCTGTCCAGCCCGCCCTGTAGCTCGGTGTGGATGACCCGGCCCGGCTCTTGGAAGGCCCCGTCTGGCCCCTGTTGGGCGCTCAGCCAGTAGGCCGTCCTCATCAGCACTGCCTCATCGATGTAGATGAAGGCCCGAGCCTGGAGGAAGCACCTCAGCACAAAAGCAGATAACCTAGAAGTAATGAAGAATGTAACCAGGGGTTTGTGTATTTGACCATAGTTGAACCAGCCACATCACTTGAGATCCACAAGCTTCAAGACATGATGTATAATCGGGCCTGTCAAAGTTAACATCTTTAACATAACTGCCGTATGAATTGTGTTGTATATACTATGACAATAATTGGATACTATGACAAATATATATATATATATATATATATATATATATATATATATATATTTATATGTATGTGGCATGTACTTCTATGCATGAATGGGCTTACCATGTGCTACCAGAAGAGTCGCTGTCTCCAAATGCACTGAAAGAGCCGTCTATCCTCTGGTATGACAATTCGCGCTCATAACCTGTTTATAATCAGACAGCCAACACTTATTACTATTATCTCTTTATGACTTAATAACCTATTTCTTGTGATTCTTAATTCAGTGGTTTTACCAAGATATGTAGCTAAAACATTTAAAGTAATATGAAGCCACAGGTACAAAAAACACAAGAGAACGATGACAGCCTAATCACTGTTTGCTAGCTTATGTAGCTAATACAGGAAGTAATCCATGTGATCTGTGTGATTGCTATTTGATGAGGCTTCTCACTTGTTGACTCTGATCTGGGGGTTTTAGCCTGTATTTTTATGCTTTTAGCACTGTAGACCTTTTTCAAATTTCCACTTTATTCTGCTGGAAGTACTTGTTGCAGGGTTACACAGCTTCTGCTAAAACAACACCAATGGCTGAGTAGACCATAGACACATACATAGATGCTGTGTTGGGTTCAGTCAGGCATGTCAACACAGCTGCCGGACTGCACTCAGTACAATTACAGAGCAGAAGTTAAGGAAAGGTAGCATCCAAAATCATACTGTTTCAAGAACATAGAACACTCAGAAAGTGGGACAGGATTGTATAATCATGAGAATGCAAATTTTCTCTGGCTTTTATTAAGCTCATTTGATTTAATGACCTATACTGGGTATCTTTACTTAATGTGAAGTAGTTGTACTATTTTATACAGTATATTTCATACATTGAGTGTGTTTAAATGCGCTCAATAATCCAGTCATACTCGGATCTCTGCAGTTATCTGATTATTCAAATGGTCATGTAAAAATCACACTCCAGTTTCTTCGATCGGAGTAAAGTCTAGAAATCCGATTAAGAAATCTGATAAAGGGAGCTTGATTTAAGCTCAGTAATTAGATTTCTCATGTATACTCTTGCTGGATTTCTTTAGGATTCCTCAGTCTGTGCATGTGTGAAAACAGGTCACAGTACCAGAAATAAGCAAGCAGTGTTTAACACAGCACCTGTGAAATGGCAATAAAACACTTTCGGAGCGACACTGAAACCAAACACATGACTGACAAAATGAAGGATTTAAATATTCTTCAACTTCTATATGATGCATGTTCATATTTTCTTCTTCTTCTTCGAGTTTATTCGCCGGTTCTAAGGAGAAATCTGGTTATTGTCTCACTCATGTGAACCAGGAGTTTTTGCGTTTTCTGATTACTCAAGTGCACGTAAATGCGTTGATCAGATTACTGACAAAATCAGATTTTCTGCAGTTATCGGATTATTAAGACAATCATTAATGAACATCATTAAGAAAAATGAATTGTAAGTGGGCATTATAGATACAGCATATAATCACATTAGATTAGCACCTTCTTGCTGCGTTTTGGGGGTCCTATTCCATTTTTATGTGCATCAAGATTATTTACATTTATGAATTTGTGTGTGAGACTGTTGTGTTTCTACCAGGGCCAGCGCTAAACTTGTCTATTTTTTAACGTCAGGTGCAGACGATACTTCTCCTGTTGTTCCAGACAGCTAATGTTTGCAGTTACAAAACAAAAATAAAAGCACCTGAGAGTAGTCTGTGTGACCTAGATACTAGCTTTTTTTTTAGCTCTCAGTATATACACAGCAATTTGTCAAAAATGAAGAAATCTGCTTTGCACTTGCAAACATATTGATTGTCATTAGATCACCACCTGCTCAAGAGAGATCAAGTCAGTTGAGTAATAAGCAAGTTATTGCCGTTTTAATTCGAAAAGTCATAATAGCTCAATACATGTGTATTTGGTGACAAGTGAGTCTTTACCACTCCAACAAGGTTAATGAGCAGACGTATTGCCTCAATTAAGAAGGACAGACAACATGGCATCTATGTATTGTACAGCTTCCCTAAGTGCTTGAGCTCTTACCTCAGTTTCGATGGCTTCTCAGCTGATGAGGAAGAGGAAAAATGGGTTTGTGCATTTAGGTGAGACAAAGGCATAAACTTTGTCATAAGGAGGTGAAGTATCTTTGTGTCAGCATTTCACTGCTGCTGATTAATGTTACACTGAAAATGAAGACTGATTGAGCTTTAAAGTTGGTGCTGTTACCAGTAGGCCTGGGCGATAGGGCGATGTAGTCAGATATTTATTAGCTAATTATTTTTAGATATCGCCCAGGCCTAGTTACCGGCCACTTTCAGTTCAGTTTCATGTTTCCCCTCAAAATGCTGCCAGCTTTTGAGAGAGTAAGTGCTCAGCGGGGAGTAGACTGGACTGGAGCTTGTGGTTGTAGAAAACGTCTAAACGTCTACAGTGGCACTACGGACCTAAATGTCACGGCACACCCCCCTGCCTGTATGTTTACCTTTTTGCCATTTAGTTTCTTGTTAGCAAAATCTCCAGCTAACATGGCTAATCTAACTTTTGGTTGTAGTCATTTTCACCTATCCATCGCTTTAATCACTCTGTAGATATTAGCTGCTGTAATCGTAAGTTACTCCAATAGCTGTGAAGGAATTCTCCCACAAAGAATGTATGTATGCTTTATTCAGCTCACACAGGACTAACACAGTATTGTGTGTTTGGTGGTCTCCAACCATTGTGGACACATCCTTGAGTTTCATTCTTGGCCACGAGATGAAGTGACGTACCTTTCCATGGTGAGCTACGTGATACAAACTCCAGTATTTCTGAGGTTAATAACCTTCTGTAAGGCAGTAAAGGAATTTGTTTCACCCGGTGTTTACATACCTCCATTTCTTGTGAAAAGAGCCTATTAGGCTGTCAAGGGATCACAGTGTTTTGATTGTAGCATGAAAATAACTACTGGAGACCTTTTTTGCCTGCTACTTTCTAAAATATTTGATGTTCCAAATTGTTCCAAATTTTGGTAACAATTTCACGGGGTAAATTGTCTACTTTTGCCATTGAAAAACTAGCTTGAAAGTGGTAAAGAGGTTAGACTTAGCCCACCTTGTGTCATGTAGGTCACAGCTTTGCTACGGATCTCCTCATCAATCCGGCCTGTACTGCTCAGATACTGCAGGATGTAAACGTTTGGGGCAAAATTGATCATGTTCTGTTCACCACAGCCATATGGCATCTGAATAAGCGCGTCCAGACCGCTGATGGATGGCCCCAGAAGGTCACCTTTCACAACCATTCACACAAACAGGAAACAGATAATGGAGTCTGACTATCAGAAATTCAAATCAAAGCACAAAAATACACAAAAATACACATGTACATACACACGCGTCAGCCAGTGAATCACCTTGCCTGCTGACCAACAGAACACCCAAGTAAGAGAGAGAGCTAAAAGACCCCCTTTTCCGCATATTTACAGCCAGCACCACCTAAAGCGGCGCCCATGTTTACACCAACCCACTACAGCTCCAAACAAGCAGAGAGGGCCGCTAAGTAGAGTAGCGTGACAGAAAAGAGAACGTTTCACTGCCTCATGCGCCCAGGGCAAGGAACATAATCACACAGCTGCTGGCCATAAAAGAAAAAAAAAAAACATGCAGAAGAGTGAACTACAGCCAAGAGTGCCATTATTCCCCTGCTTCCCTTCAAATATTTATGGATCAACTTGTTTAGGGGCTTATCATCTTATGTCAGTGTTTCCAAGGAAGGCCTATGTTTTATTAGACAAATGAATAGAGAGAGAGGGGAGTGAGAAAAAGGAGGATGAAAGTGAATAAGAGAGATAAAAGGGATTGTGAGTGAGTTAAGAAGTTAGAAACATAAAAAGAGGGGAAAAGATAGGAATCATGATTGTTGTTAAAGCAAGCAATCAAATATGCTTTAATGTCTTCTAACAGTGTTGTAACATTGTGTAGTCAGCAGCCATAAACACTAAGGGCAGAGCACTGCTGAATGGTGGTTGAGATAATGTAGTGGATAACATCATCCTATTCTCGCGTTTCGCGTAACGTCACACGCGTATTGTCATGGAGGACCGAATCAGGGGGTGACTACCCTAGCGCAATGCCTTTAATATGCTGTGCGACAGAAGCCGAGAATGACGAGAGACTACACTCAAACTCCGGGTTTAGAGCCCCCCCGTACTGTATAGTTTATATATTTTTCTGCTGTACACAACTCATTTAGCTCCAGAAGGGATTAATTAGCTAATAATATAAGGTATTTTAACCAGGGTAACCACAGTTATGCAGTGAAGGGGTTGCAGGACTGGAGCTGAGGAACTGCACTAATTGCAGTAGCAAACTTACAAAATCATGTCTGTCGAAACACAACATAGTTTTTTCGACCCACGACATTCAGTCTGATATTTATCATTTATGTTACTCCATTCAAACTTCATTTAAATCTCCAGACACAGAGAAGTAAAGTTATACCCGGCTGTTTGCAGCTCCGTTAGAGGGACAACTGTTCATATCTCGGCTGTTAACATTAGCAAAAGTTATCTAAAGGCTAGCATTGTTCATATCTGTGTTAATTAGCTGATGTCGCCTTACCCTTCCTATGATGACAGAGTTTTTTCTCCTCTTTATGCAACACCATGGAACCCACACTGACGTGAAGAGCCAGTAGGCTTCTGTGCTTTTAAATGCTTTGAGACTCTCCAGAATAGGGAGAGGGGTTTTGTATGAGATAAATATATATGTCAGGAAAACATAACTTTCCGCCAGTTTAATGGGACCAGGAGCTCGGGGGGAACTGTATAAGTGTATAATAACTGTTTGTCAACTTCTTCTCCTCCCAAGTAAGTTGATTAATTTTAGCCATCTTTCACCTCTAGTTACATTTGTGCAGCGCAGCCAGAAATTCAGTCCCAAATATGGCGGCCACAACAGAAAAATCATGACTGAAACCCTAGAATACACGGAAGATTGAAGTTTCAATTACTTGTCCAGGCAGGAATGCCACTGCTACAGCAGTAAGAGTTGGTGAGGTGCTAGTGTGGTCGTTTCTCTACTGTAAGCCTCTCGCTGTAGACCATTCCACTACAACTTTGCATCACTATAAGTCATTTCACGCTACCGCTGAAAGTAGCTCCACGGTATGTTGTAAGACACTTACAAGTTATGCTTCACTCTAAATCTACCACTGCAAGTCGCTCCACTGTAAGTAAGTCCACTCCGGTTGTAAGTTGCTCCAATATAAACCTGCCACTGCAAGTTGCTTAACTGTAAGTTATAAATCACTCCAGCCTTCCACTACAAGTTGCTCCACTGTCGCATTGGCTATATGCGTAAATGCAAATGGTGGAATTGAAGGCAAGGAGGAACAGAGCTGATCCAGTTGACATACCTACAGCAGTCACCATAGCCCTCTGACTGCCTGGCACCACATTTACAGGGAAGTTAAACTCCAGCTCTCTGGACAGGATCATCTTGTTCAGGGGAAACTCCAGAAACAGTGTCTGAGTAAACGACTGCTCTATTCCTTCGGGCTGAAGAAAAGAAAAAAAAAAGATAATGTACATTTACTGGCCATTAGAAATCTTGTAGCTCCATCTTGCTCGTGCCCGGTTCAAGATTGTAGCCCATCTGCTGTTGCACAGTTTGTTCCATCATCTAGTTCTTTATCATTGGCCAGGTTTTGACCACTGAACCACTTTTGGATATTTTTGGGTATTGGACAGCTCTCAACCGAGCAGTGACACTGCTGTGTTTGATATAGTCAGATGGAGCTCATAAAGTGCTCAGTGAGTGGAAATACAAGGTGGGTGTTTCTAATAAAGTGGATGCTAAGTTTTAATGACACGGTCAGACCTTCAAGAAGCTCTTTTACTTAATTTGATTTGTACAGAGTACAGATGCTAAGGGCTTAGGACACATAATAAATCTTCATTCTGTGTCTCTCAGTCTGCTTAATGTGGTCAGAAAAACAGGCATTTGGGGCCCAAGAAAAGGGTGGAAATTGGATTGGAGGATGCAGCTGTTTCTAAGAGAGAGAGATCATAACTGGTCAAGTGAAGTCTGTGTTTCATTACTGAAACAATATTCAATGAATGCTAAATCAATATTCAAAACTGATGAAATATTTCATCACCATAAAGCATTTAAAGGAATTGTTTTTCATGTTACCTTGACCAGGATGGTCTGGTAGACAGAATCGGAGGCATAGAGGGAGGTGGCTTTGACGATGATGGGCACCTGTCCTAATTCCATGACTTTAATGGGGAACAGCACTGTAGTGCCATTCTGACTCCATATAGACACCCTCATCATGCCATCCATAGAAGAGTCCTCACCACTAGGAGACACAAACTCAAACATACTGCTCTCTTGGACCATGACGAACACCTAGACAGGTATGACAGAAAGAGAAGGTGAAGTGAGACTTGGGTGAACACTTTTCATGTGCGCTTTAAAAAAAGTGTGCTTCAAAATATCCACTAATCCTCTAATTATATCTAATAATTATAATTTCCTCAGGGTTAAGATTTTTTTTATGATTTTTGTTTAAACTTTATTAGTATATCTCTTGCGCCCACACAGTATGGCAACCGTTACTGAAATACTCTGTAGGGGAAATGAAACATGGGTATTTTGTGCAACAACATGCTTTAGGTCACCATATCATATTTAAATAGCATATCTGTGAATTTTCACACCATTTGGACAGATATTTCATCCTGAAGAAGAACCATGAAAGTAACTTTTTACACAGTGAGTACAACTTACAGTGAGAGCTAGTCAGGCTAGAGTACGGCCTCCACACAGTGGGGTTAGCCGTAACACACTGTTAAACTAAGCCACTCATGAGGAACAATGACAGAGGTCCATGTCTCTCCATAGAAAAGTTAAGACGGTTAATTATTTGAAATTTGTATGCACAGATTCAACAAGTACATTGTAAAGATATTATGTAAATACCATATCATTTAGTTGTATCATGATGACATTTCAATAAATTTGACCAAGCCTCTTTTCATCACTCATAATTATTGTTATGCATATTTTTATACATGTATGTGTTGGAAAGCTCTTCTGGTTCAAACATGATAGACTCGTATTGAATTAATTGCCCATATTAACTAGAGGTGTCTGTTAAAATTACCCCACTCATGATGTTAGTTTTGCACAAGTTTTGTAAGTAACATTCGCACTCATTCTGCTTTTGGCTGAATTGTTTATGAAAGTAGTACTGTATCTTACACATACTCTAATACATATTCTACTGTACCATATACATGATCTAATACATATTCTACTGTAGCGTATACATTATCTAATACATATTCTACTGTATCTTATACATACTCTAATATATATTCTACTGTACCATATACATGATCTAATACATATTCTACTGTAGCTTATACATTATCTAATACATATTCTACTGTATCTTATACATACTCTAATATATATTCTACTGTACCATATACATCATCTAATACATATTCTACTGTAGCTTACACATAATCCAATACATTCTATTGCAGCTTATAAATAATACATATTCTACTCTTCTAATCTTATACTTACTCTACATATTCTACTGTGTCTTATACATACTGGAACACATTCTGCTGTATCTTAAACATACTCTACCACGTATTCTACTGTATTTTATACATACTCATACATATTCTACTGTATCTTATACATACTCATACATATTCTACTGTATCTTATACATACTCTAATACATATTCTGCTGTACCTGACACATAATCTAATACATATTCTACTGTAGCTTATAAATAATACATATTCTACTATATCTTATACTTACTCTACATATTCTGCTGTATCTTATACATGCTGTACCACGTATTCTACTGTATCTTATACATACTCTAATACATATTCTACTACCACTCATACTCCAGTAATAGAACTGGTGTTTCAGGGATAGATTAACTGGTTCCTGCAAGTAAAAGTAATGTCTTCATATTAACGCTCAGAAACAATAAAGCCTGTTTCTGCTCTGTAAAGAACCGAGAACTATGTGCTTGTGGTCTTTCATGCATTGACACAAATGAATTCCATATTGAGTGAGCTATGCTTATGTAATCATGACACACATATGTGTGTTCTGGAATGCGTTTCAGAAAGTCTGAAACTATAAACCCTGAATTAGTTTTAACCCAGCAGGGAAAAAGGCACTCTGCTTCTGCCCCCTGTGTCCAGTCTGAAATATGGCTAAGAAACAAAGGCCTGTTTGATACGTCTACCTCCGTGAAGTAAAAAGAGTTAACAGCTCTTTCATTGAAAAACTACTCAAGTGAGTTACTTTATGATATTCGCCTATGGAAAGAATAGTAACTCATGCTTAATGATTCAACATACTGGAAGTGGGCGGTTCAAAGGAGCAGCGATTGAAATTTCTGCCACCACCAGCAGCAGCTGCAGCGCACCATAGCATTGGTAGAAAAGAAAATTGGTAGAAACTCTGTTAAGAGTTCAATTCTACCAACTTTTTCCAGTTGAATTTTTTTGGGAACCAGTGGCCTCTGAATGCCTTATTGTTGAAGCCCAGGTTAATCCAGTACTATATAACAAGAATACAGGACATCAGATTTTTTCACCTTAAATAAACAGTATACACTGCAAAAGCCCTCCTTTGATAATCATCCATTTTTCCTGGTGATGCTTTTGCCATGCCAACGTTTGCATGGCTTCATGCCATTGTCAGTCACATACTACTATGGAACAATGGTTTTTTCAGCGCCAACTTGTAAAGGCAGCATAAGACTTCATTGGGTTTTGTGGACAGCTAAACTAACCTATTAGCTTATCTTAAACATTAGCTTACAATAGCTTAATTAGCTAGCTAACAGGCTCTCAGTTGTAGGTTCAGCAACTGCTTTAGGTTGAATAAAGGTCTGCCATGCTTGTTATTCAAAACTAACAAAAAGGAAATAGTAAAAAAAAAAATAAAAACAGCAAACAGCTAATTACTTCGTCAGGTTGGATATTAAGCAGAATTTTCTCCTTTTTTACTATAATGGTTGTTAAAAATTAAAATAGCTATTGATTTTATGAGAAATAAAAGTTAGAGTAAAATTACATTGATTTATTTATACCAAAAGAATACTGTTATTGGAGAGAAATGTATTCACGTATTGTAACCAAAGAAGTGTCAGTTGGTTAACTTTGGTGGTATATTACATATACTCATGACACAGCATGATACACTATAGGCTGGCGTAGAACAGAAGGCCCACCTCCAGGTCCCGGTCCATGTAGTTGAACAGGCTGACCTCCAGCAGCAGCAGCTCCCCGCGGATGATGTAAGCAGGGAGATTCAGGGACAGGAAGAAGTCTTTGAACACTTTCAGCTGTGGGAGACGCTCAGAGTAAATAAGTGTCCATTATACAATAGGTCTTTTTTCCTGTGGTATGACTGCATTCTGAATATGTTTATAACCAGTCAGTAAGCGCACGTTACCTCCACAGGAGCACTAATACCCAAGCCCAGATTTTCAGATATTACAAAGGCAGTGGCCACCCAGGAAGTCATGCTGTCCGGCACAGTCAGTGGGAGAAATGTTGTGGTAGACTGACTGTAATTCAAAGAGCAAAAAGTATCAAAACAGAAGGATTTTCATTAGTGGTCACAGACTTTTGGACCCCACTGTATGTAATTAGTACTTCTGACATTGGCATCCCACTTGTTCACTTAGTATAAAGTCCCCTCTTTTTGTTTGTGGGTGTTTAAAATAGGCCCTGAAATATTACATAAAGACTAGAAACCATGCTACACAAACAGTAGGCAGTGCCCCCTAGTCAGCGCAATGAAAATTACACTTTACTGCTTATACCAAATTGTCCTACAAGAGGCATCACTGGACATAAAGAGGATTTCTGTGGCAGGTGGTTTAAATAGAGAGAGGGCAACAGGCAGATGGGTGTTATTTTGCTCCATACTTCATGTTGATGTCCAGCCACAGCCATGTCTCAGGGAAATTCCTGCGCTGCTGCTGTTCTTCCTCCTCTAGGGCGAGCATTTGCACTCCCTCCCCTGCTGTGGGAGACAAGAGACTTTGTGAGAAAGGAGCTGTGAGCACCCCTGGTCATCTTCAGTCCAGAACACATTATTATATTTCCCCTCACTACCACTAAAATGCTATTAATCACTGTTTTCAATAATATAAAACCAGTTTGGCTACAAATACATGTACAAAATAGGTCTAATATTCTAAAATTTTACAAACAGTTTTTAGTTAGCCATAAAAATGAAGACATTTTTAATGATGAATGAAGCTGTGGATGATCCCATAATAATTCAGAAAGCTCTAATGCATCGAGGGTAACTTTTTTTTATTATTTCATTAAAATTAATATCCAGAATGGCTCATTTTCCAAATTCAGGGACCGGATCTTGCTAATCAAACAGCTATTCATGGTACTTTAGTGATCTTTATAGTTTATTATTAATTAACATTTGCACTTTTTTAACTGTTCTACTATTTGTCATAAATTCTTTTGGTTCCCAAAATACTTTAAAGAGTGAATAAACCCTTGTTTTACTTTGAAGTGACTAGTTCTTAACATTTCACTCCACACTGTGCAAGTTATAAGTGAAAAAGTAATCATTAATATGACAAGCAAACTTTTGAACAGTAGCATAGCTTTGGTCAAATTGCTACAACAGTTGATTTGTTGAGTTACATGTTTAGGATGCACCTATTTAAAACCTCCAAAACATCTGATCTCATAAGTCATATGGTCCGTGTAATATTTGCATTTAAGAGTATTTGCATTTCTCTTTCATTTACCCCTATTATTAGACTTACGTAATTCAGGCCTAAACACAGGTAGGTAGGTGTAAACAGGGTTCAGCCTCGCATCTGTCAGGACAGTCATACCACTCGCCTAGGGAACGAAACGGAAGAGCCTTTAAACCCCCATGGTTAACTCCCTTTGCTTTATTTCTTAACTATGCATAGGAGAATGGAAACATGAGTCATAAATGTGAGATCAGATAAAGCCTTTTCATGCTACCATGAAGACTGAATATGGATCCCTCATGCTCATCCAATCCAGCAGAGGCTGAGAAACCTCTGTACTGAACTTAGACAGCTCCTCTATCACCTGCAAAAAGACAACACCGTTCTTTCTTTTATAACAGTATAATAACAACACATTAGTAAAGAAACAAAAGAAAACACTCAACCCTAATGGCCCCAAAACCCACTTTGAGATCAGCATACACTGGCCAACAAAAATTAGGGGATACCATGTCTTCTTTTCAAACTTTTGAATGAATGTATTATTTTTATGGTTACTATTTAATTCAGTATGAAAAAAGACCTGCGAAGGTTTTGTTAGCGTGAAACAGCAATGTGCTAATCCATTATCACTTTATTTCTTTGTTCTTTATTCTTTGAAGTCCAAATTAAACACTTCAAAGTGGTTTATTCACTATGTATTTAGCTTCATTAATTATGGCCTATATTAGTACATAGTTACACGTCTGTTATGTGATTTATTAGTTGTAACTAGTTAGTAATTGTAATAATACACAATAAACACTAAGAGCTTTGTACCTTACCAAGGTACATCTTGTTAGTGTATACTTGACAGCATTTGAGTCCTATAAGTTCTAGGTAAGTTACAAGACTTCTGGAGGTTATTTCTTTAGAGCTAATATGACCAAATCAGCAATACTTCAGAATGTTTTCATTAAGTCAATTTACATCACAAATTAAACACTTATTTATGTTATTTTTGTTGCCAAACACATTGAAAACTTCACTGAAATGTTAGTATGTGTTCCATACAAGATTTTAGTGGCTAAATGTGCACTTTAGAATTTGAAATACATCTTGAAGTATTAGAGACGTATTAGTTCTTCAGTAATAAACTCAAAAAAGCAAAAAATTAAACTACCTTTAGGAATTAATACTGCTAATTAAACACTTTTCAGTGTATACTGAGATGATAATTCATGCTCGATAATTTGCATAACAAAGTCTAAACAAAGTATTTGTTGTGCATTATTACAACTAATACTGTAATTATTAGTTATTTTCACACAATCTCCATTTTAAAAAATTTTTAAACGTAAATAAACTGCTTAGAAGTGTACTGAACAAAGAACTAGACTATATATACAACCCCATTTCCAAAAAAGTTGGGACACTCTGCAGAATGTAAACCAAATAGATTGCAATGATATGCAAATCATGTAAACCATATTTTTAAAGGAAAATATTACAAAGACAACAAATCAAATGTTGAAACAGAAATTTTATTGTTTTATTGTTGAAAAATATATGCCCATTTTGAATTTAATGCCAGCAACATGTTCCAAAAAAGTTGGGACAGGGGCGTGTTTACCACCGTTTCATCACCTCTTCTTTTAACAACACTCTGTAAGCATTTGGGAGGAAACCGACTGCTGTAGTTTTGAAAGTGAAATGTTTTCCCATTCTTGTTTGATATAGGATTTCAGCTGCTCAACAGTTCTGGGGCTCATTTGCCATATTTTTCATTTCATAACCCTCCAAATGTTTTCAGTGGTGACAGGTCTGGATTGCAGGCAGGTCAGTTTAGCACCCGGACTTTTTTAATATGGAGCCATGCTGTTGTAATACATGCAGAATGTGGTTTGGCATTGTCTTGCTGAAATAATCAAGGCCTTCCCTGAAAAAGATGTCGTCTGGGTGCCATGACATGTGTACTAATGCACCTCTATACCATAATGAATACTGGCTTTTGAACTGTACACTGATAACAAGCTGAGTGGTCTTTAGCCCAGAGGACACAGTGTCCATGATTTCCTAAAAGAATTTCAAATGTTGATTTGTCAGACCACAGGACACTTTTCCACTTCCTCTCCGACCATTTCAAATGAGCTCGGGCCCAGAGAAGGTAGCAGTGTTTTTAGATCCTGTTTATATATATTTTCTTCTTTGCATTTCAGAGTTTTAAATTGCATTTGTGGATGCAGTGACAAACTGTGTTCACAGACAGTAGTTTTCAGAAGTGGTCCTGAGCCCATGCAGTGATTTCTTCTACAGAATCATGTCTGTTTTTAATGCAGTGCCGCCTGAGGGCCTAAAGATCACGGCCAGCAAATACTGGTTTTCAACCTTGTTCCTTATGATATTTTGTACTGTAGATGATGAAAAGCAAAAGTTCTTTGCTATTGTATGTTGAGAATCGTTATTCTTGAATTGTTGCACTATTTGATCATGCAGTCTTTCACAGAGTGGTGAAACCCTCCTCATCTTTACTTCTGAAAGACTCTGCCTCTCTGTGATGCTTTATTATACTCAATCATGTTTCTGACCTGTTGCCAATTAACCACCAGGTGTTTTTTTAGCATTACACAACTTCACCAGCCTTTTGTTGCCCCGTCCCAATATTTTTGGAATGTGTTGTTTGCATCAAATCCAAAATGGGCAAATATTTTTCAAAAAACAATAAAATTTCTCAGGTTCAACATTTGATATGTTGTCTTTGTATTATTTTCAATAAAATATAGGGTTTAAATGATTTGCATATCATTTTATTTACATTTTGCACAGCATCCCAACCTTTTGTGCACCCATTCCCCCATATATCACAGTGTTAACACGTTTGTTGTAATACCGTTCATTACCAGCTATTAGCTTGATAACACTTATTTATGGCTTAATGTCCCCCCTACACTAAAGTGTGACCAAACTAAGAAAAGATGCAAAAAAAAAAAAAACACTTGAAAGTGTTCCCACGGGCCATGTGCCTGTTGAAATCAAAGGTCAAACAAAAGAGCTCTGCGGTGTGAAACCTGTTGGCCAGGTTTTTCAAAAGCCCAGTTCCTATCTTTTAACTCTGAAACATGGGTGTGTGCTGGGCATTGAATTACATAGGAGTGCCTTTACAAGTCATTGTCCAGCACATGTTAGGAAGAGGACAATGTGGGAACTCGGAGCATAATTTAGGATTGAACACAGAGACTGAGAGTTCTCTGACTGAACTTTTACAGTTGTTTCTTTGTGATTGCAGATAAGCCACAATAAATTGAGACAATGACTGTAAGAGGACAACTCCCTCCTCTATTGACTTTACACTTGCTCAAAATCAGTGTCACGTATCATCAATGGTTTTTGATGTATCATGCTTACCTTCCTCTCTGTGATGTCATTGGTCCTTTCTGAGTCCAGGCTCCCTTTGTCCACCACCAGGATTCCCACAAGTGATCCAGGCTCAGACACAGAGACGGTAAGAAAAGCCGCCTCTGCTGGCTCTGCCCTATGTGTCCCAAAGCTCAGAGACACCTGCCATTAGGACAGATTATTATGAATTATCAATCAGAATGTTCCAGTGGAGCTAAATGAACTGGAATCTCAAGAAGCAGGTACCATATTTCATTTTTTATTTGCCATTTCACTGGAAACATCTACCATACAGGTCCACTCCATCTAGTTTAGTCTAGTTGCTGACTGCAGCCCATCTGTTGCTGTGGTGTGGGATTATTTCACCCTTGAAACAAGCAGTAGTAAAAATGCTCACTGCCAGTATCGAAGGGAGTCACAGCCACATAAAATTTAATTAAACATTTAATGGTAAATCATGCCAAGGAGCATAGCAAAACCATTCTGAAAGGGAATGTTATCCAACTAGTAAATGGCATTTATTCAAGCTTAAATATGTTTTATTTGTAAAACCAAACACTGCTTTTGCCTGAAATAAAATATTTAAAAAGTGTTATTAATATCAGGATTTACAGGCACTTATTGGGCAGAAAGATTACATTAGTTCAGGATCTGTGTCGGTAGAAATTTGAGGATCAGGTATCGGGTGTCTTTACTAATTAGCCTGTTGTCACTCTGTGTGATATAATAAGCAAAATGGACACTGTGTGAATAAGATGAATGCAGTTATTATTTTCTATTATGCTTCATCATCTTGCACTGTGATGGCAGATATACAGCGCACCAGTGATGAACCTTAACTGTTAGAACTAGGTCGTCAGTTGAGCTAGAAATAAAAAGCCTACCTCTATTAATGTGCTAATTTCTGCAAGCGACCTGATGGGGTTTCTGGTGCAGATGATCAGGTTTTGGGGGTCTACATTAAACATGGACGTTTGAAGCTTGTAAAATGCATTAAATATGTATGTTCACCTTGTATGGAGCTGTTTTACAGTGACTCTTTCAGTAAAGAGCTCTGTTGTCGCTGCTTTCCATTTCTGGAAACTGACTGAAACCTAGTTATACTACAGCTCATATCGTAGGTCCGAACTAGACGTATTACTACAATACTTGCAAAGTTTAAATACAACAAGCGTGATGGTTATAAATAAAAGGTAACATTTTTTCAATTTCCAAGAAATCATTAGGCTTACTACTTTAGACTGCTGTAACATGTTACTGGCTGGTTGCCCTGCAACTAGCCCAGAATGCAGCAGCCTGTGTCAAATCTTACTAATCTGTCTAAGCGTTATCCAGCCCATCCAGACCACACTTAGTTGGTGGAAAATATATTTTTTTACATAGCTCCTAGGAATGCAAGCTCAATAATTGTTTTTAAATACATATTTCTTTAGGCTGCATATGCCTTGAAGTATTGTGGCTCATTTTCTCCTGTTTGAAACGGTGCTGTTATTCCTATTTAGACTGTAGTGTTCTTATCTTGCCAATATTTTTACTTATATTCCTGTGTAAAGCACTTTAAGATTTTATAGCTAAAATGTGCTATAAAAAATGAAGATTTATTATTATTATTATTATTATTATTATTATTATTATAAATGTAGCCTTTTTCTGCCTAAGGCTGTGACCCAGCTTTAGCACTGGAGAGAAACGTCTGGCAAGCATCGACTATCTCAAAAGAAAGAGAGATTGTGTTTCTGGATTAGCACAAAACATACCAGTGACAAAGACCAGACCTGGACAGAAAAAGATTCAGCGTTAGCCAACCATCTCTGATTTACTCTATGAATACACCAGTGACCTGAAAGTTGGTCAGAAATTAGCTGAGCACGAATTCACAAACCCCAGATCTTCCCAAAAGTTCCACATTCTTTTATGCCAATAAACTGAATGATGTAGAACTTCATGCGGGAGTTAGTATAATTCATATTTCACTGGCTCTTAAGTTGAATATGGTGTATTTGTGCCACAGTGTAACTAAAACACTTTGGGGGACACAAGCTTGACCCTTGATGGAATGATGGAACAACAAAATGCAAAAACAAAATCTTTTTCTCCAGGTCATTTACTATACTAAACATACTGGTCTGGTATTTCCACTCTAAACAGAGTCCAAGCATCATAAATCTAAACATCATAACCCAGAGTCAGCGCTGGCTTGGGTGGTCAGAGTCAACTGGTTTCCTCAGACTGTGGGAAAGTCTTTTTTATGGTACTGGTGGACTTTTGATACAATTGTCTATGATATTTTAATGGACAGGCTTGAAAACACAGTTGGTTTAGACAGACAAGTTCTTGCATGGGTTTAAGTTTTACTTGATAAACCACTTCCAATTTGACAGTATAAATGCAGAGCTTTTTGAACATACGAGAGTGCAGTATGGTGTCCCACAAAGCTCTGTTTTAGGGCCCTTGCTATGTTCCATTTATTTAAAACTCCTAAGATACATAATCTTTAAACGCAATGTTGCCTTTTACTTTTATACTGATGATGCTTAATTATACTCAGTCCACTGTCAGTAATATGTCAAAGAATGCATTTTATTACTTGAGAAACATATCCTTACAGGATGCTGAGAAATTACTTCATTCTTTCATAACTATTAGATAAGGCTACTGTAACGTGCTACTGACTAGGCCTCCAGGCAACAACCTAATAGCCCATCCAAACCACTTCACTCAGCTGAGGCAGGCTTATTGCAAACTTCTAGGATCACTTACAGCTCAGTTGGTGGAAGATCATTTTCTTCATTCATTCTAGAGAATATTAGGAATGCAGGTGCAATACTTGTTTTTAAATCCAGATTAAATACATATTTATCCTTAAAACAATTTTATTTATATTTAGTATTTATTCTTTGAGCTGCATGTGCCTCAAAGTACTGTGGCTCATTTTCTGTTTTTTGTAACTACTGTGTTTGTGGACACTGTTGAGTCTAGTCTTGCACTAAGCTGCAGTGTCAATGTTGTTTCATCATTACAAATTCTTAGTCTTAATCTGGATCTGGGAAATGGCCCTCAGAGTTTTTACCTTTACTCATCTACTGTTCCCTAGTGCTGCATAAATAGTGAACTCAAGGTTAAACCCATGAAGTACTGTATACTGTCACTTAAGTCTAGTGGCAACTTTACGAGTTAAATTTACATTGTTTCTCAGGACTTGCGTGAAAGAAACATCTAGTGCGTCATTGATGATCTCTCCATCAGGACGGATGCAGTAGACCACAACACTGGCCGAAGGAAACCACGACAAGTCTGGAGACAGTGTAAAGGAAGACGAATTCAATGTCCCAGCATCCAGAACCTGACCACGAGCTGTCACCTATACACACAAAACACACACACATACACATACAGTCCTATGCAAAAGTCTGAACAATTCAGTCAAGTTGCATGTTTTGTTGATTTTCTAAGTGATGATAAGTGAACACATCCTCTACAGAGAACAAACATCTGCACATTTTAATGCACAATTACTGTTTATTTGTTGTATTTAATAAACTGGGGGAAAAAAACTAAATGTGGCCTGTGCAAAAGTTGTGGCATATTTTACATATATATGTTTATATATTATTTTTTTCCAAGATGTTAAATTCAGTAAATAAACAGTAATTGTGCATTAGAATCTACAGAAATGTGTTCTCTGTAGAGGACATGTTAACTTATTTACACTTAGAAAATCAACAAAATATGTAACTTGACTGTACAAAGGGTAAACCTGAGAGGAGACAACTACTGTTCAAAAGTCTGGAATGACTTGTCAAAAAATTTCTTATTGCTATTTTATTTAGTAATAACCAACAGTTTTAGAGTGAAATGCTATAAACTGGACACCAGTAGATATTTTAAATGTTAATTAATGACAGATGCCATAATGTTCAGTGCCATGACAGCTTGTCACATGATTTTTCATGTGTACTCTAGTTAGCAGTCATTACGACAAACATGATATCTGTCATGACAATTGTGTATGATAGTGTGGACATACTGAACAATGTATATCTGCATATTTTTTGTCAGAAAAATGTAAAAAAGCATATGTTTAACAGAAAAGAGCCTTCAGATCATAGTATACCAACTTATCTAACCTATCTGTAATAAGTTATATACTTATATAACTTATATATCTTATCTGTAATAGGTTTTGATATTGTAATAGATATAAGGTAATCCACTTGAACTCCAGAACTGGGGTTCAAAAAACAATTAAAGCTACAGAGAAACTAGGACTCCTAACAACCACCTGCAAGACCTGGTAGACACCAAAACTGTCCTTATCAAATAAACAGCACTTAAAGCTTTCATCTTTGAAGGAGAGGAGAAAATCAAGCTCCACTCTTGCTCAGATCTGGACATCTGACAAATTAAATTCTCATTTTAGAATCAGTTCTAAAATGTCATTATTTAGCTTTCTACACCATTATTTGAATCCTCTGAAGCTGAAAGTACTAGTATCATAAAATCATTTCATATTTATGTTTGCAACACAGTTATTTTTTATTATTAAAAACAGTAACTTCTGAACAGTACTATGACTCGACACACAGCATGAGATGTTTTGAGTAATTAGTGACCCAAATTCTACTGCATAAATAAACAGAATGCAAGAACAATGAACTGTTCTATGTACTGTTAATCACTGCCTAATCAAACCACATTTTCCCCTCAAGTAAACTGACTTACCATGTAATGGAACTTAGCAAAGGGAAAATTTGTTTCCACCGTGATTGTCAAAGGCTGTCCGATCTGTAAGTGTCATGCAATAAGACCACATATTAATCCTGAATCACTATTATAAAATATAATGTGTAAGAAAAATACACATCAAAAAAGAGACTTACCTGGAAGTTGCTGGTTGTTTGAAGCTGGATATAAGATTTGCTGGGAGATGAGTATTCTCTGTACAGCTGTAAGGTTTTGTGTGTGTCTTCATACTGGACCTAGAACACACACCAGATGGCAGCATGGCACAATATCCACATAAGAATCATAAATGAAGACATTGTTCCTCTCTCCCACTGAATGATTTATAGTCTGAAACCCTGGCAATTGGCTATAAAAACACAATTCAAAAGATTAAAAACAGCCAGAAGGTAGTGTGAGGGGAAGGTGGAAGTGTAGAGCAGGCTTTGTGCTGATTTGGATTTTGGATATCAGTGGTCTTAAAACAATAGTTCAGCGGCACATCAAATTTTCCTCATATCCAAGGCATGTTTATTGTCTGACACTGGAGCTATGAGGCTAATGTAATGGAAACATTCACCCCACCAATTAGCTTTGTGCAAATCATTTGAATCACAGTGGGGCAGTTAGTAAAATGTAAATACAAACAGAAGGCAGTGATCTATAAATCTACTTTGACCTGTATATGAACGACAACAGTACAAAGACAAGATATGTATAATTTTATCAATGCCATGTTTTTTTGTAAATATACACTTATCATACAAATGTTCCAAAAACATTAAAAACAGCTAGTCAACCATGCTCGGATATAAATGGAGCATCCAGGAAAGGCGTAGTCCTTTAGGAGCAAGGATGGTAGAGGCTTGACATGCAGCCAAAAATGCATCAGCAAATAATCCAACAATATAAGAACAATGTTCCTCAATGAGTGTTTGGAAAGATTTTAGGTAGTTCACCCTCTACAGTGCAGAATATCATCAACAGATTCAGGGAATTGGGAGACATCTCTGTGATTAAAGGAAAAGACCAAAAACCAAAACTTAATGCCCATGACTTTTGACCCCTCAGATGGCACTGCATTAAAAATGGCATGTTTCTGTGATGGATATCACCACATGGACTCAGAGGAGTACTTGACAAACTGTTGTCCATAAACACTGTTCATCGCTGCATCCACAAAAGCAAGACTGTACTATGCACAGCCTAAGTCATATGTCAACAGCGTGCAGAAATGCTGACGACTTCTCTCGGCTCATATTCATCTGAAATGTACTGACGCTCAGTAGAAATATGTGTTGTGTTCTGACGAGTCACCTTTCAGATTGTTTATGTATGGACGTTGTGTTCTCTGGGCCAAAGATGTCTGTCTATATGGCTGGTGTGACTGTGGCTTTAGTCTGTTAGCCTCTTACTAGTTTTGCTACTGAGCTGTGAGTATAGTCTGACACATAGTTTAATATAAAATCTTTTCAGCTTCAGAAATCAAATAAAAACAGATCCACCCGCCAGATGATCAGTATAGCATGTATCCGGCATTATATGTTCTTCAGAAACACTTTCCCACCATTTCTTAGTCTATTGATGCTGACTAATTTACCGCCACTGCCGTTCTCACTGAAAGATTGTTTTGTCACAGGTTTCTCCTGAACTGAAGAAGGAAGGAATATTTAGAGATTATTGTGATTGGCAGAGAGGCTATTTTGCAAATGGTCAGTTGTGTAAATTAGATTGTTCTTTTGCTGAACTATTGTTTTAAAAGCCTTAGTTTTGGTCATAACCAGCGCAGTGTTACCTCTATGGTAAGCGTAGCCACATCTTCTGTGAGCTGTGTACTGATGGGTAAAACTCCATCAGCAGGAACATACAGCTGCAACCTCTCCACTGGCATATTTCCAGAAGGGTAAGGGAAGGTGGAGGCTGGGAAGATGTCCTGTGTTGAATTAGTGAAGTTGTGACTTCGTGGTTGAAGATTTGCGGGGTCATCCCATACCATCGGACTGAAAGTCTGCTGACTGATGGTTACACTCACACGCCTGTCCTGGTCCTCTGAGGTCAGGGGATGGTTGTTGTAGGTGGACAGTTTTAGCTGTAACAGAGAAAAGCACATATGAATTAGTCTGGCTGATAAAAACTCTTTATACACTGGCATTACTTTTAAAAGCACATATAAAGCATAAAAAGCTAAGCTACAATTTAAAGCTGGGTTAGGATTTGGCGACCTCTCTGGTAGAAATGTGTAATTGAATGCAACATGCAGAAGAACGTTCGTAACATGGGCCGTGCTTGGGACTCCTTCCCTGAGGGGATGAATCTGATGTTTGCGAGCGCGTTGAAAGAATATTCATTGAGAACTCAGTTAAAACTTGGTGAAGGACGTGTCTTCTGAGGATGTGAGTGAATTATCTACTGTAGTCATTATATCTTTATCAGTATAATGTTGACTTTGCACTGGACACCTAAATATTGAGCTGGAGCTTCATTTTGAGCCTAAGTTTGACATTAATTTGTAAAGATGTAGGATGTGGTGTGAAAAACTCCCGAGCTGACGCCTCTGACTTTTAAATGATTATTTCAGGCTTTACAGGCTGACTGGCAGCAGCGCACGCTCACTATTTCAGCCTGTTTTTATTCTCCTGACTCAGTAATGATGCTTCTCTCAGGTTTAAAAATGTATATGGTGCAGTTTTAAATTAAAGCAGATATAAAATGTAGCAATTATTTTTACATATAAAGGATAAAAGTTTCAAGCCTCCCTCCAGCCTTGTAGTTCACAGCGCTTAGCACACCGATCCCTTTCTGAACTCCTGTTCCCAGAATCCACCAGGGGAGCATATGACACTCACCCCAGAGCCATCCTCCAACCACAAACCACTCTCAAGGTCATCATCACCTGAATACTGTTACTCCTGCCTCCAATTTCACCCTTCAAAGACGGTTTACTTCTACTCTCACTTTGTGAAGTATTGCCCCGTTTCACCAGCACGTACTGAGCATTTTTTCTTGTTTGTTGTTTCCCTTGTTTTTGACCCTGTTTGTATTTTTGACTCTGTTTTTTGCTCCTTCCTATTTGGCTTTGTTTGCTGTGGTTTTTGCTTACTGGTTTTTGATCTTAGCTGTTTATATGTTCCTGTTGTTTGGTAATCGACTTGTTCTTGTTTTGAGTCCAGCCTGGATTTTGACTATGTGTTTGTATTAAAGGCCAGAACATTGTAATTAATGTATTTTACTGTTCATAGCATGATGTAAAAACATCATTGATGATCTGTCTTAGCAATAAGCAAAATGATGACCAAATACAATGATCCTTGTTAAATTTCCCCAAGTAGGCTTATACCAATATCTCGTCAACAAGATGCCCGGTGGTCAAACTGGCTAATCATGAATGGGGTAGAGAGGTGCTGATAAGTTCTACAGAAAGAGACACACTGCAGTCTGTAATGGTACACCTAGGTAGTGGACATATAAGGTACATGGAACCCATGAAGTGGACGTACAAAGTAGGTCACCTAAAATGGGTCAATGGCCTCATACAGCACTAACCTGGAATGAGAAGCTGAGTGATGGCTTTATGGTGGGGGGATAGTGCTGAAATTCCAGATTATATCTACACATCGCAATAGAAATCCTCACAGTGCTGTTGTGAGTCACTCCTATAGAAAAACATACATAGTTTCATGTTATTCACTAAAGGACAATCAGCTTTATAAAAGATAAAAATGGATTAGAAAAAAGGGTTAGAAAAATATCTTTTTGGTTAATTAGCTGAAAATATGAAAGAAATCTAACCTTTAACCCCTTAAAATTCCAGTCTTATTACACACTAAGGCTTATTGTCCAGTAACTACAGGGACTTCAGTGCACTGAGTTATTCTCAGGTTGTAGAAGTTTGTAATAAGACTTTGTGCCCACCAGCTGGCCCATGGCCTGTTAAGGGGTTAATAAAAGTTAATGTGGTCTAAGAAAAAAAAACACTTGTAAATTTTCACAAAACCATGTATGTTACAGTTATTGGTACCCCTAGAAATTCTTATGAACAGAATGTAACTGAAGGATGTTCCCAATTATATTTAAGTTCAACTGAGCAAACAGTAACTCTTTAGTGGTTGTTTGTGACTTTACCAGTGTATAAATATGAGGTCACACAGACACGTATTCCCTCATTCATCAACATGGGGAAGATTAAAGAATACACAAATGAAATGAGATAAAAGTGTGCTGACCTTCATAAATTGGGCAATGGCTACATAAAACAGCTACACGCATGCAGAAATGTCTCTATAAGTCATGTTGATTTGCAGTAGATGTTAGCATTTTGAGGTCACCAAGTCTCCAAAAGTACAATTAGACGCCATGCAAACAAACTGTTTGGAAAACATTCCAGAAGAAAGTCTTTTTTTTTCATTTAACCACAGATGTAAGCACTGGAACTTTGCTTTTGAACTGGGCTCTATGGTCAGATGAGACAAAAATCAACATTCATCGTGGTTTGGTGTGAAAGAAAGTTGGTAATACAGAAAATAACCCACCGTTAAGTATGGTGGATGATCTGTTTTCGGGGGTGTTTTTCTTGTAAAGGCCCTTTGAGACAAGGTCTCTATGAAGGACATAAGATACATTGTGGTCCCCATGAAGGACCAGGAGATTTTACATAAACATCTGGCTGCCTGTGTGAAAGAGCTAAGTCTGGGTAGTAATTGGATCTCCAATGAGAGCAATGCATCCAAAACATATTTCCAAAATGTTTCATTAACCACAGAATCAAGCTTTTGACATGACCACTGCACTCCTCTGACCTAAATCCAATTGAAAACCTATGAGAACCTAGAACCCCGGAGGATCTGGAGAGATTCTGCATTGCGGAGTGACCTTAGAGTACTGACCCTGTGTTCTTTACTCTCATCAAACTTCTGTTATGTTGTACAAAGAACTAAATGAAAGAGTGCCAATAAATGCAACACATGATTTTGTCAAGGAAAAATCATTTTTTGTTTCTGCTTGTTTCTGGAGCTAATTAACCATAAAGACATTCTTCACAATCTTTTATACCTGAAGTTTATAGAGCTGACTGTATCACTTAATAAAGTATAGTTTTGTCAAAAAGAATGAGAAAATCATATTAATATGTTTGTGAAGCCGAGGTGTTGAACTGTGATATTTACCGGTCAAACGTTCTGTGACCTGCACGTTAATGTCGATATAGTCACTGGTCTCAGATCCTCCGTAATATGGATACAAATAGTCATCAAAGCGCTTCCGCCGATACAGCGCAGGAACATCAAAGCTCAAATCTGCTGTGCCATCAATCTAAGAGGTGAAGATAAGGTTATTTGTGAAGTACTACAAAACTAGGATGTGCAGTGTAGATTAGACTTTGAAGCAAATTCCTACCATTTTCTGATCTCCATAATGTGCTTCAACACCATGGAAACCGTGAACATACGTTATGGTTAACATTCCCATAACTGGCTTTCCGTATAAATATCTAAATGAAAAAAAAAAATCATGTGAGTTTTCCTGCATTTTGACTGTTATTAGGCTTTTCAGGCACTATGGATGCTTCAGCATGAGACAAAACAGGCATTTCAGTCAAAAGTGGACAGTTGATTAAGTCACATTAGAGCAGTTTTAATGCAGACTCACTGTGCAGTAACAGTATATGTCAGGTGATCTTTATAGTAAAGCACTTCAGGAGCTTCCACCTCAACCTCAAATTTGGGGAGCACTACAGTTAAACACAGACCAGCATGATTGTAAGACACGATTATGACAGCTTTCACTTTGGTCAGTACTGTAATTTTCTTTTACAATCAAACTTACCATAATGATGGACATTAAATACCTGCTTCTGTGTGACTTCCTGCAAATAAGAAGAATCAATTCATATTTGCTTTCTGTTATTATTGTTCTGGAGCAGCTCACACTGAAAAAAGTGATTGAATTTACTTGACTCAACCATGTTCATAATTTACACATGAATACCATGTATTACATCCACACAACGCCATCTTTCACTTTACTTACTTTTGGTAACCTGTGTTGATATATTTAATTCATATTTAAGTGATTTACACATTCAAATCAAGTAATGCATCAATTTTTCAACATGCAGCTCAAATCTACTTAAGTCAGATAAATGTTAGTGTAATCAACCACTGTCAAAAATGTAATTAACAAAATGACAAATTTAGGCCAAATGGCAGCAAAATTATTTAAATCAAATCTTCTAAATGAAGCAATACATATTAATAAAGTGGGTAACCAAGAAGAAATTAATGTTATGGCAAATGCAATGGACTCACATTTACTGAGGCCATCATTTCCCACTTTCCAAGCGGGGGGTTCTCAGAAAGCTGGAACTCTCTAGATGCCGTGCCGAGGACAGTGTCCACTGACAGCCACTGATGAACCCTGTTCTGCCTGGGATCCTGCAGAAAACATGGTCAGATTGTCCAGCTTTGTTTTTTTTTTGTATGTTTTTTTAATTGACCACACAAGGTTATACGCAGGATTATACTTAATAAGTCATTTCATTTCATTCAATTTTCAGTGTTTGGTCTTTTTTTAACCTGAAGCTCACACTGTCTGCACTAAATAAACAAATGTAGCACTCTAGCACATTTCTAGCACTTTCTGTTAGCCAAAGTTACAGTATAAATAACATGAACTACTCTTTAATGAGCCACACTGGCACTTTAAATTTGTGAATGAAATGAAAAATAAGTTGCCCATTTCAGAATCAGAGTATTAAACATCAATACTGGTTATTTATCACAATAACTTATGCTTAATATGCTTCAGTAAAGGTGTATCAGCAGTATCAAATGCGGTGTGAGTGCACATGCCTGCCTCACGTTATTTACCCTCATAAAATAATAATAATAAATTGGCTGATTGCCTGTTGCATGTTTGGAGCAAAAAATTGGCCAAATTTTCTGCCAGATTCACAAATTCCATGCAAATGTTAGTAGATTATTTAAAATGACCATACTATTAACATAATCCACATATTACAAATGACCACTGTAGAAGAAAGCCGTCAGACCAGCTGACCAATCTGAGTAGTACAGCCTTCAACATGTCTGTGCAAAAGAAAATACCACAAACTTCTTCATGAAGATGAAGAGTTTCTGCAGGTCATGGTCAGTTTACTGAGGATTGTTCATTCAGAATTTATTCTCTTAATTTCTCTGTGTTTCAATGAGATACAAGAAAGGAATGAATAAAGAAGATGTGAGAAGGGCCATTTTGAGGCGAATCCACCATGAGGGTCTTAGGAGGGTTATTATAAGCACACCCACCATAATGACAATGTCTATCTGTTCGTCGTACGGCTTGCCGTCGGGGGTTAAGAGCACTGCCCGGATCTTCACTGCTTGGCCTGGCTTGTAGTTTGGCTTGTCGGTCTGCAGTAAAATTAACATGCTCTTGGGGCTGTAGTGCAGCATGGTGGAATTAGAGAAGACCAGAGTTCCTTTCACATAGCCTCTGACACTCAGCTCATACGGGAACCAGTAGCTCATATCAGTCTCAGAAATCTGAAGAGAGAGAGAGAAAGAAAACCACACTCTTAAAAATAAAGTGCTAAACTGCACCAAAAAGGGTTTTCTGGGTTGATGCTGCAGAAGAACCACTTATAGTTCCCTCAAAACGCTCACATCAGTGTGGAACATTAAGAATTATCAATACTTCTGAAATTAAGTAAACATTTTTGTGTTTTAATAAAAAAAATACGATGATTTACTTGTGTACAGCTGTTCAAAGCTGTGTTTGCTGGTCATGTACTGGCTAGTGTTTTTGAGTTCTGCTCAAAATGAGCTAAAATTGAAACAGTCACTAGTGAAACATTTGGTAAAGTTTTGGAGGCATTATGGTTTTAGTAGTGACAAAATGGAATGTTCAATCGATTATTTTAATGAAATGAACACAATTAAGGCATAAAGTCACCTAAAGAAGAAGGATTTTAGTCTAAAGTTTATGTCAGTTAAAAGTTCAAAATATGTTTTCAACTCTGACTTTGGACTAATTCAGTAGACTGATCAATATAAACGTCATCAGGCTCTATTTCTTACTGTTAGAGAGAGCAGTAGGAGAGTCTTAGGACTAATGAGAGTCAACCAGTCTGTACCAGTGAATCCATATCAAAGCCGTCTGTGCACTGTGAGTATGATTGCTTGATCACCATTATCAGGTTTCAGTCTTTCAGTTTGTGGTTGCATTCATGCAACAAAAGCTTTGTCTGATCGTGGGATTGTGCCACTATCTGACCCACATCTGTACCACTAAGACACTCCTAAACACTTAGGAATCTGATCTTTTTGGTGTGACCCATTATTCAGCAGATTTCCTAAACCAGTTTTTCCTAAAACACTTTGTCACCTACAACATTCTTTAAAAGTTATATTAGATATATTACATAATAATATAGAATATAGTTACATGCATATATATATATATATAAGCTGCTGTCGGAAAACAAAATTTTGCAGAAGTTATCATGAAACTTACACTATGTATACAGGTATTTTTCAAATTATGTCAAAAACTAAAAAAAGTACATATATATATAAAATAAAGTGGTCAGAGTGGTTTGGTGTGAAATGCTCTGTTCTAAGTGGTGGTGGAACCAGACGTCCATCTCTAAAAGCTCTTATATAGCTATTATATGAAATGGTTATGAATATACTGCCTGATGCCTGAAACCTTGTTTTATGATAGTTTTGAGAAGAGTTTGGCTTAAAATATATTTTTTTCATGGTGTAGAGGTGCATCCAGGGCAATGTGAGGCAAAATAACCCCTGAAGGGATTGCAATTTTTTCAGATTTTCAGCTATTTAAATAAAATAAATAAATAAAATAAAATGGCTATATTTGTGTTGTAGTCATGGTGACCCCTGGTTCACATCACCACCACTGTAAAGAAATCAGTCTGTCTCTCTACAATGAACCATTTCACACCCACTCTGAATGAGTTTATTTACATGTCAACCTCTGAATTATGGAGAAATAAAAATAAAACAGATGGAGTTGCTCTTTAAAGTGGTTAATACTGTACTGGTGCAAACATTTGAGGTGGGTTTACTTAGAAATGATAAAGATACTCACTGCAGGAAGAACTTGCGTTTCTGTCGACCCTTTGAACAGAATACAATAAAAAGTAAATGAGTATGCTCAGCTCTTTTGAAAACATTGTTAATAGGTGCTTTACTGTCCTTCTTTTACAGGCTAATAACCCACCTGCTTTAATGCTGCTCTGAGTTTGGATACTGCTGTTTCCATGGATTAACTCAGAGACAACTAACACAGGAGAATCTCTGAGGTTCGTGACTGAGACTGTGGTGGGAATCCCGGGTCGCACGACTCTGGAGACTAAGATCAGGTACGACGAGCTTTGAGCAGGACCGGGAGGGAATTAACGTTGTTAGTAAATTTAAAAATAGCAAAAAATGAAACAAATCACATGCAACATTATGGCGTACTACATCTAATAGACATCAAATGGAGATATATTCACAAAACTAAGAAAGAGACTAGCACCCACACTGGAGAGTGGTTTGTAGAATAGACCTGATTTGAAATCAGAAATGCTTATTTTATTTGAACAAACCAGACCAAAGCGTTTCAATACCTTGACGCATTTTGGGCTCCATTAACAGCTGCTAGAAATCCAAACAGTGTTAAAATGTGAAGCTGATCCATTTGCGAGTCCTCAGCTCAGGTGAACTTTGTGTGGTTATGAAACCAGCATGGACAGATTTTTAAAAGAAGCTTTGTCCACCTGATCTGACACAACCACACCTATATATTCCCTGAGGGAAGATCTTTCTAAAGAGCCTTAAAAAAAAACTCTTTCAGAGCAGAAGCAGGTAAAAGTTGGATAATATGATGGTGTTACTAATTATAATAAACAATAATAAAAAATAAAAAATATAATAATAATAAAATAAAAATAAAATGTTTTATGTATATATATATATATATATATATATATATATATTTATTTATTTATTTATTTATTTATTGATGTTTTCAGTTTTTGACATAATTTGAAAATGCCTGTTACTCTTTACATTGTATGTAAATTTCATGATGAATGGACTAAAAGAAACATCCCAAAATATATTGGAAAAAACTCTGGTTCCATTGACTCACATTAAAAGTAAAGTATGTTTTTTTCTTCTCCTGTAAAGTTTTCATTTTGGAGATACAAGGTTTTGTTCTGACAACAGCGATATATATATGTTACTAAAAACAGATTCTGAGAAGAGATGACTAGGCTTGAAAAAGTGCATAAAGAACCATCAGAATCAAATATGCAGCTGAGATACAGTAATTTTCTGTACATGCTTAGTGTGAAGACATATAGAAGAAGTATAAAGCAAACAAACAAAGATTTCTTTTCCTGATGATATACACTCTTTAAACAAGATGGTTCTTATGAGTTCTTTAGTGAATACAACCATGAACACTCAAAGAAACATCATTGGGAAATACAACCACATCATACTGAGCTGGGATGACAGGGTGGATTTTTCAAGCAAAATCATGTCATGATCCCTGTTATCAAGGTTAAACCTTTTTTTTAACAGTATGTACATTTTCTGTGAAAACAGCAAAAAGTCATTAGAAATATTTCTGTTTAGTGTTAATGAAGCAGAAAACAACAAAATATCAATGTTGAATAAAAACAAAGATAAGAAGTACCAGATGAGAAAAGGCTTAATGATGTCACTATTCACTGTATCACTTAAAGTAAGAGTATATTATTTTTATGGCTAAATAAAATGGTGTGACGGAGAGGAAAGCAAAACCCAATGACACAGATAAGTGTATTTTTTCATAAAATGTTCTTGTTTATATTCAGTTAATGTGTTTTGTGGTAATATAGAAGAAAATATGTATCCGACAGTGAGGGATTTTGCCCGTTTGTGTGTCATTTTACACTTCGCAAGTGACAAGCGACTTCTACATCTGCTCAAGGATGGTTAATGTAACTTAGCTGCTTTGAGCCTAGCCATCTCTTCGTGTTTGATGGTTTCCTAAAGGGATCTAAAGGTTTTAATCCAAACCAAACAAACAAAACAAAAAAGATACTGATGTTGTACTACATGCTGGTGCTTCGCATTAATGGCATGGTGTCCTCATTTCTTTTGGCAGTTCACGCCAGAAATTGTGCGGTTTGCTCTCCGGCCGCCAGGTGGCGCCGTTCCGGCAGCAGCGCTTTAGTTTACTGAGAGACAGAGAAGGCAAAGCTGGCTACGGCTAATTTTCAACGAAGACAGAGACGATGACGACATTACGGGCTTTTAACTGCGACGACCTGTTCAAATTCAATAATATGTGAGTTTGTCCTTCGTTTAGGATGTCGGACTCGTGTGGCGTTAGCAGACAAACCGAGCACGAGCGAATACAGGCGGAGAAGTGCTAGCTAGATTAGCACGGCGGCTAACAAACGCTCTCGTTAACGAAGCTGAAGTCGGCTTCTTATTCGAATATCCCGTTCCACCTTAAATAGTGCATAATGTAACTGCTGCAACGTTTGAGGTGGCCCGGGGAACTCGAGTTAGAGGACGACTTCAGCTACTTCAAATCTTACTACTCTCTTTAACTTCACTAGCTTCGTTTTCCGAGAGTGTCCGGTCTCTGTAAACCCTTTAGCCTTGTAGTAAAACCCTTCTTCTGTCTTTCTTGTGGGAAATTAAATATAACGTTATACAGGTGTGTAAACTGCTGTATGGATATAGGAATCAAACCAATCCCTAACATTAAAACCTTGTATCTACGCTCATTGTGTTATATCAGCTCCACTGACCATATAGGAGCACTGTGTAGTTCTGTAATTACAGACTGTAGTCCATTTGTTTCTCTGCATACTCTGTTAGCCCCCTTTCACCCTGTTCTTCACTAGTAAGGACCACCACAGAGCAGGTATTATTTGCGTGGTAATCATTCTCAGCACTACACTGACGTGGCGGTGGAGTGTTAGTGTGCGTCAACAGCGTCCCTGTGACCACTGATGAAGGACTAGAGGATGACCAACACAAACTGTGCAGCAGCAGATGAGCCACTCTCTCTGACTTTACATCTACAAGGTGGACCAGCAAGGTAGGAGTGTCTAAGAGTGGACAGTGAGTGGACACAGTGTTTAAAACTCCAGCAGCACTGCTGTGTCTGATCCACTCAGACCAGCACAACACACACTGACACCACCACCACGCCAGTGTCACCGCAGTGCTGAGAATGATCCACCACCCAAATAGTACCTGCTCTGTGGTGGTCCTGTGGGGTCCTGATCATTAAAGAACAGGGTTAACAAAGTGTGTAGAGAAACAGATGGACTACAGTCTGTAATTGTAGAACTACAAAGTGCACCTGTATGGTCAGTGGAGCTGATAAAATGGACAATGAGTGTAGATACAACAAGGAAAAACGGATGTATTACAGGCAACAACTTAGACTTTTGAAACTTAAGACGTTGACCTTAGACGAAGAAAAAAAAACTGTCATAGTACATAGGGGTGGGTGATATGTCAAAAAACATCATGATACACAAAGTGCATGATATTAATTTTTTTGGAGAGTTAATAAGTTGGAACAGGCAAAATAGAACCCATAGTGCCACATTTAAAAATGCTATAATAATAATAATATTAGTAATACAATTAATTTTATTCAGCTTTTCACAAACCGCATAGCACTAAATCCAATTAAACATCACTTATTATGCTCATTTTGTAAAGAAACATGTAGTTCAAATTTTTCAAGTACAGACAAAATCCATGATTTGCTCAGAAAAGCATATTGTGACAGGATTTATCACAATAACTATAGAACACTGGTATGTCACCAACCTCTAGTAGAACTGTAAGAAAGTGCACGATTTCCATAATCTTGAAATTTTCACACCTGTAATGTTTCTGTAGTACTGTCTTATAATAAATCTATAATTCTTCAGTAGTAAACTATAACAACTGTATCCATTTACTCTCAGATTCTTATAAGATTCCTGTAGAAAAACCTGCATTACTATATGTCTTTAAAGCTAAGTGTGTTGTTCTGTACAAGTAGTAGTAGCAGGAACATGAAGACAAGTACTTACACACAGTCTCCATTCAGAGTGCTGCGCTGTCTTGGACCAGGTTTAGTCCCTATCTGGGAATCCAGCCCTTACTGTTCAGTAGTAGACCAGATAGACAGCTGTAGATCATTAAGCTCTGCCGAGTGACATTACTGTGCATAAGTTTCATGAAGTTGATCTAATAACTGTGTCCATGTTGCTGTTTTTGTTCTTTTACAGAAATTTGGATCCTTTAACAGAGACTGTATCCTTTGCCATAAACAAATGTTACTCGGTAGTCAAACACTGACCACTGTATTATGTGCATCTACACTGTATCTACACTCATTGTCCATTTCCCTTTTACTCATTGCAGTTTCTCTGCTTCTCTGCATAATGTTTCCCCATTTAGCTCGTTCATCAGTGGTCACCACTGCTGAGCAGATAACGTAAGACCTGACGAAGTGGACCTGATGAAGAGTGTAAATAGAAGGAGGTGTGCCTGTTCCCACCACAAGTGAACTTTTTAATACCCATGCAGTCTCCTTCCTTAACCGTCTGCTTTACAGTATGGAATTCCCTTCTACTTGCAGTATCTGGCACACTGGCCTGAGTATTTCATTGTGGCAGAAGCTCCAGGTGGAGAGCTGATGGGCTACAGTGAGTCTCTTTTAAATACATTGTATTTTGTAGTGAAAGCAGGGTTACATTAGTGATTTTACTGATGTGACGTTAACATATTGCCTTTTGTGTTAGTGACACTCCTGTTTTGGTCTTGCATATGTTTTGTATGTCCAAAAAATAACTTTACAGGAAAAGGAAAAAAGGTTTTTAACTTTTCATAAAGGTTTAAGTAGAAAACATTCCAAATTAAACCATTTCTGTTGGTCAGTTCATTGTGAAATTTTGACACAATGTAAACAGCAGCTGGCAATTTCAAATTATGTCAAAAAAGTTAATAAAAAACAAAAATAGACATACAGGTTTGGGTTCTGACAGTGACGATATACTCACCCTGTAGTGTAGAGCGAGTCGGTTCATACATTGTCACATTTGCAGAATGTAAAACCAGGCAGAACCAGGAGAAAACTTTGTCAGTTTAAAAAGAGCAGACTCACAGGTTAGTAACAAGACAGGGTTTTTATGGACAGCCTTAGTTTTTTGTCATTTATCCTGATGGACAGAGGGAAACATTTTTGAATGGACTTGTTATAATTGTACAGACAATTGGATTTGAAACAGCAGCTTAATTCGGTGTTAAAGTCAGCAATAAAAACCTTGACCAAGGGAGTCCAGTCTTATCCTTAAAGGGCTGGTGTGGCTGCAGATTTTCACCCAAAACAAGCTGAAGCACAACTGATTCCACCTTTTTAATCAGTTCCTGTCAGGCTTCAAACATTTGATCAGGTGATCTCCTGCTTTGTTGGAATGAAAACCTGCAACCACACCGGCCCTTTGCGGGTCAGATTGGACCCCCCTGACCTAGACGTATAACTGAACGACTTGGGTGAACTTAACGGTTTCTGTGTCTCCTTCCTTTTTGTCCTCCCTGCCCCGGTTCCTGCTTCTGCAGTCATGGGAAAGGCAGAAGGCTCGGTTGCGCGAGAAGAGTGGCATGGGCATGTTACAGCTCTGTCAGTGGCTCCTGAGTTCAGACGACTGGGACTTGCTGCCAAGCTCATGGAAATGCTGGAGGAAATCTCAGAAAGGTAAGGTTAATTGGTAACTTTGTTTTATCATCACAACATTAGTTCCCAGTTCTGGACAGATGTGGAAAATACTTGAGTAATTGTGCTTCATTACTGTACTCAAGTACTATTATTTTGGAAGATGTATGCTATACTTGAGTATTATTGAAAATGAATAATTTAATTACATTTCCAAGAGAAAAAACATACCTTTTACTCCTTAATTGCTGTTAGACCTTCAAAATCCATTGTTTTTTTCTCTTATGCATAGGACTTACTGCACATTTTATTGTAGTTTTTTTATGAAAGTATCAATCCAAATTCATATTAGTGAAAAATGAAAAAGTACACTAATAGGTAATTTGACTACTACCACTCCTTAGTCGCTGCATCACACACCACGAATTTCTACCTTCCATTCAAGTATGTTTGGCTCAATAATTTTTGTGTAATTGAGGAAGATTTTGGCAAAGTACTCATTACTTTCACAACTGTTATTTCACAAAAAAAGTTTGCAAAAATGGCATCACATCTACAAAAGTTACTCATGAAGCATCTTGAAGCATTTAGTAGTAGTGATGCCCACTTTGAATTGTTCCCAATGTCTGAGCAAAATAAATCAGTTGCTCTGATCGGAGTTGAAACCTAGGGATTCACACGTGACCTGCTGTTACGTAGGCTAACAGTCTCAGTAATGTTTATGTATTTGGTGCAGACCGACACTCCTGGACATCACATACTTATATGTATGCATAAAATAGAACCCTTAAAATTTGTTGTTCTGATTTATAGAGGCATAAAAAGTGAAACCTTAGTAGTGTTGAGACCAAAAAAGGGACATAATGTTTAAAAATCTTTTTCTCTGTTATGCTTTCTCGAATAGTACTGACAAAAAACAGAAACCTTTGCTTTGAATGCAAGTTTGCAAAGAATCAGTAAATTTAAGGCTTATACCATCAATGTTTAGCAGCTTTTATCCTCGTGTCATTTGGCAGCACACATGCCAGTTTGTTACGTGCAGGTTTGTTTTAGGGGTATGGAGACCAATACTGAAATATCAGTAGTTCTGATACTTCAGGTTTTGATGTTTCTTTTTGTGATGTGTTTTCTTTAAGCAAACTGAATGAATTACATCAGTAATTGTCCCGAATTATACTGAGGAAATTGCTGAATTACATCTGTGTAACTGAACTCATGGTGAAAAAAAAAATCGTAGCAAACAAATGTGTAGACAAATGTGTGTCTCCTCTCATACACACAGGCAGCCACATGTTAATTTCGTTCAACAGAAACTTGTGGCAATTTATTAATACTAACACAAAGGCTTTCAAACACAATTTTAATGTCCACTTTTTTAAACTGGTTTTCAGCGTAGAATGAATTTCATCTTTTTGAAGTATTGGTGCTGGTATTGGATTGAAAAGAAATCAGTTCTATCACCCTGTCACTAGTTTAATAGTGACCTCATTTTGAAAATGTCGGCCCTTTCCTCACTGTAGGTGGTTCTTGGTCACAATAAGTGATGGAATGCACCAGACTCTCTGACCACAGGCAGAAGTCTGACTTGCGAGACTAGTAAGACACAGCATGATGTTGCCAGGACTGGGAACCACTGCATTCAAAGCAAATAAAAGATGACAACGTGGGTAACCTGTGTGTATGTGTTTCCCCACATGCAGGAAAGGAGGATTCTTCGTTGATCTTTTTGTCAGAGTCTCAAATCAAGTTGCTGTTAACATGTACAAACAGCTGGGATACAGTGTCTATAGAACCGTCATAGAATATTACTCCGCAAGCAATGGAGAACCAGATGAGGATGCTTATGGTAATTTTAAGTAAAAGTTTCACCTTTAACAGTAACTGATTAATCAACAGCCACATTTTAATCAGTAGATTTATTAACCTCAATTTTGCTGCCTAAGGTAATTACTGTAACCTTTTTGTCTGCAGACATGAGGAAAGCATTATCCAGAGACACGGAAAAGAAGTCTATAATTCCACTGCCACATCCTGTCAGACCTGAGGATATAGAATAACACTCAACAGTGGCTCTCTGACTCCCTCTGTACCCCATATTGGGAAAATAAAGCTGCAGGCTTCGTCATTCTTGCCTAGAGTATTTAACATGCAACTTAATTTATGATTTAAAGAGAAATAAACTTTGTCAGAGGGTCACTGCTTTGTAAAACCTATTTAAAATGAGCTTTGCTGCTTGTTCTACTCTTCCTATATCTGTAACTGCAGAAGATATTCAGATTTTAATGTCATTAAAAGGTATTGACTTGTGTTCTGTTTTGAGTTGTTTGACATACTGAAGAAGCTCTACATAAAGACTGATCAGATTTAAGAACAATTACAATTTACCCAATTACAAAAACTGGCAACACATTTAGTTTTCCCTTTTTATTTTGTTAGAAAATAATAGTTTATGAAAAAAAACAGGTTACATCAGTTCTTAAGGGCAAGGATTAAAAAAATCCCACTGACTTTAGTCTTCCTCTGCAGCGTCTGTCTTCTTGCTCTCTTTTCTGCTTTCAGTGTTTTCCTCATCACTCTCGCTCTCACTGTCACTACTGCTGTCACTGTCATCACGATCATCATACGCGCCCTCTTTAGGCTCCTGCGCTCCTGTACCCTCCTCCTCTTCCTCTCCTGGTTTTGAGGGGCCACCTCGCTCCTCCTCTTCCGTCTCTTGTTCTTCTGATGGCTTTGGCTCCTCTTCTTCTTGCTGCTGCTGTTTCTTCCACATCTTGGCCATGGCCAGCAGTTTGAGGTTGGGCTGATTGGCAGCATCTTCTGGGAAGATGTAGTCGTAATACTCCTCCCATCCCGCATCCGACTGGAATGCAAAATAAGTGTTACAGCAAGTATGGGAGATGCAGCAAAGATATATCCCGATACTTGACATTTTCATATGCATCACAATATTTAGTTTTTCCCCCCAGAGTTTGCTGTTGTAGACAAAGAAGGAAACAGAAGCACCTAATTTAAAAAAACACTGTTAGAAATTTGTATTCAGTGTTTCTACACTGGACTAAAGCCTATTAAACGGGACTAATTATGCTCTCTTTGTAATGAAACATGAAGCCAATCAGTGGTGTTTAAATACCACATTCTCAACATGCTCATAAAAAGCATTTTAATATAAATAAAATGCACTCAATATTTTGGTTTCAAATGTAATAAAAAACTTAGTATATTTGTTATTTTAGTCTATAGTCTGTATTTTTTAAAATGCCAGAATAACTTAATGGATTTGTGATTTCCCAAAGAATCATAATTAAACAATTCTTGTGAGATCAGACATGTTCTATTAAAAGAAAAGTACCTCTAAAATCCTAAGAGTGGAATAAGGGCAACATTGCAAACTCAACTGTATGAAACAGTCCATGTGTTTAAGGCCATCCCACTCACCCCATCCTCTGCTGTGAGCTTCCTCCTCTTCTTCACCTTCTCCGGCAGTAGTTTCCTCACTCTGTCCTTGTTGGCAAAGGTGCCGAACTCCTGCTCAAAGTCTCTCCAGGACTCCAGCAGCATCAGCCTCTCCTCCTTCTCCTCACAGTTTCGTAGGCTCTTATTGGCCTCCTCATACACCTGCCTGCACCTTTGCAGCCTGTCCTCACTGTCCACAGACAGCTCGAACTGGGCATAACTGATCCAGACCTGCAGCCAAGACCGAAAAATGCAAGTGAACCATCTAATTACCTTTAGCAGAGGAGCACATGCTTTCAAGTAAACGTACTAAAGCTGAATGGAGCCGTTGGGGTTAAACATACGACAGAATGTACAGGATTTTGAATTTGATTTACATAATTTCCAGGTCTGGAAAAGTACATTAAATGGAAACGGATATGGTATAGAAAAATACTCTATTCACAGTTTCTGTTTCACAGCCTGTGCAAATTTTTTTTTATCATTACACACAGTGTGACCGCTTCCTCATGACTGTATTAGTTACAGCCAATGTGAAGAACAGTGAGTGAAATTCCTGTGGCTGGATCTCAGCATCACTCAGCAATAACAAGCCTTAACCTTTAATAGCTTAAGAACTATGAATTATGCATTCTTAGAGGATTGGTTAGCCTAGACCAAAAGCTAGAGGTATTTTTAAATAACTAACATAAATGGATAAATCCACAATGAACCTGAATTTTCTCTTAGAATTATCTGATGGTAGTAAGAATGCTGGGAAAAGTGAAGTGTCCTCACCTTGACATGCTGCGTGCGCTGCAACAGCCTCTTATAGAGCCCTCGTGTTTTTTCATACTCCTCCTGCTCAATCTCAAAGTCAATATAAGATTTCCACAGCACCTGGAAATATAAGTTTTTTTAGGATAACCAAAATATACAGCCTGGATCACAATCCAGTGAAAAACAGGCAAAACTGAGGACAGGCGAACTGAAATGAGTGAGATTACCTCTGGCATGTCCAGCCGAAGTTGGTCAATGGCCAGCTCAAATATGGCCCGTGCTCTTTCTGTATCACCCAGGATAGTCTCCAACTCGGCAAATTTGATCCAGGTGGTGCAGTTCTCCGGGCCAAACTCCAGATATTTCTCATACAGTTTCCTGCAGCGGTCAAACTCTCTTAACTGCAGTTCCAGCTCTATGTAGCCCTTAAACAGCTTGTTTTTTGGGCATTTGCCTATGGCTGTGCCCTGTTGAGAGTGGACAAGAAAGTGGCATCAGACTCTGTAATAATGCTGTTCTTAAAGCAGATTTCAGGGAATTAAAGAGTGTAGAAGTGTAAAATCTTACCAGGCCTCGTCTGGCATTCTGCAAGTTCTTCTGGCGAATTTCAAACTGGCCATACAGCAGCCAAATTTTGGCAAAAGTGAACTGTGAACAAGAGCATAATAGGATAAACAAATCTCTTAACATAGCAGAACAGCAACACTATATTACACTTCACTTTGGCCATGATAGTTGACATTGATGTGGTCTGTACCTTTTTGTGAGGGATGAGCTCTAGACATGCCTGATACACTTGCCGTGTTCTCTCAGGATCCTGCCAGGAAACCAAGCAAATTGAGTTGTTACGCACACAGATGTACAACAAGTAAAAGACTGGGGTGTAAAAACGCATCATGATTCACTTGCATCGATTTTGTTGACTTTCTCCACAAACAGCAAACGATCAAATGAAAATTTGCTGCCCTGCAGCTTGTTTCCATCACGTTGGCTTTTAATGATAATGTAATGACAATTTCCTGCTTTGTTGCATAAGTTTTGGTTTATTCAAAAAAAGTTGGATTTGACATGTTTCCATCTCAAATTTCATGTAGGTCCCCAAACCCCTAACCAGCCACCGTTCTCCCTCCAACCAGAACTGTTGCGTGAGAGAAAACATTTTTTCTGCCATATAGAGTTGTTTGAGCTTTTTCCCTTCAGAAAGGCTGTAGTCTTTTCTGGATGTCTCTCTCTGTAAGAGATGAAAAATGGCAGCATTTCTTTTAAAATGCTCTCATCCCCTCCTCAGGCCAACTCTACATCTTCGCCATGTTGTTTGTGCTTGTTTAGGGTTTGTTTTAAGAGTCAAATCAGAGGGGAAGTAATTTCATACGACATTACATTTATGTGTAAATGCATTACTTTTCCCAAAAAAAACGTTTCCTGTGTGGGTTTCTGGAACATTTCAGGTGCCGAAAGACACTTTTCCACTACACTTAAACAGAAAAAAGTTGTCAATATTTATTAAATATTACCATTTCTGTAGCCTACATCAACAAACTTTTTGAAGTGTTAAAACTTTTTTGTAATAAATTCTTTGGATGGAACGCAGCTACAGTGTGGTCTGAGATTTACATCCCTGCTAAAAGACAGGCAAAAATCTGCAGCCTATTGAACAATATGAAATCATCAGGTAAAGACTTAGGTCTGACCTTGACCTCCAGTTCCTCATACAAAGCATAGTTGATCCAGAGGTAAATATAGCGTCTCCAGTGTCTCTTTTCCTGGATGGGGGGAATGTTAGCAATGGCTCTTTCGTACACCTCTCTGACTGTGTCCACATCCGCATCACTCTCCACCAGGCGCAGGTAATCAAACCAGGCATCGTAGTTGTGTGGGTTTGCCTAAAAGAGAGGAAAATCTCTACTGTACTCTGAGACTACATGGAATATAAAAATCCAAAAAAATCAATGCATTAGCATTGTCTTATGACTGTTTCATTTTTACCTAGATTAAGAGAAGTACATTCATATAACGTCCTATTTTATCATATCAGTAAATTATTAGTAGATCATTTCAAAAAATGATTGGCATGATGTTTAGATATTACTAATCTGTCACACTGATATTTTTGATTTTGATGTATTTAATGTACTCCACAAGAGGTGAATGCTTAAGTGACTGCACAAAAACCATGCATTTTATTATTTTTACTGCACTTTTAACCATAAAAATAAACATTATATTTCTCTGTAAGATGGATTGAGTCCCAATTTGTACATTTTTAAAAATGTTCCTGTATTAACATTGGCAGATATGTACATGAAAAACATCAGCTTTCCATATCAGTGCATCCCATGAGGGGGGAAAAAAAAAAAAAAATCTGACATCTTACCTTGACCTCCTCCTCATACTGAAATCGCCTTTTACTGACAATGACATCCTCTATTCCCCTCCTGTCTCCAAACTTCTTCTCGAACACAGTGTAGTTCTTGAAGAGCTCTTGAGCCTGCTGTTTGGGGATTCTGTCCAGGGCGTACTTATAGACGACCCGAACTCGCTCAAACTGAAAAATACATAAACACTTGTAATGTCTGAAATGAACTGTAACAGATGTACACTATGCATGATGGTCTGAGCAGGTAATTACCTCTTTCTGCTTCTCCTCGAATTTAGCAAAGGCCACAAATAGGTTTTCATCAATATGCTCCTCACCGAAGAACTCCACAGCTCTCTCAAACACCTTCCTCGCATGAGCGATGTAGCCATGCTTATCCTCAAAACGGGCATATTTGATCCAGTTCTTCACTTCAGGGTGAACGATCACAAGTGCAATGGAGTTAAAGACAGTAGCAGTTCAACAGTTCAACACTTACAACAGTTCAACACTTACAAGAACCAGTTTATATACTTGCAATTAGTCTTCATTAAACATCATTCCACACATTTATTTTCTCCAAACTAAAACTAGCACAGCATTTTTTCCCTCGCACTTATTAATTTGACAGAATTCACAACTTTTTTTCCCATTTCCTTTCATCAGTGTTGTCCTACTATGATACCCAGCATGCACTGTGCAAATACATCATACCAATATTGAGAATCCCTGCAGCGTCAACCAATTCTGACTGCTAGCCTAGCCAGTGAGCTACATGCTAATAAATACAACCAACTTAGCATTAGCGTAACGCTAACCTTGACAATTAAACAAAATCCAAGAAAACAGTGATTCCATCCTCTTTCACAACAAAGTGGACACTGGAGAGAAGTTTATACTCTTTCAGCCAGAGAAAAGTAGCCAAACTGAGGTGTCTTTAACTTATAGCTTGTTGTCTTTTTCATCTGACAAGTCATTTCTCTCATTTGAATGATCGTTTATCTCCATTGTAATGATGATTTGAAGACAGATGCTACAGTTATACAACTACAAAGAGATATTCAGCTTCTTAGAAGTAATGTAAGCTATCTGCTAACATGGAAAAAAAAAAAATTCAGTCCACTTCGCAAAAAAGTATCAACTTTTAAAATGCATACTCGAAAGAAGGTTTTCCTAGTCTTTAAACTCTCTCTCTAGAGCAGGAGTGTCAAACTCAACAACTAAAAGGGCCAAATTAAAAAACCTCAAAAATCTGTGGGCCAGTGTTTTTATTTTAGTTTTACTTAACATTTTGCCATGACCCTAACTGGCAATTGTTTGTTGAAAATATGCCAAATTTACAACAAAAATAGGCACTGAATACTTCAAACGATTCAAAAATAAGTTTGAATACAAATTGTTTAATATAAAACAACAGACTACATTATCTGTAGATAATTGTTAACCCTCTTTAAATGTTCTCAGTGTACAGTAGGTTTTTTGATAACTGCACACTCGCTTGAACTAGACACCTGGCATCTTTTTTTTTGTTGTTTTTGCAGGCTGTCCCATAGACCGTTGTTGGGGAGGGGGTGGGAGCACATTATGTTGCTATGCATGCTGGGAACTGTAGTGCATTTTATGGTGAAATGGGCTAGTATTAATAAAAATTTAAAATAATTTTGCAGGCCGAATAGGATTATGCCATGGGCCTTGAGTTTGACACACAGGCTCTAATGGGCTATGGCCAGAGCTTCCCCTTAAATAAAGGAGAACACCTAAAATATATTCTCCTCAACCTATAGAATACAAAGTAATATACAGCATAATATAATGTCAAATGAAGAACCATTTTGGATACAGTTGGAGCAACAACATTAAAGACATTTACTCCAAAAGGAGGCAGCATTTCATCTCTTATAAGATTCCAATACGCTTAGGTAAGGATATATCTCTCGTAGATGATACGGGCTTTCTCCACCTCCTTGTAGCGCAGCTCAAAGTTGATGTAAGAGTGCCAGGCCTGTTCTTCTGGCTCCCACTCCATCCAGCGTTCAAACACCTGCCTGCAGCCAGCTACGTTCCCCAGCATCTCCTCCATATAACTGTATTTGTACCTGTGAAAACGTCCAGATCAAATGCAGTTAAATACACCCAGGAAACAAAGCACTGTACTCAATCATTCTTCTGTGAATGTTTTAGTTTGTTGTTATTGTTTTCTGCACTGTGTGTATGTGTAAATCTGTGTAATTAGGTACATTTTTGCTACTGCAGCAGACAAATTTCCCCTCAACGCTCAATAACATTTATGTATTTACCTATCCATGTAGAGCTAAACACCGTAACACCTGATTAACTACATAAATGAAACTTTGTAAGGATTATTACCAGAACTGGTTGACCCGGGGCAAGATGGTTATGGCTCTGTCCCAGATGTTTCGAGCGTGATTGACCTGTCGGTTCTTCATCTCCATCTCTGCGTATTTCAGCCATAATGTGACGTTTCGGTGATCTACGTCCAGCGCTCGCTCGTAGATAGAACGAGCTCTTTAAATGTGAAAGAACGAACAGAAATGTTTACACCGATGTTTAAAAAAGTATCATGTATCTAGCTTTTCACATTAACAAATTCCTGAGTGTCATACCTCTGTATTTCCTTCAGGCTCTCCTCCCATTGTGCGTACTTTATCCAGTTGCTTATGACAGTTCTGTTCTTTCTGATGTTGTCTTCAAACCCCTTTTGAGTAGGTAAGGTATTAGTGTAGGAAGTTAAAAAGAGCTGAAGCAATGACAAACATTGAAAATGTCCTGTTATACTAAACCTTACCTTGCGTTTGCGTAATTTGTAGTCGTTTAACTCCTCTTCATCAGTGATCTTCTGTTTGGGTGGTGGAGGAAGAAGCTCGAGTTCTCTTTCCTTTGCCTCTCTAAGGAGCTGCTCGGCGGTGATCTGCACCTCTGCCGGAGCTTTATTTTTCACCTGCGAGAGCATAGAAGCACAAATTTAGACACCACAGTTAAAAGCGTGGTACACAACGTCCTATTATCTACTGCAATGCTACACTATTTATTTAATATTTTCAGTGTGGATGTGTGTGTTATATATATATATATATATATATATATATATATATATACACACACACACACACACACACACACACACACATTTATCTTTATACATCTGTTGTCGGAAGAAAAAACAAAATAGTAACTTTAAAGGAAAAGGAAAAAAATACTTTACTTTTAATGTACATCAATGGAACCTTTGGCTTCTTTACAAACACTGAGTTTCCTAAGCCTGAGTAGAGTGACAAATCACTAATCTGAGCTTTACTGAACTGTTCTGATGAATGATCCAGCTAATAATCTCCTCACTAGTGGACTTTTTTGTGGGTGATAAGCTTAGAACTGGTGTTGTACTGAACTCCTGTTTGGGGGACTGTGGAAGCAGTAGTGGAATGAAATAGACGATGAGAGAAAAAACTTTTCTTTAATAATTTCAGCTTAATTTAAATTATAAGCATTTTCCATGACAAATATTAACAGAATAATTACATGAGGAAAACTGCCAACCAATAACAGTGTGAATTAAGTTTTAAAAAAAAGTTTCCCCCATGTATATTTTAAATGTATACTGAATACATTACATTTTTATGTGTAGTTTTTATGTGTAGTAATGTTTTCAGTATTCAGCCATGTCTACTTTGTGTTCTAACTAGGGCATTTAGCAAGTGTGTAGACTTATAGCCACAAATGCCCATCAGTATCACTGAGCAGACGTGCAGTGTACAACCACACTTGGTCGGACGTTTTGTTGACGCCTAGCTAACTAGCAGCGAAGAACCTAGCTAGGTTAATAAACTCAGGTCGCATAAGCTGCGGGTGACATTATGACACTTACAATCAACACTTTGAAAAACGTTCAGTGATACATTAAACAACGACAGCCCCAATGTGGGATGTTTACTGATGCTACTGCAGCTGAATAACAGACACGATGTTGGCGGTTAGTGTACGCTGTTTTACCGAATAAGTTTGTTTTGTCTAAAATGCCACTAGTGACCTCGTGGGTGAGTGTACTAGATAGTGCACGAGTATTCAAAACGGTGTCAACTATACAAAAAACGGAGTCTGCTAGATAGTGTACAAGTGTACAGACCACAAGCACTCCAATTGGAACACGTCCAAACAGAGCTAGCTTGCTAACCAGCGGATAACACACCGACACACAGTCATACCTTCGCCACTTTCGGTATTCTCTGCTTCCCCGCCGCGGTGGACGCCATGCTTTCAGAATATTAGAGACCACGAGTTTGTGAGAGACTAAATTTGACGAGTATAATGTAAATGCAAATATAAACATAAAGAAAGCTTCAGCACTCTTTCACCATGGCCAAGTTTTCCGCCATTACGTTCCTCAAATCGACGAGCGTATCACGTAAGACGTTACGCCGCATACGTCATGACGTTAGGTTACCATGGCGACAAGACGCCCAGCGCTGGACCCGCAAGGTTAGCTTAGCTTAATTTACTGGCGGAAATGCTCTATTACTGAGTTTGATTGAGTTACAGATTAGAGGTTTTCCTTCCACAGGATCGAAAGGTAACATCTGTCTTGTTTTCTCCTGACAAAACCTGAAAAACATCGAATAAGAAGCCAACTTAAGTCTCGCGGCAAATAGGTTACCATATAATGTAATGCACTTGAATAAGAAGAGCATTTACATCAATGTCCGTTAGCTAGGTTATCTTAGCTGGCTGTTTTTTATTTACTTTTTATTTGTTTTCATTACATATTTTATTTCTGTTTTATCTCTATTTCCTATTCAAGGCTTTATTTTTTCTGTAAAATACATTTATTTGTTCATTTACTCTTGTTAGTCTTTATTTGTTTCACCTGATCAAATTTAATTTGTAGTTTTTTCAATCCCTGTTTAAACTTGCTCGGCTACATTGTAAATGTAGATCACTCCCTCAGTGTACTTCCAAATTGTAATTAAGGTTGATTTATTGATGGATTAATTGATTGATTAAATGATTGATTGACTGAAATAAGTATGACACGTTTATTTGTGTGTATTTTAGTTGCTCTCTAGGAGAACATGACGACCATCACAACCTCCAGTGGCAAAGCTGAAACTGTGACTGTCAGACGCACTGAGTCCTCCGATGCTCAGCAGATCTGTAAGCTGATCAGCCCTGCAACGGTTGCTGTGTTTGGCAGAGTGAATGTGATCCACCTCTTGTGAGTACTAAACATTATTTGTATATTTATTTCAACATGTAGAGTTTTAACTCATAAGCAAAATTATCTGCCAATATAGTGGAATAATGTCTATAAATGTATAGAAATAAGATTTTACAGAAACAATTTTATTATAAGCAGTCAACAATCTTAAAATGAGAAATAATGGATATTGAATAGATCATTTTGCTTGACAAGATATTTTTTGTGATGGACGTTGTCTAGTGTGGACCAATCAAACTTTTTCTTTAGTTCGGTTTGTTTTGACAGATGTGAACACTCCACCCATATTCAGCACTAAACAGCTCAACCACAGTCTGCCAGAAATTGAGGGTCTTGCTGGTGCGAACACATGGATGCAATGGTTCATGGAATGTTTTTTAGTTTTGGTCAAGCAAAAATGTGTTTGATTTTTGGTCAAGCATCAGCAGCCTGATTACATCCAACAAACCAATCAGTCATAAAGAGACAGAGATGAAGTAAAACTTATTGTTGCTTTGATTGTGATACACATACATCTGTGATACATGTACATCTAAATTCACGACATTGGGTAAGATATGGTGACATCAAGAATGTATGTGAGGGATCAGTATGGATGTTATACAGTAATAGGCAAGTGAAAGTTAAAAAGTTTTTATTTTAGTACTAATGGACAGTATTTTTTGGCACTAATGGACGGAGGTCCTCAGCTACAGTTCTCAGACACAGTAATCTTGCACATGTGCTGTCCAAAAAGTAGTATGGAAAATTTGATTATATGGGGTGCAGTAGTTGGGGGGGTTCTAACCTGCAGGTGGGAATTAGCAAATTAAGGGGGAGGAGGAAACTGAGTAAAGATCAGTGTGTATAATCTGTTTTGTTGACTTAAATGAGATGCAGAAGTAAAAAAATGTGAGAAAGGACAACTTTTAACTTTTAGCTAAAGTCGAGTTGACTTAACTTGGTCAAGTGCATGGTCGGGTTGACTTAACTTGACTTAAACATTTTTACAGTGTAACGATACACAATTTTTGTTAGCCATCCTCTACCCCATACATCAGTGGTCAGTTTCTGACCACAGAGTCACTCTTGTCTGGACATTTTTGGGTGGCGTTTCACTCTGAATCTAGCAGTGACACTGACATTTGTAAAAACCCTAGCAACACCACTGTGTCTGATACACTTGTACCAGCGCCACACACACTATCATATCAGTGTCACTGCTGTGTTGAGAATGGACCACTACCCAAATAATATCTGGTCAGCAGCAGTGTTGTAGTCATAAACTGACCAATGACGAATGGGCTAGAGTGGGGCTCATGAACTGTGCAGCAACAGATGGACTACAGTTTACATGTACAGTGTAACTGTACACCCGGACCTATGAGGTAGGTGGGGCATAAAGTGGCCAGTGGGTGTATGTTGTACTTGACTGTATACTGATGAGCCAAAACAATATGACCACTCACAGATGAGGTGAATAACGTTGATTGTCTTATAACAACAGTGCATGTGAAAGTTTGGGATATATGAGATGTAAGTGAACAGTCGGTTCTCATAGCCGATGTTTTGAATGTTGTGACTTTGACAAGGACCAAATCCTTATGGCCATACGGCTGGGTCAGAACATCTCTGAAACAGCAAGGCTTGTGTTCCTGATTAGCACTGGAGAGTACAGACAGTGGTCTGAGGAGGGACAAACCACGAACCAGCAACAGGGTGTTAGGCGCCTTAAAGGCTCATCAATACCATCTGGTCTGACCAGACAGAAGGGCTGCTGTGGCACAAGTCACAGAAATTTTTAACAATGGTGTCACAGCACACAGCACATTATATGCTGCTGCGTGAGGAGTGGCATAGCTGCAGACCTGTCAGAAAGCCCATGCTAACCCCTGTTGACCATCAGAAGCGCCTATGATGGGTGCATGAGCATCGGAACTGGATCTTGGACCAAGGGAAGAAGGTTGTATTGTCCAATAAGTCCCATTTTCTTTATTATCACATATAATCACATATAATATTATCACATGGTCAGCCAGCCACAGGTGTGCTATTTAACAGACAAGCTGGTGGAGGGACTGTGATGCTCTGGGCAATGTTCTACTGGGCAACCCTGGGTCCAGGCATTCATGTGGATGTCAGTTTGACGAATGCTACCTACCTAAACATTGTTGCAAACTAGGTACACCCCTTCAAAGCAATAGAATTCCCAAATGGCAGTGGCCCCTTTCTGCAGGATACTGCACCCTGTCACACTGCACACATTGTTCAGAAGTGGTTTTAGGGACATAATGAGGAGATCAAAGTGTTGCCCTGGCCTCAAGATTCCCCAGATCTCAATTGTATTGAGCATCTGTGAGATGTGCTGAAGCAACAAGCCTGATCCGCAACAGCTCTACATCACAACCTACAGGGCTTAGAGGATCTACTGCTAATGTCTTGGTGTCAGATACCACAGAACACCTACAGAGCTCTTGTAGAGTCCATGCCTACATGGCAGGTCAGAGCTGTTTTGGCGGCACGTGGAGGACCAACAGCATATTAGGCAGGTGGTCATAATGTTTTTGCTCATCAGTGTTTACTGCACTATGTTCTCAGTTAAAATCAAAGTAGAATATATTTTTTGTAAGACTTTAAACAGAGATTTAGGTTAATGTATTCATGTATGTTATTTGTCTTTTTGTTTTTGAATTCTCAGAGAAAAGGCTAATTTGGCAGTGACTTTAAACACAGCAAAAAATCATATTCTTGCTCATGCTGCTTTCTTGGACCACCCCATCGGTGACCTGGTGGATCAGGCTTCATGGGAGGAGTTCCTTCAGGCCCATTTTGACGGCACAAAATTCACAGTAGGCAGAGACGTTAAGCAATGACGTATGTGATTCAATAAGGATGATGGATGCTGCAGTTTCATACCTGATACTTTGATCTCTTCCCCTTATGTTTATGTCTCTAGCCGTTGAATACCCTCTTCTTGCATCTGTTTGTTGCCCAGTCCAGCTTTTCAACTGGGAGCGCTAAAGAGATTGTAAGGTAAAATATAAGAATGCACATAATAGCCACCTACTTTATATGCAATGCACTTATACATTTCTGGATTTAATGAAAATACATTCAGCATTGTGAGATTTGTTTAGCGTTTCCGTGTGTTTTGACAATGATTTGCTTGAATAAGACAGACTTCTCTATAGTCATCCAGTTAGGCTGAGTTGAAATCTTGTTTGAGGCAGCAAAAATTACATTTCCACTGTGGCAATGTCTTCCTGTTTCCATTCGTGGCCCTTTGCATTGAATTCTACAATCTGATAAAGTTAGATTTTGCATTGCGAGCTTAAATGTTATAAAGGGACACAACGCAGGCCTTAATTGTAATCTTTTCCATTTTCTTCATCATTACCAGAACAGTCTTCAATGCCATCACTGAGCTGGAATACATCTGTCTGGTTACTCCTTACAGCAGCTGTCTCGGTAAGGAAACCAGACCATGCACTTCAGGCATTCTAGCCATCACTTTTATTTTGTCTATTCTGCATCTGCTTTCTGTTTAAGAGTTTATATAATATAGCAATAATTCTTTTTTTAGCTTCTGTTTATCTCACATAATAAAATAGGCCGCTTTTGTTACTGTGCCTGCCTTCACTTAATTTCCAGTCAAAACAGCCATGAAGGTATTTATTTTCAGCATCAAGGAAAAAAGCAGAAAACAATTACAGTGGTGTTCAAATGTCTAAAAATATGGGATATAAAAGTTATGACAAGTAAAATGAAGAAGAAATATTCAAGATTCTGCAATTTTTCCAAGTGACTATTCAAATTGACAACAACCATATTAAGGCCTTCGTACAACCCCGTTCCAAAAAAGTTCCAAAAGGACGCTGTGCAGAATGTAAATAAAAACTGAATGCAATGACATGCAAATAATGTAGACCTTTGTTTTTAAGTGAAAATAGTACAAATACAACATATCAAATGTTAAAACTAAGAAATTGCATTGTTTTTGAAAGTATATGCCCATTTTGCCTGTCCCAACTTTTTTAAAACATGTTCAAAATGGGCATATATTTTATCACCATTTTTAGTTTTCAGTGTGTCCACTCTTAACCTTTATTACAGCTACACATCCTTTCAGACCCATAGTGTTGCATCGTCGTCTCACAGTGGAAGGATGGACAGAAACACCTGTGGATTTTTTTCAGATCTGAAGCAGCTTGATTTTCTCCTCTCTCTCAAAGATGAACGCTTTAAGTGCATAAGTAACATTTTTTAGGAGTCATATTTTCTTTAATTTAAGATAATTTGCTAATTTCAGCTAATTTACGGTCACATAGGCATTCAATTGCACACACATAGTTTGTATAATCTCCAAAAAAAAGAATTGACCAAAGGAATGGGACTCTCTGGAGCAGCTGTGCATGAGCCTAAGTCTATTGTACCTAAGTCCAAACATTTAGCACCTATTTCAAAACTGGGCTGTGGAGTAGTGGAACTGCGTTCTGTGGAGTCCACCCAGTACCATTGGGATGAGTTGGAGTGATCCAGAACTAATCATCTAACATTAGTAGCTGACCTCACTAATGCTCTTGTGGCTGCAATCAAATCCTCACAGAAATGTTTGATTTCAAGCAGGTGTCTACAATGTACTGTACAACCTCTGTTCTGATTGGCTGACACCATTCACAAGTAAAATGAAGCACATAACATTTAAAAAAAGAGTAGAAAAATTAGTAGAAAAAAACATGAAGTTCGGCCTTAATTTATCAGGAATGTGAAAAAAAACGTCAGCCTCTACTTTTAGATGTGTAGATCCTTTGGAAGGCTGCAGTGATGCATTTTCTTCCTGACAGCGAGGAACAGCACAACGTTTAATCCTTACCACTTCCACTCCGATAACTCTGCTACAAACTGTCTGCAGGAGCAACACTCCAGATTGCTTCAATGTAATGAAACATGGCGGAGGCTTAACAGGTGGACATACAGTTGTGTGCAAAAGTTTGGGCAGCCCTGGTCAAACCTCTGGTGCATGTTTTTAATTTTCTAAGTGAATTTATTCATCATCTAGCACATCCTCTACAGTGTACAAACTTATAAATGGTGTTTTTTCTGCAGATTGTAGTGCACAATTTCTGTTAATATATTGGGAAAAAAATATAAAATATAAAATGTGCAATAACAGGCCAGATTTTATGTTTAACTTTTTCCCAATATGTTAAATTTAGCAAATAAACAGAATGTGTGCATAAAAATGTGCAGAAGTGTGTTGCACCCAAACTTTTGCATACGACTAGATGTAAATGCTGTGACATCACAACCATGATGAATTCAAAAAGTGCTTTTTGTGCAGCTTACTTTACAAATATGGACTGAGGAATAAACTATACATTTTGACAGTTTAACAATGTTTATGTGATGTATCAAACATAAAATTCACTTCAAAATGTGCCCTTTTATTCTGTCCTTTACATTGTTAATGTAGCCCTAGGTTTACACTCACTTGCATTTCATTTTCCAGAGCCAGCTCTGGTGGGCATTTTTGAGCCCATGTCTTGTGTTAAGGAGGGGGTCCAGTGTGCTGCATTTGTATGCCACAGACATAACTACTGCCCAAGGCTTCATGTGCGCAGAGCCAGGTACTCAAACATGAAATGCAGTATGCTTTTGCATCAGAGGTTTTGAGCTTGCATCACTAATTGCTTTATATTGTTGAAAAAAAGCATTAGCAACAAGCAAATTTATAATCCTGCCTTAGTTAGTCAATGTGTAATAAAAAAAAAACATAATGTCCACCAGAGTGGAGGACCATGATGACCTCACCGTCCTATTAGCGGAGCAGACCAAGGCTCTGGCTGGCTCCTATGGCCCGTACTTCCTGGCTGAACTCATTGAAGCCCAGGATGAGATGAATCACGTGGCGGTCTGCGAGGTTAGTAATGCTTGCCAAAAAACGTCCCACGAATATTCATGTGCTTCGAGCAAAGCGCATGCAAATGCAGCCCAATCTGGGCATCATCAGACGTTTCATTTGTAAATCACCATGGCGATAAAATCCTTGATATACTTTTGAATTGCACAGCAGTAGGTGCACTCAAGGCTGCAGATGCTTTTTTTGCGAAATGTAACTGAAATTGTGGCAGGGTGCACTCCCCCAGGAACGACACGATGACAGATCCACCCTCCCCCCCTCGCTGCGACTCAAGCTGACATGTGTTCATAGCAGCATATGGCAGATGAGAGCTAATGCCCAGCCAAGACATGCTCACACTCAGCATATTGTGTCCAGACATCTGTAGCATTTTTGCATTTTTTTGTTTGGGTGCGCGCTGAGCTAACGGCTCTACATTGCCCAGGAGTGTTATCAAAGGAACATCATGTTTTTCCAGAGAATGTCATAAATTATTACAGAGCTTTTTGTTGTTCTTCACACTGAGGGTTTTTAATAATTTATTCTGCCCTAAAAGTCTTCACGAACAGGGTTTTTTTTTCCGACGATTTTGGATGTTGAACATGGCAAATTAATAAATTTACATGTATTTAGCTCATGCTTTATACACAGTAAAGGTATGCAGTGAGGGAAAACAAGCCACTTTTGTTTTTGTTATTTAATATACTTGTAGTGCATTATATCCACTTCAGATTTACACACATTTTGACTTTGTGTCGAAAATATGAACAAAATAAGCATGTATATGCATAACCATAAACAAAGATTTGTTGTTAGATGTTAAAAAATGAAATTGATAGGGAAAAAGGTTTTCAGGCAGCACAAATGAATAATATTAGTACTTTGCTGCAAAGCCACTGTTGGCAGTTACAGCTTTAAGAAGTCTATGGTAAGAAGTAGCCTCTCGGCCAACCATCTTCACCTCCGTGTTGCACTCACAATTTCAAAATCATTCATACATTTCTCAAGTGACTCAAGTCAGGAGATTGGCTAGGCCATGCAAGTACCTTCACCATTTTTTAGAAACCAGTGTTGAGTTATTTTCTCTAATATCTTCGGTCCTCTAAGGTCTCCTGGTACATCACTCCATTCATGCAATGCCCCAGTACTGTTTGCAGAGAATCTGCCTTATGTCATGATGCTCTCATCTTCGCAAGTCACCGTGGTGTTGTTAGGATCATATCGTCACTGTCCAAAGAAAATGTATATCTTCAAAATAGTAGCCTTACAGGAGAAGGCAACAACATTCTTAACTTTTCACAAACCTTTTCAAAACATTCTTTTGCTTTTCTGTTGGTCCATTCAATATGAAATTTTCACACAATGTAAAGGACAGTTGCTGTCTTCAAATTATGTAAAAAAATGAAACTCATCAAAAATGGAGATGCACCTTTTTTTGAATAACAACGATATGCGCAACCCTTCTTTCTCCAAACGTGACAAGCTGAATTATTGCCAGTTCTATATTTGTTACACCTGAGCCGAATGCATTGTTCCAAAGCAGTTATGATTTGTCTAAATGCTTATGTGTAAATTTTAGATGCTCTCTGTGCTTCTTTTTAAGTCAAAAGACATTATGTGACCTTGGCACTGGTACCACCATACCTACTAGTTAAGCTAGAGTAACAAAGCTTAATATGATAAATACAATTATAAAATAAATAATAATAACAATTGGACTAGAAATATAATCATAGATTGTCGTTTGTTATGGTTAAGGTTAATATATGTAGGTATATATATATATATATATATATATATATATATATATATATATATTTATATTTATATATAAATATATATATTACATGTCTGTCTTTTTCTCAGAATGAAGGAATTGCAGTGGGCTGTATGAGTTTGAGTGGTGATGTCAACCTGAAGCTGCTCAACCAGTGCTTTGAACTCGGACCATTTAATGGACTGCTAAAGGAAAATCCTGACCAAACAGTGGACTCAGGACAGACACTGATGGACAAACCCACAGAGGAGGACACTGAGGCTGCTGAGCCCCAAAACCATCTGATAAAGTCAGAAAGCAAAGAGGTGACTGTTAACTCCTTAACCCCTTAAGCCATAACTGCAGAACTTGCACATTAGTTTCATAGTAGTTTAATAATTTGTATTAGTTGCTGAATGTTTCATAATAGTTACTGAATAACTTATAGCAGATATTTAACAAGTCACATTAGATACTGAATAATTCACAGTAGTTACTGAATAATTCATAGCAACCGTAACTGTTATTTGTACTATTAAGTGGTTGTTATTCAGTTAATGCATCTTTATTATCCCTTAAATGTGTAAGTGTTTCTCCAACTGTTCATATACCTTGTAAGTGACAATACAAATTAATCTACAAACTGCTTGGATAAAACTTTGTAAAACTGTTAAATACTTTTACTGATTAAATCGAAGAAATATATATTAATCTGTTGTTCTTTGCTTATTTGAAAACGGTCTTTCAGGTATTCCAGAGGCCTGATGCAGACAGAGCTGAGAAGGGGTCAGACAGCTCAAGAGCATCGTGTGACATGCCTGAGGTCAGAGTTAAATATTAAAGGGCCTTTCAAAAATGTTCCCAAAATATATGCTTTTAAAGCATGTTTGGTCTTTTTTTAATCTAACATTGCCAAAGAATCATTTTAAATCACTTTGCCCTTTCCATACACCTTTGCATTAGGCCAAGCCCATTAGAGCAGGCACAAAAGACTACACAGGATCCAGCGTGGGCTCAGAACAAGCACAGTCTCCTAATGCTTTCTGCATTCAGCTCTTTGCCATCGACAAGAGGTTTGAAATAAGGTGAGTTCAGCTGAAGGGCACAGGCACAAGGCCCATTCCTCCAGCACATACACTGCCCATTATATTACCCACCCCTGAAAGTTTTTCTAAGTATTGCCAGAGCAAAGAGCATTTATAGAACCTCAATACTATTTAATGAGTGTTTCCATTGGCGAAATATTGTGCATGGAAAGAACACAAAAACTCGTACCTCTCCTGGCCGCGCTCCAGTGCCTCTTGGTTAAGAGCCGTTGTCGGGCCGGGGGGAAACTGATTGCTAGTTGGCTCCTGCTGGGCCCAGCTTTCTGCGCCTTACTACCCAGCTGTTGCGGAATATGGAATCCATTCCCTCCCCGCAGAGAGTGAGCATGTAATTAATGAGTAGAATGCTTAAAGTGACAGCGAGATGAGTGCAGAGGAGTTGAGTGGAGACCAGTAGGCAGATTGGTTGGCTGTTCACACTGACGTTAGCATCCAACATGGCAAGTTTTCACTGTTTCTCAACAAAGAGACGCCATGCAATCAAACTTTCCACCATTTCACCACCTTCCTTCCACCCTCTCTGATTTTATTCCCTCACAGATCAGTGGACTTCCTGCCTTACGTATTCAAACTTTTCCCAGTGAGTATACTTGCTCAAGTTCAGGACAAATTAGCCCAACATGTTCCTACTTACTGTAGATATTTATTGGTTTAATCGTAAAGCTGTGTCACGCACACTTTTTTCTGGCCACAGATCCAGATTGATGACGATCCTCTGCACCTGTTCTTTTGTTGCATAAATAATGGTATTAAAAAGGACAACAATTGTTCTATATGGGCATTTAAATCACGTTTTCATCAGTAATGTGACAGAAAATGCTCTAAATGATAATGATAAAAGGCTTAATTTATGTCCATGACAGACCACTATAAACTATACAACCCAGTTTATTCAGTATATCTGCCTTCTACCTTCTGTCATTGGCCATTTTATCAGACACGCCTAGCATATAGGGCACTTTGTAGGTTTCCAGTTACTGACTGTAGCATATCTGTTGCTGCACAGTTTATCAGCACCCCTCTACTCCATCCATCAATAGAAAGAGACCACCGTAGGACCATCGTTAACCAGATATTATTTGGGTGGTAGATCATTCCAGGAGGGACTCTGAGGTCTGAAAATTACCACTGCTAAATGTATATGGATGACTAATACAAACTATGCAGCAACTGACAGGCTATAGTGTCTAACAGCAAGGTGGATCTATGAGAGAGAAAGAGAGTACTATTCACTATTCACTATTCGTGTGTTTAGTGAAATAAATCTCTTAGCATAATATTGAATGTCTGTTATGACTGGAAATTAAATAAATGACAGGTGGTCTCTGACTTTTACACAATAATGTATATAAGACTGTTCTGTGTACCCCTCTCATTCTGAGGCAGGTCATTACGTGTGTGATTTTTAAGGTGTTATTAAGTGTGTTGTGTGAGTTTTTGTACTCGTTTATCAGGAGAGGGACTTCTGCATTATCTCAGTTCCTAAGCTGGCTCCAGAGTTTCCTCTGCTGCAGACCTTTCTCAGAGCGGTGCCTCATCACTCCAGCAGCCTGCCACAGGAGCTTTACATCTTCCACCGCTCAGGCCTGCTCAAGTAAACACACACAGACACACACAAACACAGACACACACACAAACACAGACACAACAAAGAAATGCAGATGGCACTGATCTGATATCATATCGGTATGAGGCTGATATCAGCAGAAAATGCTGGATGGGATTTTGGAGGGAATAAAGGAATGAAAGTGATCCAATCCAGTAACAAATCTCTCATGCAACAGTGCTCACTCACACTGTGTGATGTGATGTGGTTAGCTGTGTAGTTCTTCCTGTGAGGTTAAAAGAATAGACGAGAGTAACTAGAGTAGTTTCAGCATGATAGGCTTATCTTAAGTGCTAAAAATAGCTCTTTTTAAAGCTTAGCTGATTTTAAAGAAGAAATGTGAGATCTGTGTCTTTATCAGCTGATACTCAAGGATTTGGTATTGGAAAAGTGGTATTGTGCCATCTCTATAAAAAAATCATAAGAAAACATTTTTTTTCAGTTCTTATGCATTTATTTTTTACATCATTTGACAGTGCCGACTGCTCTAGATATAATGTAGAAATTGATAAATGGACCAATAAACCTTTTGAAAAGCAAACTTTTTATTTTCCTTGTCATGTTAACAGATGTTAAGAATGCTTTTCTTTGTCTTATGTAGATCATTCTACTAAATTTGTTCAAAATCAGAGTTGAAAACACATTTTTGACTTTTAACTGACTTGGGCTTTACCATAAGAGCGACCCAATACCTTAATTATGTTTTTTTTATTAAAATAAATGATTGAACACTCCATTTTTCACTAACCAAACGATCATAACACTACAGAAACTTTACCAAATGTTTCGGCAGTGACTGTTTAGATAGTGAAACTCAGAACTCAGAAATGCTGGTCAGTGCTTGACTCACCAACACGGCTTTGAACAGCTGTACACACATAAAATCATGATATTTTTTCATTGAAACACAAAAAGTTTACTTAATTGCAGAAAATGTGTTTCGGTGGTGACAATTCCTAATGTTCCACACTGATTTTCAGACTTTTTGGACACATTTTCTTCGAAACAATGGGATTGAACTGCTCACCATGTCGCCATGAGGCGTGGCTAAAATAAGGCTCCACCTATGGACTAAAACTCTGTTTCAGTAGTGACATGAAAACATGCGACAGCATTTTTTAATTTTTTTTTACATTAAACTTATTATAAATCTAAATCTTTCAACTTCACTTTTAAAGAAATCAAACAGATCTTAAAAAACATTAGAAAGAAAAAAGGAAGGACATATTATTTATACAGGTGTAAATATAGGGGTTATGGTTTGGTACAGACACCTCCCAATAGAAAGTCCTCCATAAATGATGATTTTGTATATATTTAGCTTATTACTATCTGAATTAATGCCCTGTGTTTAAGGAAATCATAGCATAATCCTTCTAAATATCTAAGATCTGAACATGTAGTCCTTTTTCAAAAAGTGCTTATTACTGTGGGACTGCAGTTTGAACTAATTCGGTAGAATGGTTCATATAGTTACCGTTTCAGAGATATGAGGTCATCTTACTACTGAAATGCAGAATTCCTTAAGTAACTTATCTATGCACTTCCTGCCTGTTTCTTTTTTTATAAATAAAATTTGATTCTAAAGATATAACAGTTTGATTGTTGCATTTCTCCACTGCTCTTTACGCTTGCAGGACGCTGCGGGTGCGTGTGCCGGTGTGTGACGACATGGCTGCCGTTCAGAGACTTGTTCAGAAACTCAACCTGCATGAAGCTCTGTTGGAAGATCTGGATACATTCTTCAAAGCTCGGCGAGATCCAGTCAGTCATTAATATCATGTGGGCGCAGACGATAATCTGTATGGCTAATGATCTATTATCTACAGCCCACGTGCCAAGTCAGGCCCGTGGCACAATGTTATTTGGCCCGCAAAAATATTTTAATTTTCTATTAATATTAGCCCATCTCACTATGAGCTGCACTACAGTTCCCTGCATGCACTGCAACATAATTTGTGTTCCCACCCCCTCCCTCAACAACGATCTATGGGACAGCACCACAAAATAAAAAAAGATGGCAGGTGTCTAGTTGAAGCGAATGGGCAGTTTTTAAAAACCTACTGTCATTGGAGACATTTTAAGAGGTTTAACAGTTTTCTGCAGCTAATGTAGTCTACTGTTTTATCTAAAACAATTGGTTTTTAATTAAAATGATTTTTCAAGTATTCAGTGCCTATTTTTTACCGATGTAGATTTGGCATATTTTGAATAAACAATGACCCATTCAGGTCATGGCAAAATGTAAGTAAACCTAAAATAAAAACACAGCTGGCCTACAGACTTGTTGAGATTTTTTAATTTGGTCCTTTTAGTAGTTGAGGTTGACACCCCTGATCTTCAGCAAACTTTTCTCTTTCACCCTCAGGATGGAACACCTATTCAAGCATTTGTAGCTGAAGCTGAAGGACAGGTTGTCGGAATAGTAATCATTAGAAATGAGCAGGTAATTCAGTAACAGTTACCCTGCGAGAGTCATATTAAAAGGCAGCTCATGATCGTAAATTTACCTTATTCTCTGTCCTCAACTCCTGCAGGACATCGAGTACATCCGAGCCAACTACAACATTGAGAACTTTGTGTATTTCAGTCATTACCAGCGTGAGGAGCACGGCCAGCTGTGCCATTTCACCCTCAACTCCATCTTCCAGCACTATGCCAAACACTTCCTGAAGGAGGCGCTGCGTCTGGCACACAAATCCTGCCTCTACTACCCCGTCTACCCCTCTAACTACAGCCAGAGGGTGAGGAACCTGCAGCAGTCTGGATCTCTTTACCGCAGCGGTGCTCTAACTCACATTAACAACAGCACTGTTCTCCCTCTCTCTCTCTATCTCTATCTCTCTCTCTCCTCTCTCTCTCTCTCTCTCACTCTCTTTCCCTCTTTCTTTCACACTGTCTTGTCTTTCTTTCTTATTTCTTATTCTCTCTCCATCTTTTTCTGTCTCTCTCCACCTTTCTCTGTCCCTCACTCTTTCTCTCTTTAACTTTTTCTTCCTCTCCATCTTTCACTCTTCTCTGCTCTTTATACCTTTCTCTCGATCACACTCTTTCCATCTCTTTTCCTCTCCATCTCTGTCTCTGTCTCTCTTCTCATCTCTCTTACTCTATCTCTCTCTCTACATCTTTTTCTCTCTCAATCTATTTCTTTAACTCTCTCCAACTCTCTTTTTCTATCTGTTTCTCTCTCCACCTCTCTCTCTCTCTTGCTCTTTTTACATCTCTCCCTCTCTCTTTCTCTTGCTCTTTCTACATCTCTCCCTCTCTCTTTCTCTTGCTCTTTCTACATCTCTCCCTCTCTCTCTTGCTCTTTTTGTTTCTCTCTCTCTCTCTTTCTCTCTCTTCCTCTCTCTCTCTCTCTTTGCTCCGTGTTTCTCTCTTTTTTGCTGTTTCTGCGTTTCTCTCTCTCTTTCTCTCTCTGGCTTTTTTTGCTCTTTCTACATTTCTCTCTCTCTCTCTCTCTCTCTCCTCTAATGCTATGATCTGCTCTGGAGGTCCTCTCTCTCTCTTTCCTGCTAATTAGCTCAGACAAACATGAGCCAGATTGAGGGATGATGAGGTGTAAATAGAATTATGGTAAACTAACAGGTGGGTTTGTGTTGTGAAGAGAGCGTGCCAGCCAGCCCTCAGCTAAAATACAGCATTCAACAGTGTGTCATATGAAGCCTTTTACACATCTCCTCTCTTACCTCACAGCGATTCACTGTGATTACAGTTCTTCTAAATGATTCAGTGCATCACGGATCTCAGACTGCATCATGACTCAGATATGACTGAGAATAACTTTAAAAACACGCTGACAGTGTATTTCATACACACCTGGAGGAGCTATATACAGTAGTAGATTAAAGACTATTTTTTTTTCCTGACATAAGTATCCTGACATGGTTTTTGGCCAAAAGTGAACCCATATTTTATTGAATGTTATTGTAATTGATTATAATTGGCGCCACAGTAGTGAAGTTCTCTGTAACTTTGCCCCAGCTCCTACACCTTGCCCTCATAATTCTTTATGAAAACACTTTTACATTATGTCTGTTTTCCCAGAATGCCTCTGCCCATTCCCTGACGGCGGTGCTGAACTGCATGGTGCCAGTGCGTCCTCGCCGCCAGATCATCTACCCACTGGAGGAGCTGGACATTAACGCTCCATCCACACTGATCACCAGAGAACAGGTCAGATGGGATTTGTCTTTTCATACCGATCTAAAACTTCCAACTCAAATCCTGACAGGTTTGGTTTTTTGTAATGGAAGAGAATGTAATTGAATGAAATTTCATACGACTTCCAGGGTGTGATGCTTAACGGCAATCATGACTGGAAACAGGTTGGAATCAGGTTATAGCTAACATATTTCCAATAGAGTATCTCTACAGGAGAAGGTAAGAAAGCTAACGTTAATGTAACATTTTTGTAAAGTCATTTTAAAAATTAAAAACATCCCTGCAATCTAATAAGCCCGGAAGGTACTCTGCAATAAGCAGGGACCGATGTTGGTAATGATATTTTGTGTTCAATCTTAACATCTGTGACACTGGTTCCATGCTGATCTAAAACCTACATGCTTGTTTCAGTGGATTACAGCGTTGTGTAAATTGCCACAGTGGCAGCTAAAATCTTTGGGACTCACAAGGTCAGTGGAGCGTCCCTGCTGCACTGTGATTGAAATTTGTAAAATCAATCTTCAGTTAAAATTAAACTTCAATCATTCAAAATAAGTATTAGAAAAATACTGGCTAGCATTTGTGACTGTTTGATGTGCTTGATCAAACATTGCAGTCTAGAGTGCCATGTACATAGAAAGGTTTCCCAAGTACATTCATTTTAAAACTTCTTTAAAAAATCCTTTTAAAACCTCTCTTTTAAAATAACAGTGAACACAGCACAGTGTGTCTAATGAGAGATATTTTGTTTACATTGCCAAAGAGATATGGCTTGAACCTAAAGTCCTCAAAAGAAAGTCAAATATAGCGCTGATGAGCTTTACATAGCGAGATTGCAGTTCTCCCTCGGTCACCAGAGGGCACTGTTTCGCAACTTCATTCCCCACTAAATTTAACCCTTGTGTTGTGTTCAGGTCTGTGGGACCCATTTTCAATGTTTACCAAAGAAAAAATGCTTTATTATTTAAGCCCCAGATTCCTTGGCCTTAGCTCATTTTCTGTGACTTCACACTGTACACCCCGCCACACAATATATTACACCTGTGGTGTTGGGGTGAACCCGCGGGGAATATAAGTGTGGAGGTGCTATGTCCCTTCACTCTGTTCCCCTCCTACATGGCCGGCTGTTACTGTGTGTGTTTATGTGTGTATGTGTTTGTGTATGTGTGTGTGTGTTTGTGTGTGTGAGGGTGGACAACATGGACAGGCTGCTGACTGGCTACAGCTGTTAAAGGAGAACCCTACGCTGGCCACTTGTGATATTTTAAACATCTGGTATTTTTACATATCTTGTTATGGCTGTATTGATTTAAAAAAAAACAATAATGCGGTGGGTCCACCAGACCACTGAGTAACAAAAACATCAACACCACACAAGAGTTAAACACACTGCTCAGTCTAATAAAACATTCCATCCTCACAACAACAAAATAAATATAATAAATAATGTGTCCAAATGTTTGTAGACACCCGCTCGTCCAGCGTTTCTTCTGAAATCAAGGGTATTAATAGGAAGTTTTGGAAGAGAGGAGTTTTGGAAGAGAACTGTGCATGCTCAATTAAATGCCTGTATAAGCAATGGGTATTGCATATTAAGCATTTATCACTCACCAATAAGAGCAATATTCATTTTGAGACAGAATGCACACTGGTGCTCAGGCTTAGTTCTAACTGTAGTCACTGGTCGGGGAGCCGTTTCGCCTCAGGGTTATTTAACAGGGCTGGTTAATGGAGCAGATGGCCTCAGCAACAGATGGGATGGGAAATGTTTACCGCTGGTGTTTAACAGGTAAAGCTGTGTTCTTATCCAGCTCCGCATCAGGCCAGCAGCTGCCCCACCTGCACATGTTTACCTGCCTGACCAGATACTTGACCTGAAGCAGCAGCAGGCTGACTTATAGGAGCAAAGCTTACGTGCAGTTCAGCACCAAACAGCTAACAGCGCCTTATCAGGATCATCTAAAAGCACCTAAATGAGATGTGGATGGCTGCATGGCTGCATTAAAAGGCAAATGACCATTTCACTTTGCTGTTTTTCCTTGAAAAACAAAGCTCTACATTTATGTAGCGATGGCTAGTTTTGTAATGTGAGGATAAATTTCCAAGTACAGTTATATAAGAATCTCAGGGGTGGGTGTCATACCCTTCTGTGTGTGTGTGCTATGCTTGGTGCATTAGCAGGTACAAACAACCTGCCACTGCTCTCCCACACTCCATCTCCATTAGAAAGCTCCATTTGGTAGCGCGGCAACCATGGTGTCCAGGCAGCGGCGGAGATAAGAGCACGTCTGGTGGCTTAGCATGAGGCAGCATGCAGTAAAGCCCTGTGTCCAGCACACGCGGATTAATCAGGTTTAAAACACCTGTTCACTTTCTTTGTCAATAGCGGGTCATGTTACGGTGGGCCATTGTGTTCCTCGGAGCTTCTGCATGTCCATGAGGAGCCCAGAGATGGAGGCTGCACCTGCTCTGAGCTTTACCTGCCTGCAGGACGCCTGTAATAGGAACTAGGGCCCAGCTGATGTGAAAGTGTTTAAAGATGCTGATTTTAAGGATTCCAGCAACCAACAGTATTTTATATAATTTATATATCAAAAAAACACGATTATATCTTTCAGTTTACTTACATTTGACAAGAATTATGAATTATATTATTTATGTGTGACCACTTGAAACATTTGAATCACGTACATTTGAAAGATCACTTTGTTCATGACTAAACATAGTATTTTCATAGATCTTTCTAAATGATAAGCCAGTTGTTAATTTTCTTTAAAGATTTACATAAATGGCAGAAACTCTAAATACCTTAAGACAGAGGTTCCCAACCTTGTGGACCACACAAATGAAAAGAAAAGCTTCAAGCTTCCGTGGCGCACAAGATCTGAGAACAGATAAAAAACAGAATGCAGTGATAAATAAATTCTGTTTGACCTGTATTAAATTGAAGCACAGTATTTTATGTTTTACCTTACGAATTTATTGTTTTTTGTAAATCTAAGCTCATTCTAAATTTGGAGCCTAAAACTCTTTCCAAAAAATGGGGACATATTTTCCTTTTAACAGCACTCACTCTGTGTCCAGTGTTAATGGTGCTTTCACAGAAGTGCAGGTTACCAACTAATACCCCCCCCATTCCATGACAAACTCTGGCTTTTGAACTTTACGTTGGTAACAATCTCGATTGTCCTTTTCTTCTTTGGCCCAAAGAACACAACATCCATTATTTCCACAAACAATCTGAAAGGTTGACTCATCAGACCACAATACACGCTTCCTCTGAACATCAGTCCATTTCAGATTAGCTTGAGCCCTGAGAAGTCAGCAGCATTTCTGGATGCTGTTGACATATGACTTCCTCTGTGCATAGTACAGTCCTAACTCGCATTTGAGGACGCAGTGATGGACAGTTTTTATTGACAGCAGTTGGTCAGAAAAACATGCTGGTCTTTAATGCAGTGCCATGTAAGGGGTCAAAGTTCATGGCTATTTAGTTATGGTTTTAGACCTTGCCCTTTCTACATAGAGATTTCTTCACATTCCCTGAATCTGTAGAGGGTAAAATAATTTAAATCCTTGCAGTCACTCCCTGAGGAATGTTATTCTCAAACTGTTTTGGCCATCCTTGCTCATAAATCTCTAGGCATTTTCTGGATGCTCCTTTTACCAAAGCATGAGTGCATCACCTGTTTAAGATGTTTTTTGAACATTTGACAGTCTTAAATTATGTCCAGTCCTAACTTTTTTGGAATTGGGTTTGTGTTATACTTTGTGATATATTTTGTAAATGTATCATTAAAAATGATATAGCTTAAGTATTATTAATTAATATTATATTATAGTCTTAGTCTATCTTTGCATTGTAAACTGGAGGGATTATATCTCCAATTTGGCCTGGGAGCGGCTTGGGGATGAGGAATGAGCTGGAAGATGTTGCAGGAAACAGGGTCGTCTGGGATTCTCTGCTCTCGCAACTGCAACCGTCACCCGATCTAGATTAAGCGGTTAAAGATGATGAATAAATGAATGAATCATGATTAAGGTTATTCTCTGTCCTTCTTTTCTAAAACTGATTCAGAATCACCATCTAACATCAACTGAATATAAACCAAACAACATCCATTTTTATTATTAAATGAAAATATAGTAATGAAAACATTACGATCTGCTCAAAGGGGTTGTTTGAGTTTGAAACCAGTGAACATCAACAAACTAATAAGACCCAGTTAAGACATATTGGGAGCGAACAAATTTGATTTAGACATGTACAGAAATAGCGGTTATATTCTGTTTGAAGGTTTTGTTGATATTCGATAATTACAGATAAATGTTCAGTTTCCAGTTACCTTAGATGGATCACACTTGGCCTTGGTCTTGAGAACAGTTTCCGAGTCCATCTTACCCCGAGACGGAGATCGCTGGTGCTGAGAAATCCATTGGACCTTAATATTTGCTGATTTTATCAAACAAACAATTTATCAGTCTGGCTGTAGTCAGTATGCAGTTACCCTCAGCTCTGTGTGGGCCAGCATAAAGAAACCTGCAGGCTCCTGCTTGACTTGGTGGAATGTTTTCTTTTTTTTCCCTTACAATCACGTGTTTGATGTTCTGGTTACTAATGAAACAGTGTGCTAAAATCAAAGCATGCCACTTTAAACCACTTGTTGCTAGGCATGCCAGCTAGAAGCAAAAGACAAACTTGAAACATAAAACACAAATGATTAAATTCGCAGAAGTTGAAAAGGCAGTCACGCCCAGTTTGATTTTGGAGTGAACTAAACTAGCCTTTTTTGCATCCTTCTCAGAATCCCTCCTGTCTTTAGGCTCCACAGGTCATTGCAATTAGGTCTTTTAAAGGGCCCTCAAAGCTCAGCCATTGATTATGGGATTTAACGCAGGGGCAAGAGGGTCAAATAGTGATGAGTGCGCAATCAGTTATGTTCCTTAATGTTATGGTGATAAATTGTACAGTCTTTGTCCGCTCTCTTTTAGGACTCCTCTCTTTTTCTCCTTCTTTTCACTCATGTTCAATCAGACAAGGTGTACCGTGGACCTAAATCCATCAAATTATTCATGCTCAAGGACCAATTAGAGCTTGAGCTCGGGGGGAAATGATTGGGAGCACGTGGCAGCTGTGGGGGTTTGAATTGATTCGAATACCAGCAGCATATTCCTCTCATTAAATCTCCTTTAAAAACCTGTACACTACTTTCAGGTGAAAAAAAGCAGGCGTATTTTGGAAAGCAGTCAATATTCTACATCAGGAAAGGCCTATCAAACTCTTCTCCGTTTTTATTAGGCAATGGGTAGATACGCTCTCAGTTAGCACTCACTACTGGCCTGCGGAACATTAGGAAATTTCAATATGGCACATTAGGTACAGTGCAGCTGCATTTTTTCCATCCTAGAGTGGTGCTTACTTTTTGGTGGTTAAGTGCTTTGTGAAACGCTCTGTATAGCCTTGTCCATTCCATTAGACTATTGTCATTCGAGGCTGCTGTGGGGGTGCTCTTACAAATGGAGCAGTGTGCAGGTAATCAGTATAGCTTTTAGGAATGTAGTAATTGCTGTTAGCTGGACTTTGTTGGCCGTAAGGACAAACGAACAAGTGAAAGATGGTTCAGGGCAACCAGAATAGAAGCCCTCACTCTGCATATATACTTTTAATGAACCATCATACAAGAAGGCCTTTTCAAAAATGGCTTTTAGTTTTCTCATTTCCCTCTCTTCTTCTGCAGGTGCCCTACGCGCTCAATCACATTAACAGAAAGCTCACAATGGAGCCTAAGGTTAGCATCAATGCTAGGATCGTGGTGGTAGGAGCTTCTGATGTTGGCTTAGCCTTCTTGGAAACTCTTGTGTTCTGGTAAGTAGGTTGGTTACTCCATTAAGCTTAGAGTAATCCATTAAAATGTACCTTCTTTATAAATTAACAACAATGAGTTAGCAATTGACTTATTCATGCTCCACCCACAAATTTGTCTTTTGTACCAACTGTTGCTACATTGGACAAGCTTTGCAGCTCATGAGCAAAAATACCATTCAACCCGATTAGAAACTGTAGCACACAACATAATACTTAGAGCACTGTGTAAAAGTCAGATCTCCTCTCATTTCATATCATATCAGAACTAAAGCAGGAAACATTCACTCAGTAGAAAATTACACATGGTATATAAAATCTTTCAGTATTTCCCTAAAGATCTAACAGACATCATGTGTCCCTTTAAAGAGACACAAACATTTATACAACTACCCAAACTCATCTTATTTGCCTCATACATTTCTCTGCATCTGAAATAAAGGAGGTATTTCTGAGGAGATTAGATATGAGATAATCCACTTGTTTAGAAAAGGAGAAAGTCAAAGGAAAAAAAAGTAAAAAAAAAAAACAAAACAGGAGTTTCCAAAACTGGTGTTCGAAAAATTATCAAAAGCTAAAGAGAAATTAAGACTCCTAACAACCACCTGGAAGACCTGGTAGACACCAAAACTGTCCCTATCAAATAAACAGCACTTAAAACTTCCATCTTTGAGAGAGAGGAGAAAATCAAGCTGCTTCAGATCTGAAAACATCCACAGGTATTTCTGTCCATCCTTCCACTGTGAGAAGACGACTCAGCGAAAGCATGTGTAACTGTCAAGAAGCCCTCACTGAGAAAAGGACTAAAAGAAGTTTTGCACTGAATGCTGAAACTGGACATCTGATATGTGGAGGTTTTATGGACTGATGAGTCAAAAATTGTTATGGGGATTACTTGGATCATAAGAATCTGCACGCAAGTTCATCACCTGAAATTTTGCCCTCATTCATTTCCTATGTGGAGTAGGGAAAAAAGGCAAGAGGGATTGTGGGATAGTGAGTGGTGCAAACATCACTAGCGCTGCGGGAGAAAAATTGAGCTGGCCTTAACTTTATGCAAAGTACACAAAGCAGCTGTGCAGCACTGACCAATGAGGCAAGAGCAAGCACTGATCAATCAGGTGAAAGCAACTGTCCTTTAGAAAGAAAGTTAATAACAGCTCTGTCTCTACATAATGAATACAAAGACAAAAGTAGAAGAAAGACCACATGATAGAAAATGTCCGAAACTGTCAGTGTTCATGGTGACTTACAGGACAGTACTAAATCACAGTTATAGCAGAGACACACACACACACAGAAAGAGAGAGATGTTTGTTAAGAAACTGCCTGTATTATTTTTCTGTGCTATGCACTGTAATGCTAACTTTACTTTATGTGAATGGAATAAAAAATGAAAGCTGACATGCTTTGGAGCTTAAGCTCACCTCACAGTGACTTGCTGCAGTAAAAAAAAAGTTAAAATGGCTAGATGTTAGCATAGCACAGCTAAATTAACTCTAACCTGGAGAGAAAGTTCCTCTGATCCTCGTTTACGGCTGGTGTGCAGTATATTCTGAATAGATTAAGTGTCCTGGAATTATGGATTATGAAAACACTGCTGTAACAACAGAAAACTCCCTGTTTTTAATGTGGAAAGCTCATGGATGTGGTTTTGGAAATCACTTGCAGTCTGAAGTCATAGGGGGGTGGCAGTATTACTGATATTCATGATTTTTAACTAGAAAATTTCGTGCTAATTATTTTTAGATATCACCCAGGTCTGGGCTACATATCTTTTTTTAATAGCCTGCATAGCCAGCATATACTGAACTATCCTGAACTTTATGAAAGCAGCCTACTTGAGAAGAAAATTTAATTGAAATCCACAGTTGATTGTGGATTGTCCTGCACTGTAGGCAGACACACTCTTTAAGAGGTGAGGTGCTGGCAAATTTCGGCAAAAAAAAAATCAGTTTTTTTCCTGTGCTCCTGAAAAATGCATTCCATGGGTGGAGCTTAGAAAGGACAATTTGCTTGATAAAAATGCATATTTAAAATTCTCTTGCTATCTTGCAGTATAAAACCAAGCCTGACTCATCCATATGCACATATACATATAGGCATAGACATTTATATTTTTGCCATGTGATTTATAATTTATAAAGTCCTTTGAAGGTTTTCTAGTTCATTGGAAGATATTTTGGAAGCATATATGAAATGTTATACATGGCTTGTTGTTCTGTGATGTCTGTTTTTATTGTTTGTCCATTTTAAAACTTTGATTTGATAGCTGAGTAGTAGATTTTAATACAGTGAGTTTACTTGAGATTACTTGACTAATAGAGTCATAGGCAAAAGTTTGGATCCTCCTTATAAAATGACATTTCTAAGTTTCTAACAAACTTCTGTGCATTTTAATGCACAATTATGGCTTATTTGCATGAGAAAAATAAAACTCAAAATATGGCCTGTGCAAAAGTTTTGGTACCTTTTACATTTTGAGGTTTTTTTTCCAGTAGGTTAAATTCAGCAAATACATAAACAATGTGCCCTAAAATAAACAGAAAACTGCCACATTTAAGTGTGTTTCCTGGAGAAGATGTGTTGACTTATTTTCACTTCAAAAATGAACAAAGCAAGTAATTTGACCAGGGGGTGTTCAGACTTTTGCATATCACTGGATAATCGATAGTGACAGCCCTATTGATAAGCATGAGAACCAAGCAGATGTCCTCCTTCAATCAAAAGTAAAACATTATAATGGGGCCCTCAAGAACATTCATGATTTTCATCAGAAACAACAAGACCAATTTTTTTTGTTTTGTGAGTGGGGGGAAAACAGCATAGCACATCATCTTTGGGGTGATTATAATTAGTGGGAGTGACTCCGGGGATTAGGCAGAAACAGTGATTGCCTGAAATATGAGCTTAGGGGCTTATGCGCTAATACTCAACGCAACATGCCTTCTCCAACCAAAGGCAATTAGTGCCTCTGTGGTGCCTCAGGATTGAGTTGTATTTGTACTTCAAAGCCAGTGATTGCATGCTCAAAAAAGGGCATTTTTCAGTAACCTCAAATCAGTTTGTTTCTGCCTTTAAGTGTTCTGAAAGGTTGACTTTGACAATGATGATTCTTTTAGGCTGCTTATTTGTCTGTTTATTGGAGGATTCTTGTCTTTGTTGGTGGGCTTTTTTAGGGATAGTGGTTAAGATGCTTCGTGTTTGCTCACAGCCTCTTCTCTAAATGTTCAGCCAGACAAAAGATGCATTTTAGGGCTGTTCTCATTTTCCCAAAAGCAGATAACTGCCTGGTAACCAGGGGTCAGCTCGTATGTATGTGTGCTTGTATGTGTGTGTATTTAGCTCCTTGTGGGGACCCAATCCCTGCAGCATGCTGAAAATACAGGCAATTTGTTGTTGTGGCAACTTCCTCCAAATCTGCAGCTTTTATTTTATTGGTGGTGATAGGAACCAAGTGTCATGATATCGACAACACAAATATAGCCATTTTATTCACAATCCAAAACCACCATTTGTCCTACACGTGTCTCAGTTTTTATGTATAATGATGATGATAGTAAAGTAGAGCTGTATTGCCATGCAACATCTTGCATGTACTTAAATTACATATTTTTGAAGTTAAAATAAGTTAACCTCTACACGGAATTGACATTTTTTCTGCAAATGTTAGTGCACAATTTCTGTTTAATTGCTGAGTTTAACATATTGGAAAAAAATAAAATGGTGACACTTTATTTTGAGTATTCCAGTAACATGTCAAAAACATATGAGGGTTAGGATTAGGTTTTGGGTTGAGGTTAAGGTTAAGGTTAGGATTAGGGCCGAGGTCAGGGTTAGGTTTTGGGTAAGGTTGGGTAGGGTTAGGTTTTGTGTAATGAAAGTAACATATTAACAATACATCTACTTAATGTATGTAATGTATCAACAGAACATCTACAAGATATTTACTTCAGTGTATTCAGAGGCTTCACTACTGCTACTTCACTGATATGTTGTTGATGTTTTATTAATAATCTGTTAAGAGATTATTAATCATCTACAAAGGACCACTCCAAATAAAGTTTTACCAATAAAACATATAATACTATATGTATAATACATATAATAGCATAATATGTGGCATTACTTTTGTACAGGCCACATTTATTTTCATATGTTAAATTCATCAAATAAACAGTGATTGTGCCTCAAAAATGTGCAGAAGTGTGTTCTCTGTAGAGGATGTGTTGACTTATCTTCACTTAGTCAATCAACAGAACATAGAAAAGGGCTTTTACACACTTTTACAAGCTTTTACATACAACTGTAAATGCAGTTTATCCAAAAATCTGAAAAAGTGATTAGTGGGACCAAAATCGTCATTTCCTCCTGTAGTGTCTTCATTTGTTCTATATAAACGTGTTGACAGAAGCCCATAGGCTTCTTGTCTGAGTGAGTTTTGATTTGACTGTTTTTCTTTTCTTTTTTAAAGTACAGGTAAACGTGGTATTGTCTATGGGAATCAACACTACAATACAGATGCGGCAGGTTGAAAATGTTGAAGTATTCCTTTAAGTTCAGGACGTGTTAAGTGTAGCGCAGTGGCATTTAGCCACAGTCATGTAGAAAGACACAGAAACGCCCCACAGAGAGAGGAATACAAATTTGTGCACGTGTGAGTTAACTCCTGCGGCATTGGCAGGCTGAGCGGGCATGCAGCTGCCCGGGGCTGGCAGCTCTTGGACCGTTTGCTGGCCCTTTAATTAGCTGCTCCACTGTGCTCCTGTCAGGCTCCTCCACTGCGATCTGTGTTTGCTGTCACTAATGACTTGACTAATGAGGCAGTTAGTGTCCACTAAACTGATGGTGGGTCAGTGTAGTTGGCGATGGGGGCGGCTGTGCTGCAGCGGGATGCTCTTATCTCCTAAAACCCAAAGCGCTGACCCCCACAGACCACCCTCCACCCCTCCTCTCCATTCGTCAGCGGGACGGGGTCAGGAGCAGTAGCAGCAAGGGACAGATAAAGATGCATTAGTCCCTCGGCTTGGCCTCTCAGCGCTGGTGGTCAAAACCCGGCCACAATAGGGGCCTGTGTGGTGCTGATAAGGGCAGAAAGCTGCAGGGTGGTAATGTGCTGAAGAGCAGAGAGATGGCTGCAATGCTTCACTCCTTCGGTCTCACGGCCAGGCCCGGATTAACATGGCAAAGCCCGAAGCCACAAGATTTTTCCCATTTTCTTCCAGTATAAAAGCATGGACACAATACAATATCATGAATTAACACCTTAAACTGCAGGCTTATATTTAGATATTAAAGGGCCCATATTTTACATTTTTCTCTTGTTTACTTTTTTTTTAACATTGCTGTGGTTTAATGTAGCAAAAATGGTCTTAATTCATTTTTACATGACAATTTTCCAACCACTGTGCCTGAAAACACTCCTCAGAACTTGAGTTTGATTGGGTGGAGCTAAACTGCCATAGGCTGAATAGGTGGACATATGTAAATGAGTTGTTTCTTGTGACATCACAGAAGCAGGGAATTCAAAAGCAGTTTTTGCAGTTTAATGTGGACCATATGGACTGTCTAATGAAGGAGACATTAACAATGTTTACATCTGACTTCAAACTCTTTATTTAAAAATATGACGTTTACCATGATATGGGCCCTTTAATCTTAAGACTTAAACTGTGGAAATAATGTGTAATTTATGTAGTTATTAGAGTGAGGGCTGAAATGTTGACCCACATACAGGCCTTCAAGGCATTAGGGAAAATAGTTAATTCTGCCTTTTAACCCCTTAAAATCCCAGGCTTATTATATTCTAATGCTCACTATTAGGTAACTATGTGGATTTCAGTACAGAGTTATTCTTAAATGATCAGAATCAGATGATAGAATAGTAGAATCGCTTCATTTTGCCAAGTATGCTACACATACAAGGTCTTGGTGAGTCACACATGTATGACATGTAACATACGAAACAGACCAAAGAGCACATAGACTATTAACAAGCACTGAGCTGAGGGAAAAGTAAAATAAAATACCATAAATAGAATATAGAATAAAGAGTAATAATAAAAAAAAAACAGCCAGTGTGAAAGGAGCTCAGGAAATGTACATATAAGATATGTGGATATTAATACATATGCAGACTTGAATGTCAGATATGAATGACCCAACACATACATACAGATCCACCTGTACACCAGGAGATGTGTTGTCATTTTGTAGTCAACATCATGCCCATAATAAGAACTCTGGGTCTCTCTGTAGAGGAGGTTTTTACTCTACAATTAAAATTAACATCACTGGATTCTCTGAATTATGAGCTCATTAAGAAGTTGAAATATGCAAACCAAGTAGCTACATGCAAACCAACACTCTTGTACAGTGAATTAACATCATAAGACTGGCCATCTCACCAAAATACCCCACACAAACCAGCAACGTTTATCAAATGTGGTAGCTGAGCTACTTAAGCAGCAGCAGCATATAGTTTGAGTAGCTGGTGTTCGTATATAAATATTGTGTTTAATAGTACATTGACTTTGATGCAGCGTCACTTCAGTGTGCAGCAGTGTCAGCTTGCTTGTAGCATGTATATAACATTATTCATAGTTTTACTCCTAAATGACTTCATAATTCAGAGGATATTTGAGTGAAAAGTTTACAGATGATGAATATTAGGTTTGGAACATTTTGGTTTACTACAGGGTTCAGTGTTTTTGAAAATGCTGTTCATGCTTCTCATAGAGAAAAGGAGCTTATTTGGACATGATGCTGGCTACTGAATCAGAGGTCTATTTAAAGGTATGACTATGCAAAAAATTAAATTTACACAATTTTCCCCTTATCAGAAATGTATTCGAACAGCCAAGATGTGTTTGGTGTCCAAATGTTGCTTCTTCAGCTTAGCGGTGGAGTTATGAGGCTAATGTTGCTAACAAACACTCGAAGTCAACAGCCACCCAAATCCTTTACTGTAAATACATCCCCAGATCGTCTCTCATCCTGCCCAAACCACATCCGGGTCTTCATTAATGCTGTGCATATTGTGGTTTAGAGCACAATATAAATTACTGTGAGCTACAGTAATGAACAAAACATCACTGTGTAGCTTAACACTGCATCGGGGAGGCAGAAGTCACCGCAAAACCTGCCTGCATTGTTTAGTGATGTTGATGTGATGTTTTGTTCATTTTATTCAACAAACATGCACGACCTGAGCTGGATGCAGTTTGAACAGGTTGAGAGAAGGTTTGGGGCACAAAGGTTTGGGTGACTATTGACTTTTAGTGGTTGTTAGCAGTGTTGTAGCCTTATGGCTCCAGCGCTAAACTAAAGCAGAATTTGGACACCAAACATGTCTTGACTGATTAACAATATATGGGGTAAAGTGGAAAATTGTGTACGTTTGATTTATCAGCGAATTTTTTTTCTTTTAATAGTAAAATTGGACCTTTTAAATGCTGTTAGTACACTTATTTTAAGTGAAATTTGTAGAAGTTTGAATTTTGGTCTGATGTATGCTCCTGCTTATGCACAAAACTACCACACTATAGCTAACAGCAACTAATGGCGGTACTTCCTATTGATTCATTACTAATATAAGGCCTTTGCATCAGTATTGCCAGTTTTACATGTTAAACACCTTCTCTTAAAGCGTAGACACCAGCATCTACACCACTAGCGGGCCTGCATGAAAAGGCTATGGGGTTAAAAACACATTTGACTTTGCTATTAGTGTGAACACTTCAAAGTACGCCTCTACAGAGCCTTTTGCAGGCACTATCATTAGTCACATTTGTCTCAATGGATCTGCAGGTACATTTCCAGATGCTAAAACTCTATGTTTTGATGGTCGCTGCCCCCAGTACATCAAAAAACACCAATGGTGGTGTTGTCCTGTCTGTCTTAATCACTTAGAGAGCCATAATCCAGAGCAGTGTCCAGCTTTCTGCCTCCGATCGATGCTGACGATACCCAGTGCTCCCTCACTCCACACCCTCCAGCCTTTCTCGTCCAGATAACGTCTTTCTCGCATACAGAGCAGGTCATTTACATGACAAGGGACCTTTTTACACTCCTGAGGGTAAACGCAGACCCAAGGGAGGTGGGGGGGTGAAGTTTGGGGGGACGACTACACCCAGCATAGGATAGAAAAAAAGGACAAAACAAAGGAAGGGCTTTTACCATGATGCTTGGAGAAGAAAGGCCTATTAATGTATGCCAATGCAGTAAGCGGGAAACAGAGGGATGTCAGCATTGGACTGCATCTGGTCCTCCAGCGCTCACAGAATAACCCCACATGGCCCGCGGCCTTTTGTTCCGCCTCTAATGGCGTGCGGTTATCCTCTCCGTCCTCCCTCTCTCGTGTCCCTGCTTTCAGTGGCATTCCATTCTTCACAGGAGAAAGAAAAAAAAGGGAACACGCACACAAAGGCCTCATTATTGAAAATGGGCAAAATCCACTTTACGAATACATCTTCATTTAGGAGGTATCTGTATGAAAGCATTATTTTCGGCAAAGCTCACTACAGCGCCAGGCTTTTTTTCTCTCTTCACAGCAGGGTTCATTCTTCTTTGTCAGGGAGAATGTACAGTGTCGTGAGTCTTGCCCATGAAAATGCAGCTTTGCTCAGTTTCCTTACCTTGTACAGAATTTTCTGAAGGCATACTAATCAGAAAAGCTGAGAGAGCATTGGAGTTTTCAGAATTGCACTGGTTTCAAAGCTTGAAGTTTGAGATTATATATATATATATATATATATATTATAATATAATGCTTTCTTTCCACAGCCCCCATCTACGATTCAACAATCTGACTCTCATCTCCACTCATGGCCTCCCAGGCAGCCACAGCAGTGACGGCACAAGCTTTCTGACCACGAGGTGGGCTATTGCAATATCACATGAAAATAACTTTGCTGCATTTGTCTTGATGGAATGGGAGATTGCACTTTTCTTAAAAGGCCCATATCATGGAAAGCTATATTTTCCTCACATTTTAATAATAAATACATGTATGTAAACACCATTAAAGTTTCCATTCACTACTTGTACATTTCACTATTCAGTCCACACAGTCCAAAGATGGAAGCACACCTGCAGTTGGAATAGCTGTAACTTACATACACCAGCCTTAAAGACACAGTAACAAAATTCTGTTTAATTGTAAGGAATAAACTCATAAACTCACACAAACATCACACAACGCTAAATGAGTGGAGCTGAACTGCTGTAGACTGAATATACGTGAATGCATTGGTTTTGGATTTTGGATTGGATTTGGATTTTGCAGAAAAAATGAAATGAAAAAATGTCTCCAATCCATATAATATAACCTAAGCTGGATTCATTTTTGGACATCACGGTGCACAATGTAGGGTGGCCTATAAAAGCAGAGCTTATTTACTTAAATTTCAGTCTTAAAGACGCAGTGATAGAGATTGGGTATTTAAGACAAAGGAATAAAAAAAGGTTAGAAAATAACCGTTTTTTAGTAACACTGTGTTTCTCTGAAGGCAGAAGAATGTGAGGTGCACTGTGCTGTGTTTTTATCTTGAGGGCTCACATTGTGCTTTTTTGGACTCTCCATGATGCTAAGAAACAGTAGCATCGTAACTGTCAATCAGTTGTGCCAGCTGATCTGTTGTTTCAAAAGGTGCAGGCTCTTTTTACAAAGTGAATCTACTATAAACTAGCAGCAACTGTGTCCATCACTGAAGGCCCTAATACTTTTTTATTTAGTTGGTCAACACAGCAAAGCTTCTTCTGTCCATATGATGTCTTCAATGCTTTTCAACTGTGGGCACCCGGAACGCTCCACTCAAAAGACACCCGTGAAATATTTAAGATCATATGATTTCCATGAACATCACTTGTCTTTTTACAGTCCCTTATGTTCTAGATAACTAGATATGTATTAACTAGGTATGTGTGACAACTGGGTACTCCACAGTACAAGGTAATTATTTTTGGTAATATGATGATAAGTTCCAAGACAGTCAAACTATATTACACCGAAATGCACAACAGGTTCTAAATATTACATTGTAAAGATTTTCACTGTGAAATTACAGTGAATTACTGGCTGCTAGTTCCATTACTTTCACAATAATTTACTAAACCATATTAGCTAATAACAGTTTAATAGCAGCTGTATACTGTGACTTCACAATCACCAGAACACAAGATTACTGTGATGAACCTGCATTCTGCTGAACACTTACAGTAATAAGCTGTAATAAAAATACAGTAATCTCCTGCATTTTTTAGTAAAAGTAATATCATTTTACCAGATCTGTAAATATGTTAATAATTACATATTTAACTTTTAAAAAAAGTTAAAAAAAAGTTTTAATGTGCACAACGTGACCAAAAACTCATATTAGCAACACCAATAAACAAGAACACTTTTGTCAATACCTCAGTGTTCTAGCCAAAAAATAAAAAAAAACCCAGACAAGTCCAGCATAATACAAGTTTTAAAACACCAAAACCTGAATTGTCAGTTTACAAACACATAAAATGTTTTTTATTAAAGTGTGAATGTATTTTTAACTGCCATATCATATAATGCAATTAGTTGATTTCACAATAAAATTATGAATACAAAATCAAATCAAATCACGTTTATTGTCACGTCACAATTACCCAGGTATGAAGGTGAATGAAAATCTTAGTTGTGTAGCCCACTTGCAGTACTTAAATATACAAAAAATATCTGAGAAATAAAATATATACATACATTAGACTCCAATTATATACACATATACACAATATAGACATTTGCATGCACACAGTATTGTGACAGTGAAACAGTATCATGTTGGACAGTATGTTGTACAAACTCCACAGTGATGGATTATTATTTTGGGTATCAGGTAGTTACATGATACAAAAAGGTACACAAATAAAGTATGAAGAGCTTTACATGATATTACCTATAAACTAAGCTAAAAGAAAGCAATGATTCTGTGCCAAATAACAAATAAGCTTCTATTTAGAGGTGCTACTGGGTTTACTGTCCTACATAAATTTGTGACATTGCGTTGAAATTTAGTATATTTACCACTACGTTACTACAAATAATTATAAGAGGTTTTACTGGGGCCTCTGTCAGTTTAATAGCTAAAACCTGCCATTTCAGTGTAATTTAGTTAGATTGTCTTGGTACTGATTATCACTTTATTTATCCCTTGTGTGGTGTTAATGTTTTTGTTACTCAGTGGGTCTTGTGAACCCACCACATTATTTTTTTTCTTTAATTAATAAAGCCATAACAATTAATGTAAAAATACCAGATGTTAAAAATATCAGCATAGGGTTCTCCTTTAGCAGCTGTAGCCAGTCAGCAGCCTGTCCATGTTGTCCACCCTCACACGCACACAGAAAATGAGCCAAGGAAACTGAGGTTGAAATAATAATATATTGCCTCATATTTTCTTTTGGTAAACACTGAAAATGGTTCCCACAGACCCGAACACCACACAAGGGTTAAAATAATTACATAGCACTTTGGAAACTCCGCTCCAGTCTTATTCAGTTAATATTTAGAGTGTATTGGGCATTTCAGTGTAATTTAGTTAAACTTACCATCATGTTACCCAAAATAATGAACTTGTATCTCATAGTTGCCTGATTAATACCTAGAACGTCTGTAGTGTACAAGAAAATGTTAATTATTTTCTTTTAAAGAATTTTTGAAAAGAATTACTTCATCATGAATCTGGCTTTGATGTTTACAGTGCCACTCTAATGACCTTGTCAACGCAACAACTGAGCGAGCTGAAGAAGTGGGCCAGTGCTGTATAGAAAAGACCTTGCTAGCAGGACTATATTATGTTTTATTATGTTGTGAAGTTACGGAGCTCTAGCCATTTAACCTTAAATGTCGAGCTTCCTTACAAGATTTTTCCATCAGTGCTGTTCTTTCAGGATTTGAGGTCTCCAGCTGCTTGATTCTAGTTCTTCATCTCTGTGAGAGTGTTTGTCCTCCAGTGTATGAGAGTGATGCTCAAGTATTGGTATTGTTCCTCCACAGTCACTGCTACAGTGAGCGCGATCACGCTCTGCTCTCTCTGCGCTCCTGGGTCAGTGTGGTCACAGGCAAGATGACGGCCATTGATCGAGCCTCTAAGCACGTTCAGGTCAGCGGGGGAAGGATAGTTCCATATGACCATCTCATCCTCTGTACTGGACAGCAGTACCAGGTAAGAGAGAGGGAGAAGATAACATAACTAGAGACCAGGGATTTATAAATGTTTTCCAAAGAAACAAACATATGAAAGATGTTGAGACAAAAAGAAGTTATTATCAAAGTATGCAGACAACATACATTGATACAGTACTGTGCAAAGTCTTCATTTATTGATTTAATCCCAGTCAAAAAGGCCATTATATATAAGCACTGTCCAAAGTTTTTTAAGCATTTGGCTGTATCTGAACAGATAATATAATTTAAGTAAGTACCTTTATTGTCATTAAACCTATCACTGCTGTTGGAAGAAAACCTCATATCTCCAAAATGATAATTTTACAGGAGAAGGAAAAAACATACTTTACTTTTAATCCAAGTCAGTGGAACCATACATATTTCCAAATAATTTGGGGTCATTTTTTTGGTCCATTCTTCATGAAATTTACACACAATGTAAAGGGCAAAAGGCATTTTCAGATTATGACAAAAACTGAAAAACGACAAAAATGGAGATACGAGGTTTTCTTCTGACAACAGTGATATACACTTTACACAGTACAACAGGATTCTTTTTTTTGCATATCCCAGCTTAGAAAGCTGGGGTCAGAACACAGGGTCAGCCGTGATACAGCATCCCTGGAGCAAAAAGGATTTAGTGCCTTGCTCAAGAGCCCAAAGGTGGCTACTTAGCAAACCCCAGTATTGAGCCCACAACCCTGTGATCAATCACCTGGGGCTCTAACCACTTAGCAGCCACTGACCCATATAGCCTGATACACTTCAGAATTCATTCTGCTGCTTTTGTCAGCAGTAACATCATCAAAATAATACAAAGGAAGCAATTCACTTGGCAGCCATACATGCCAATGCCATAACACTAAATCCACCATGCTTTACTGATGAGGGCTTTGGATGATGAGCAGTTCCTTCCTTTTTCTATACTCTTCTCTTCCCATCATTCCAGTATAGGCTGATCTTTGTCTCATAAGATGTCCATAAGATGTTGTTCCATAACTGTACAGGCAAACTCTTACCTGGTCTTCCTGTTTTTATGCTTACCAGTCATTCACATCTTGTGGTAAACCCTCTATATTTACTCTGGTGAAGTCTTCTGTGGGTTGTTGACTTTGACACAGATATGCTGACCTCCCGTTAGTGTTCTTGATCTGGCCAGCTGTTGTGAAGGTGATTTTCTTCAGCGGGAAATGAATTTTTGTCATCTACCACAGTTGTTTTCCATGGTTTTGTGGGCCTCTTGGTGTTTCTGAGCTCGGCAGAGTGTTCTTTCTTTTTGAGAATGTTCCAAATATTTAATTTGTCCACACCTAATGTTTTTTTCTCTGTCTGATGGGTTTGTTTTGATTTTTCAGCCTAATAGTGGCTTGTGCATTGGCAGCAAAGCTCTATGGATTTCAGAGTTCACAGCGAACAGATTCCAAATGCAAATGGCACACTTGAAATAATCTCGAGACCTTTTATCTGCCAGAGAAATAATAAAGAATAACACATTCCTGGTCAGGAATAGCTATGTTGTCCGGTTACTAAAAATGGGGAGACTGTGTATAAAAATGGTGGTAATTCGTACACCGTTCACATTTATTTCTTTGTGTTCATTGCTAGATTTACTCAGTATCTCATGTTTCATGTTTCGGTCGAAGTTTACTGTTTTCATGTTAGTTTGTGTTTCAGGGATTTCTCTGCCCTGTGTGTTCCTGCCTGCTTGCTTGTCTCATCTGAGACTGACTCAAATAAAAAGCACATGTATTCTGTCTCCATGTCTGCCTTGCCAGCCCCTACATCATAGACAGAGAGCTAAAATAACAGTGAATTTATTGATGTCCAAATATTTATGGACGTGACTGTGTACATAATGACTTTTACAGCACTTTTACTTTTTAAGTTGAAAATTTTATAAAACAAATTTTTTTCTTTTTTTTTTTGATTGTTGATAATTGTTTCAAATTGTTTAAAATGTTTAAGACAGGAGAATCCAAAAAATGAAGTACAAAAACAGGCAAAGGATCATACACAGACAAACGGGGCGATACAGGCTAAGCTAAGTCAGAGTGAAAGACACTAGCAAAAGGACACAACACAAAAGAGGCAAACAAAGTCAAAAAGGGGTCAGGCTAGAATCGTAAACAAGGAAAACGAACGAGAAGACAAAATGGAAAGTCAAACACTGGAACAAAGGCTCGGTAATGCATAAGAGACTGATACTAATGCTTTACACTGAGGCTACAGACACAGACGGGTTATATGGGCACATGAACAGGTGACAACAATCAGTAATCAGGTGAACCGGAGTGTGGTTAGGTAGATGGTTGAGAGTTTGTGGTCATGTGATCCCCCAGAGGATTCTGGGAGTTGGAGTTCTGGATGGAATGAGGGGTGTTAGTCTCTGCGGAGCCGACAGGAGGTGTGACAGCAAGAGAGTGACTAAGTGTTTTCTTATTATATTGTTATTTTTATTATTATAACTTTTAGCTAGCATGTTAATCTACCTGCTTCAGCACTGGGGTGGACCCTTTTTTTTACAACATGCAGCTTTTCAGAACATTCTGTACTGAGGTTTAAATTAAATTGTTGCTTAATCTTTTTTAAAACCCAAAATTTCTTGTCCAGTTTAGCCATAAAGTTCTCGACAGAGAATGTGTTGTTTTGGGTTTACTGGCAAATCTTACAGAATGCAGCTTTAATGTTTTAAATATCTGCTTTATCAGATACCCTGCCCTACTGGAATAGACATCAGTAAGTGGAGCTCCATGGACCAAGTCCCAGCTCAGCCCAGACGCAGAAGATACACCGGCCACGTTCCCTCTAACTTCTTCACTCTGAATGACCAGCACGACTGCTCACAGGCCTACCGCTGGCTGCTGGACAACTTCATGGAGCAGCAGGGTGAGTCTGAATGTGCACTTGTACATGTGCGAACCTAATGCAGCTTGACTTTCGTCAACGGATAGTTTAACCCTCTGGGGTCTGAGCGCATTTTCTTGATTTTTCCATGTCTTCTTGATTTCTCCTTTAAAGGCTCTTGCATATATCATGACGCCCGTATGTTTTGTATCAGAATTCTCTGTTATCATCATCACTACTTTCAAAAGCGCTGCAGCAACTTCAGCAGCTGTAAACTCTCTGCACCCCATTTCACTTGGTCTCTGTGGACTGAATGAAGGATTAAGGCGTTTTCTTGATTTTCTGAATGTGTCCATTGGTCATGTGTCCATTGGTGAGTTTCACACAAACTGTAGACGGACACATAAATCCACCAATTACACATGGTGAGAGGCAGATGACGTGTATCTCAGCCCCTCTTCATATAAGTGATAGTACTGAAGAGAGTCCCCTATAATCCTACTAAGAAATGTGAGTTATCTTGATTTAATTTAATACTAAACATTTATGAAATACTATGGGCCTTATTCATAAAACGCACTGCCAGATTTACACAATCTCACAAAAAATAATGCCTGAACCACTCTGACAGTAATTTACCTGGTAAACCATCTAACTGCTGCTGTTGGAGAACATGAGGAGGAAAAATCGGCAGGTTTAACTGGCACTGAGCTTAAAACAGCCTCTTCTTCCTGCGTCAGATTCCATGTTTCATAATTTTCCTGTATGGAAAGTAGTTTTAGCATGTAATCGACATATGTGAAGAAAAATTTGACATGTTGAGATTCTAAATACAAATTCAAATTGATTTTACTGCAAGCAGTGTTAGCTTTTCATCCTGTTTTTCAATTTACAATAGGTTTTACAAAGGAATTCAACATGCAAATACATGTTGAATTCCTTTGTAGTGGTATTTTACTAGGGTATTTTACTACTAAGTTCATTTCTAACAATTACAAACTGAATTTTTACTAGTATAAATGTAATATATACTCATGGAATTTTAATTTTCATTGTTGTCTTTAATATGTAGGAGCTCATTTGCATGTTAATTTTGATTGGCTCTTGCCTATTACCACAGCATTAAAAAGACTGGCTTATCACCATGGTGACTTTTTGAATAGGTCCCATGTACTGTGCTGCATATTTTGCATTGCGTTGCACTGTTACAAGTGAGTTTTATGAATCTGACCCCATGTGTTTATACTACTACTAATGCTACTTTATTATTATTATTATTATTATTATTATTATTATCCATCCATTCATCCATCATCTAAACCGCTTATCCTTCTGGGTCACGGTGGGGTGCTGGAGCCTATCCCAGCTGTCATTGGGCGGAAGGCAGGATACACCCTGGACAGGTCGCCAGTCCATCACAGATTATTATTATTATTATTATTTCTAGTAATTGTTGTGGGTTGTGGTGACAGAGACATTTTAGGTAAAAAGTTCACTGAAAAAAATATGTAGTTACAATTCATACTTCAAAAAATATGGGTCACTTTTCTCCCTGCATTTTTGAGACCACTGCTACAGATGAGGGCTGTTTTGGAGGGTGTAAAGGCAGAAGGAAGGTAGATGGCTAATATTGCTGCTAGGAAACTAAATATCTTATCAATACAAATAACAGAATAGATTATTCAGTAAAGAAATTGCTCATCAGATGAGGGAACAAGCTAAAAGCTAAAGATAGCAATGAAGCTATGTGGTTATATAGATATATCACCTCAGTTTGGCTTCTGTTTTCTGGCTGAAAGGGCAAAAACGTCGCTCTGGCATTCCATTCAGTGCTGAATGACAGATAGAATCACTGTTTTCTTTACAATTGTGGGCATCATTGAATGAAATATAGACAGAAAATGAAATCAAGACAGTTGTGTCTTACAGTTAATGTAACCTAGTTTATTCATAAGGAAATGGTAGGATGAGAAAATTCAATGCATTTAATTTCTCTGGCCAAAAGACAGGCCCATCATAGGTCAGAAAAAGGTCAGAAGGTACTATGATTGCTGGCAACAAGATATTGTTTTTTGATTTTATATGTATTAATTTTCACCTGTCACTTATTAAAACAAGCAGAGAAATCGTGTGGAAAAGGCAGATTTTGCCATACCGGTCTATAAGACATTTGGAAAAAGAGGAGATATTTTATAATGAAATGAAAGTGATACACAGTAATTGAAGAAAGAAGAGCCTTTCTTTACAGTATTGCCATGTTTTTGTCATTTCTCAAAAAAAAGTGCAGACTCAAACCTGTTGATGCAGAATGTAAATCAAATGTTAATGTAATTCATTATGCAAATAACTAACTAGTGCAATTAATTACATAATTACATTTAAACAGTATAGCACAACAACAGTAATAACTCAAAGGGTTAAGGCTATTGGGAATTGTGCAGTTAAAGCTGGTCCTGGATCAGTGCAAAATGAGCAGCGTCTACACACGGCTAATCTCTTTTAGCGAGGCTCCATTACTCCTGGCCCGCTCCAACTGGCAGGCCATAATGAGGAGCTAATTAGTCAGAGTGAAATCTTTCATCTGTCAGGTCTGGAGGTCGGCCTCCTCCATCTATTTACAGGATGATATTAATATCAGGAGGGCTTTAGAATTAATCTCGCTCTCTGAAGGCAGAGAGGAGAGAGCCAGTGATCCGTGTCTGATTAAGCCTATTATATTTACTAATTACAGGCTCCTTTAATAATCCGGGAAGTAGTGCAATTATCAGTGAATGCAAATTATGCCGTCCAAATGTAGAGGATATCAATTTGGCAAGATGGAAATTTGCATTTTGTGCCGTCCAGAGATGCATCTCCGAGACTGCCTCTCAATAAGCCAGTCTGATTTCAATTTTTTTTTGTAAATTTTTTTAACAAAAAGCACCAGGGAGTTTGCTTTGAATTCTTTAAAGAACGGGAGTGCGTTTAAATACATTAAACAGCTAATATACAAATTGCAATGTCCATTTGCGAAACAAATTCTGCATTCAGTGGTTGAGATAGAAGTTTGTTTACAGTGGTGGTGATATGAACCAGGGGTTGCCATGTTTGCAACACAAATTTAGCCATTTTATTTACTATCCAAAACCTCCAGTGAACCTGCGTGTCTCTTTTTATAAATAATGTTGATGATGGTAAAAAAAAAAAAAAATGCATTTTTTCTTTGGAGACTATTTTGCCTTACTACACCCAGCATGTACCTCTCCACCATGAATGGATTTTAAAAACATATGTTTTAGGCCAAAAACCTTCTCAAAACTACCATAAAACAATGTCTCACGCAGCGCATTCGTAACCATTTCATGGCTAATTTTCTGTGGGAGTTTTAGACGTGGATGTCTGGTTCCTATCACCACCACTGTGAACAGTTCTGACTTGGTAAGTTTCTCTAGAATGGAGCAATTTGCCCCAAACCACTCTGAATGATGTTGTTTACGTCTAAACCATTTAATTATGCAAATTTGGTGGAATTCCCCTTTAATGGCTGTACTGAATGAACGACTGTTGGACTGTTTTGTGTTCAGCACCATGGACAGTGCTCAGAACCAACCCCTTTAACCATACAGCATGTGGCCACTACAGTGAGACCACAAATAATTTTTGATTCATACCACTATCATCGTATTCGTACCCTGAAAGTCATAGTTCTGCTAAAATGAACAAATGAATTTGTACTTGTAATTTTTCCCATTATTCTAAATTAAATCAGTCAGCCAAGACAAGTGTCTGCTTCTTTAGCTGTGCACTAAAGATCCCAGTCTGGTGTTCACAGAACTGAAATCAACATTTTCAGTATTTTAAAAAAATATGATTGTAGATAAGTCTATATAATTAAGCTGTATTTTAAGTGATTAGGTGTCTGAGGTGCTTTAAAAAGACACATTTTAGAGGTGTCCAGAATTGCAAAATAACATCATGGCTGTGATGTTATTAGCGATAACACACAACCTTGAGTGTTCTATCGCTTTTATACAACAGTTAAATAAACAAAGTAAGAAATAAATAAACTGGGCCGTGACTGTGGCATTTAATATGTTTCAATGTTAGCAATTCTTTCCGCCAAATTATAGCTCCTTGACAGGTAGCTTGTTGCTACGTCAGATTAACGAACTCCGCTCACTCGCTGCACAGTGTGCTGTAAGCCCCGCCTTTTGAAGTACGGACTGAGGCATAAAACTGCCACAATATCAAGTTTAGCTCAGTTTTGTCAATTTTTGCTAGATCAATATTAATGTTGTTTTGTTCCAGCCAGTCTGTAAAGAATCTTACAGCCCATTTTGTTTGGCGAATGGTGTTGGGTTCATTTCTGGCTAATTCCAGGTTGTTCAGCTGTTCTTCTGTCACAGCTGCCGACTGAAAAGCTGCTCAGTGGTGATGACAGTTTGGGAATTCAGTGTAGTCTCATCTTCAGAGTCTGACCAAATCGGCTGTCGGTTAAATGTGAAAAAAAAAGTATTCATTTTCTGTCTGTGAGTAGTAAGAAGCAAAAACGTTTAAATGGTTTGAGCGTCCCCTACAGCTGTCAAAGTCGGCACTTAGCAACGGCGTCTCAGCGGAGTGATACAGTGTTTGAGAAAAAAATGTGATGTTATGGTGAAATAACAGCACGGTTAGAGCGCTTCTCAACCAATCAGCTTGTGTGGCCGGAACTAACTGTTGTATAAAAGCATATATGATGGGTTCAGGCTTACCAGTTAGCTCATAATAAATCAGCAAATAATCCAACAGTTTCAATAAAGAACAATTCAGATTGTTACCAGTGTAAAGTTCAAAAGCCAGGGTCTACCATGGTATGGGGGCGGGGACTGTATTAGTGGGTAACCTGCACATCTGTGAAAACTCTCTTAACACTGTAGGAGCAACATATACTGCCCTGATGTATTCTTCGGGATGTTCATCATGACACCATCAAGCCACATTGCACATGTTACAACTAGACTGTCCTGCCCCCCAATGAAAATGTGTGGTGTTTATGAAGCCTAAAACACGACCACGAAAGCCCT